ATCAAAACATGCAACAAACCTACACTGTAAAAAAATAATAGTCGAAATAACTCAATAAAATTGAGGAAAAGAATTGCCTTATTTTTATTAAGTAAATATTACCTACGGCATCTTAAATAGAATTTACTTATTTTGCTGAATAAATTTTTACTCAGTTAAATCGAGTTACATTAACGTAAATAATTTAAGTATTGTAATCATTTTAGATAATTAAAAAAAAGCTATGATAGGATTACATATTGCACGATTTGGTACCCATCTAATTTAACAAGTAACATCCACTAATCATTCACTACTTCTATTTAAGATTTAACCGTATATATATATATATATATCTACCACCATCACAAACTATTACATACGCTTCAATTCGAGACATATTGAAAGGCTCCAAATTTTATATATACTTGATCGTAGCATCTTAAAAGGAAAATTGGTTGACAATTTCCTGAAATATCAAGTTTTGATTTGTTTTGAACTGGGTAACAATTAAAAATTGTCTTGTCTTTGCTTAGCCATGTTAAATGAATTAGTAAATGTTTTAAAGTCCTTAAATTTTCATTCAACCACAAAAAAGAATTGTTTTATTTAAAAAAATAGTTTAATTTGGTCTTAATGAATATTCATAAATTATGTAAATATTTCTATTACGCACTGCATCGGTCCTTACTTTAAAAAGATAAGAATAATCAACATAAATTGTTTGAGTAATACGTATAATTTCTGATTTTGAGTTAAAATTACTAAATTAATACAAGCTGAAATTACTTAAAGTTCTTATGTATTTGATTTTACTTAAATATTCCACGTATGTTCTACTAAATTGAAAGTTTGAGGTAGCAAGACTTAAATTTAGTGCGTAAATGGCAAAACTAATGTTTTCAAGTATATTCTACATGGAAAAAATACGTAAAAATTACCAATGAACAAATTCTTTTTTACAGTGTATACAGCAAGTACCATAGACTCCATGTAGTAGTTACGAGCCTTTTTTATGTTTTAAGGACATTCTACAATCGCCTACGTCACATTATTTGTTGCGTTTTATTGGTTTATTTGGGCGAGAAAATGAATGTTGAAAAATTAGTGTTTTTGTCTTGTTTTTACGATTTAATATTTAAGTATTTGCAAAATCTGTAATGATTGTTTCCAAATTCCTGAGGTCAAAAGCTTTTCATTGATACGGTTTAAATGGACATGTAGTACTATACAGGGGCGGCGATTTCTTTTCATGACCGGGGGGACGAAATGCGAGGGACAAGGAAGCATAGTGAATTAGAGGGGCGAAGGTTCTCAGATTTGGTTTGGACGGGGGTGTGTTGTTTGACCCCTCACGAAAATGCCTGGGATTTTTAAGGGGGCAGCCCAAGTCAAAATTGTTCGGTATTCATCAGGGAACACAAAAACACTTTCAAACCTTTGTTCCCAGAGATTGGTCACGGGACCTACAGGCTGGTCTCCTACTATTGTTGTATTTGATCGGCAAGGCTTCCCCTTCGCAATGATATGAGTTTTGCATCAATTCAAAACACTTTTGATTCTTCGTGTGGCTACTTTAAGTGACGATGGTACTCTTTTCTTGAACTTGAACAAAAATATTGATCTGGTATATATGACAATGATCTCAAATTGTCATTTTTCAACCACGCCATCAGTAAAAGGCAAGGTACTTGTAAGTTACATCAACCCCACCCCCTTTTTTTCTCTCTCTCTCTCTATTCACACTTTCCCTCCTTCTGTTCTCTTTCTCACTTCCCTTCATCTCTTTCTTTCTTTCTTGCGCTCTCTTGTCTTTTCCCTCCCTTTCTCCCCTCTCTTGCACTTTCTCTCTTCTCTTTCAATCTTTCTCGCTAATTTATCGTTAAATAGATATCACTGGCCATCTCATAAACCACAGATGTATTGATAACTCTGTTAAACAAATGTTTCAGTAGGTCCTTGTAAAATCCTCTTGACTCTCTTATCTGACTCGGTACACACAAGTAACCATGGAATGATACACACACAAGACAAATTTAACTTTGTAAACTTTCCTGAATATATTAGTATACTTTAAAATAATCATCAGAATAATCATCACAAATTATGTTAAAAATGAAATGCTAAAATAATATCAACGTACACGAGGGAAGAATGTACATGCATACATAATGGATTGTAAATGTAGTCTAATCATAATATAAGTGGGTAGGTGTATGGGGTGCCAAGCATCATATTTTTCATCCCATAAAAATAGCCATAACCCTGTGTTTATAAAAATTCTTTTTAACACCTCTAAGATAAAAATGAATTTTTGAATAAATTATATTAAGGATGCATGATAAAAGAAAAGTTTAATTAAAAAGACAAACTGCCATGTGTTGAGCATGCATGAAATAAAATGAATGTTCATATTTTTATGTCGATGACAGTAATGCCAGCTTCAAACCAAGATGATTTCTTCTCCTATCCCCTCTCCGGTTGCTCATCTCATATTACATGTACTTTAAAATTTCTTCAAAAATAACATATTAAGTGCATTTGAATTAATCACTAGTATCTAATAGAATGCACATTTACAATTTTTTTAGAGTCTGAAGGTTTGCCATCATTCTCTTCCAAAAATAAACATACATGTAGGTTTACAGAACGTATGAATCCTGCCCTTTCAAAACAGGCTAATTGATCGAATACTGTTCTTCAAATTGGCAACAGTAATGATGATCTTTTATTACTATATTGTTTTAATAAAATCTAATATCTCTGAAAATATAACTGGGTACGAACTTTATCAAAAAGATTTTGATGTTGAACCTTTCACCGTGTTGCCGTTGGTTATTTTACCTGACTGCTAAGAAAACATAAATGCTTGTTTGTAAGAAAACAGAGGACTGATGGCTTTAGGTCCTCTCCGAGAGACCTGGTAATGAGGATTAATGCCTTACCAAAGGGAACTAGTGCATTGCTTGGTTTCGAACCCGGGTCACCGGATTAAAAGACCACTGCTCTACCGACTGAGCTATCGCGCCTCTTCATTGCAACAAAATAAATGTATATCTAAAACAGCAGATAATAGCTGAACAAAACTTAAATATGTTCGCTTACAAGAATTTCTTTCAAAATACAGACAAAAAAATTAGAATAGTCTTTAAATGTGTGCTTCAATGTACGAAATGAGCTTCAGAACAGAAATAACAAATGCCATTTTGAAAAGAGGGCACAACAGTTGATCCCATCCGACTGTAGCTGTGCACAGAATCATACATGTTCATGTAGAAAACTTGTCAAACATATTCTGACCAGGAGGGGGGGGGGTCAGTTTGAAATTTGAACCCCCCCCCCCCCCCATACAAAATCCATGACTGCCGTGCAACTGCTGCAGATCACGACTTCCTTTATACAGGGGTGATAGTGAGCACTAAAAAAAAATAGGTTTTTTGTTTTCCCCTCAACCACGCCCCCCTTGAGTAAAAAAAAAAAAAGGCGATTCGCGGGGAAAAAACGGCATCTAACAACATTCCCCCCTTTTGAGTAAGAAAATTGCGAGAAAAAAATAAGGCAAAATAGGGAAGAATAGAGAAAATAAGGGGGGAATCAGGAAAATCAGGATAAAAAAGGGAAGAAAAAAAAAATCTGGTAAAAAAAAAAAAAAAAAAAAAAAAAAAAAAAAAAAAAAAAAAAAAAAAAAATTTAAATCGGGAAGAAAAAAAAAATCGGGAAAAAATCGGGAAACCGATTTAAATCGGGTTTTTATCAGGCCTGTTTATAGCAAATTTGGTTGAAAAAGACCAGACAATCCATTGCAAGGTTATGCAACATTTCGTAGACACATGTCGGGTAAAAAAATCTAACTAAAATTGACATTTTGCATACATTTGTGAACAACATACTGCTCTTCCTAAATTGCTCTATGATACAGCCAATTCTGTTTTTATAAATCAACTACTTTTTGAAGCAGTATTCAAGTTCAATGAAATCTCTCCAGCAGTAACATGCACCATTGCATGTAGTCCTTGCTGTTTTTTACACAGTTATCTAAAAGATTTTTATTCTACTTTCATTTAAAAATGTTGATTAATTCATTTTCACCACACAACTCAAATGTGTGCACATTTACATGTATTACATTATTGGTCAATATTTTTGTCCATGCACTTTTGGAGTAATGTTTCATCCGATATTACTGCAGATAATTCCTCAATCAAACACATACGGTACACAGAACAACCTATACTATACAGAACCTCTTCTGTACCAACAGTTAATGAATGGTTACAATTATAAACCAACTTCTCTGATATATTTTGATTTCTCAATAGTTTGAATCACTGATTTTAAGAATGATATATTTTACAGTAATGTACGTCAATCGATCAGATTCTGCTTTAAAGGGATCGTTTAACAATGTTAAATCTGAGATACACGGCCCTACGTTTTATCAGTGTCTGTGATATATGGTGTAATATTGAAGCCCTAAAAAAATTGTGATTCAAAATGATCAAGAAGTGCCTCAAAAAAGTAAAAATCTTTGAGTGACCGGTTTTACCATACTTGTTTTCCCCAATGGACTGTAGCGTTATGAAAACCGTTTTGCAAATGGTTTTCAAAATTTGTAATTCCAATGATAAATATCTTGATAATCGGACAGGCGATCGGCTTGTAAAAGTCATGGGGTTTCTGACTGTCCTAAATGTTTATAATTATCATTGCAGCATGAGCTAAATCCAGAATTTTGTTTAAGGATCTGAGAAAAAGTTATCGGATCCCTTTAAAAGGGGTCTACATGTATGTCGCGATAATGTATTCAAATTTCAAAAAATGAGCTTCAAATATTACTTCAACAACCAGATATAGTTTAGATACATTCTCTGCAAAAATACTTTGAACAACTTGTTGAGGAGACTTGTCGACGCACACTTACACTGTACGTGCTCACATACGTGTACATGTAGAATAGGGACGACATGGAACCGAAGTTGGACTTGGTTCCATGCGAGGGTTTTATGTTTTACTTTCTTGTCTTCATACTCTGTAATCATAAACATATACTTACCCTTATGCAGTACATCCAAGGTATTCACAAACTACTTTTTCAAGTGATTGGTAGTACAGTATCCCTATTGGAATCAGATAATGAGCCACTTCGGAGATAGCACTTATACAAATGACACCCAAATGCCCACAGACCTTTTAAACATGGAGACGTCCCACTACATGTATGTGCATTTTAGAATAATCACAGCTAACGTGATGGAGGTGCTCTATGATGGACGCCATGAAAGGAATACTTCCACCTGTGTATCATAGATAGAATATACTACCGGTGCATAAATGAATAATGGTTACCGTACATAACTTTAATGAACGCGTATCTAGCCGTCATCTTGATGGGGTCTTACAGTACAGATCACATTTATCTGCCCATGCACAGATACTATCTTCAAAGCCATAAGCGGCTTATTCATCGAAAGAAGAAATCAGTGTTGTTCAACTGAACAGTTCAGAAGGGGGGGGGGGGGTAGGGGAGAGTTGGTTGAGGATTTGGCACTGGTCAACGACACTTCCAACACAGAAAGGGCTCAAATTCCTCTCACCGACTATTTTTGAACAGTGATATCCCATTCCCCTCAAGAAATACATATCATCAACTGTTCATAAACAGTGAGCTGCAAGAAACTAAGAATTCACTTTTTTGTTCAACTTAAGATGACAGAAACACAACCCAACAAATTAATTTCTTGACTCTGATGTTTTAAAGTTTGATATTCTTTGTGTATAATCACTCTGTTACATACATACAAGTACTCAATAAACGCAATAAAATGTAAGCGTAGAAAATAAAAGAGAATCTAGCTGCCAAACTACTACCGCTCACTGGTGTCATGTGTACATCATCTCCGCCATAGCCGACATTTTTCGCGGAATGTACACGATGCTATCAAAATAGCCTGCCAGGTCGTCAACTGAAGTATCATCGGGAAGACCGTCGATGGCCATTCTTGCCTCTTGCGAACACGAGTACTCCGGGCGGGCTAGGACGCGACTGGGCATGTTGGACGTCCTGCCAGTTGACCCCACTGCACTCTGAGATGGATAAGGAGTTGAGATTGTCGGAACAGGCAAGGGTATCTTTGGTGAAAAATTGAAACCTGTGCCTGCACGATAGTTTGAAAAGTGTAGGAGGGTAGAAGCACCGGTAAAGACGTCTTTCTCGCTCACCACGTCGCTCGTAGCGCCTCCCTTGCAAGGAGGTGCAGCTGAAAACAATTTCTTTTCGCTACGTTTCTCTTTCGTGGCCACTTCACCAGATTCCTCCACGATGGTGGCCAGTGTTTTGAACGTTAAAAGCTTGGACTTGCACATGCTACCGAAGCGGCACGTGGAAACCTTCTTCCCGCACTTACACAGGGTTCCGTCCGCCTTGGCGTCGCATCGACAGGGCACTTCCCGCTTGCTGCAAGTGCACTTTCCCAAACCGGAAGCAAACTTCACTTTAACGTTCCCAGCATCGGACCACATCTTGCCGGGTGCTAGCCGACCGCCCTGTTCAGACTGAGCAGAAAACGTACTGCTTCGTATCAGCGGACTCTCACACGTGGCCTTTCCTCCGTGGCAAGTCAGAAGGCTCCTGTAGGGACTCAGCCGGTTCCTGGAGCTCCTCAGGGCAAGAGATTTGCGGGTTTTCTTTGACGGTTTGACAGTCTGGTTGTACCATCTGGAGCTTGGCTTCGATGCAGCGGTGCCATAGTTGGTGGCGCCTTTCACTCTACATTGACAAAATCAGAAGTGCATGTACATGTAGAAGAACTTATAATCGAAATGTTTGAAAGTTAATATTCATGGAAAATAATTTCTATACATTTAAGTTACAATGTTCATGTGCATTACCTTTCCTCCACACACTCACCCTAACCGCAAAGGTTTGCGATCGATTACAAATTTGAAATAACAGTTCTGTTTGGGTGACAGTCAGCCTTGTTAACAATATGTGCATGTTGCAATAGTCTTGAGTGGCCAATTGATTACAAACCATTCTGTTGTTACAGGGCCCGGCCCTTTGCTTGCATGGAAATGTACAATATCAATATACTGTAAGTGTCCTACATGTAGGATGGAAATCTGAAAATGATCTCATGTTTAATGTTAGTTAAACAATGTTTTAATTGTCACATCAAATCAAATTTGGACCAACTAATGTCTACTGTACTCAAAGCTGGCAGTATTTACGTAAAATTAAAAGTGATCGAGGAAGCACCTACATGTACATGTACTATAAAAGCTGATTTCACAGAACTTGAGTTTGTTATAATAATTAATAGTTCATCTTTATCCTTGAACTGAACGTAAACAGATATAAGTTTTCAAAAACGAGTTCCTGGTGTACTCACTTCTCTGGATCCATCTTGAGCTTCTTGAACATCCCATGGAGGTAATCGTCCCAGTCGTCGTCTTCAGACGAAACAGTGGGGTTTGGGGTTGCCATGGTGATCAACGCTGGAGGTTTCTGCGACTGGTTACGGGACGAAGGGGGGAAAGTGGACAGGGAAACGAGGTCTTGGAGAGGACAGCACAGATTCTTTTTTCCTGCATATTCAAAATGACAGGTGAGAGTATATTAAAGAGATGGGGAGGGGGACGGAAGGATAAGGCAGAAAACAATATTAAACAGGGAAGAAAATAAAAGAGAAAGGTAATTGGACATGGGAAGCCAGAGAGGTTAACAAATACAAACAAAAATAATTTCAGAAAATTGTAAAAAAACTTTAAAAAACCATAGATCCATTATCAATGATGAAAGTCTCATCCATGCGCATCTGAAATTACAGAAACGCATACACGTACACCTACATGTATCAAGAATTTTCTTCTATATTCCTCTGAGAGGTCAGTGTTTTTTTTAAGCATGTATAATTAAATAACTCATTATCATCAGGAACACGTGGAAGGTAAGCAAATCACCAACACTCAAGTTTCAAATTTAGAAATATATGGTTAAATTCTTGACCAACTTGAAAGTGCTGGTAGTGGTAGAGAGATCAGTGATTAGGAACGCATTTTAGGTTTTGTGTACATCACTTTTTGCATTATAGCGTATCGTATAGCGTACCGACGGTGGGATGCTGGGCACGCGCGTATAGTTATTGATCGTAATGATGAATTACTCATGAACTTGATGAGGATCTGAGATTACATTTACAGTCGCTAACTTCACATCCGTGCGCGCGTGCATCCGGGCCCGCACCCCACCGTCCTTACGCTATATGGTAATGCAATAGTATTATGCAGCGGTTTGTCGTGTAACCTGTGAGAAAGTGTAGACGTCATAGTGATACTAGTATAAAAATAGATCTAGACAAGTCTAGATCTAGACCGAATTTTCCGTCTCTTTCGTTCGTTAGCCTCTTATTGGGGTAGGGTCGGCTCTCTCTTTAGAGACGGAAGCCGTTTATACACATGTCCTTGCTAACGCCACTGCCAGTTCTGGTCGTAGCGTTTTGCCCCCAAAATCCCCCAAAATGTCATTTTACCTCGAGCATGTTATATTGTAAATTAGGCCTAGGCTATAATAAATCAGTTCCACTTACCAACTTGACTGAAATAATCAGTTTAATAGTCCCTTTTTAGGAAATTATGGGTCAAAATCGAAATCCATTTTGAAAATCTTTTTCAACATGGATTCCGATTTTGACCCATAATTTCCTAAAAAGGGACTATTAAACTGATTATTTCAGTCAAGTTGGTAAGTGGAACTGATTTATTATAGCCTAGGCCTAATTTACAATATAACATGCTCGAGGTAAAATGACATTTTGGGGGATTTTGGGGGCAAAACGCTACGACCAGAACTGGCAGTGGCGTTAGCAAGGACATGTGTATAAACGGCTTCCGTCTCTAAAGAGAGAGCCGACCCTACCCCAATAAGAGGCTAACGAACGAAAGAGACGGAAAATTCGGTCTAGTCTAGATCTAGCTGTCTGTTTTCGTTTTTAGGAAAAATACACAAATGACAAAAGGGGTAAGAAAGTAACAAATTTTAAATCTGACCATCTACTTGAACAATTGATGAATATTTAGTTGTATTTTTAGGGTATCTCCAAGGCCACGCAAGAGTTACGGGTCAAAGTCTTGATACGAAAGTACACTATCGACAGTGATTCTTGCGCAACCAAATAAAGATCATGTCAGTCTTTAAGCTACACGTATACACTACACACACATCACATTGCATGTCATTGCATTGAACTAGACTCTAGTCACAGTGACAGCGCAGTGCACGGGTCGGATCGCGATCTGATTTCGCAACCTTATGCGGCGTCTAATTACCATGGATATTGTCCTGAATTACTGACTGTAAACAAGAATATGCCTAAAAATAATGTTACTTAACAAAATAACAGCAAACTCACCTGCTTGTATTTGTTCGATAGAGAAAGAAATATATTTCTCTGTGACTCGTAGTGTACACGAAGCAAGAAATTCCAGTCACTCACTCACCGCACGCCATGTTTGTTGTAGTTACTCTTCCACGCATGCGTGGATTACGTCATAATTACTCATGCAAGGTAAGGATGCGTCCATTTCAATAAGGGGATCTGATAAAATGAGGCAATTAATTGTATACACTATTTGAAAGGAAATTATATTTACATTCAATATGTGTGCATTTAGATGGAATAAAAAATGTAGAATCATGAAAAATTATCAATCAAATTATGAATTAATATGACTTTAATTTTAAGATTTTATAATACGTTACCCTTTTAATCTAATCGTTGAGCCTGTACCACGTGATGACAACAAAAGTTCCATGTGTTTCTCTCGTTTCCCACGGCTCTTATAATATGCGACGCAGGAAAGAATATGATAATGATATTGAACCCGTCAAAACAAACGATTTCATCCTTTCACTGCATGCACTGCGCAGCAGCTTTCATTTATTCATCGCTTTGCATCGCAGATACGTTGAACTATTGCGGATCTGAAGACTTACGACTATCGACTGATTCAGTGGATTTTCCGATTATACTGACAAAAGGATGCCTTTTCTAGGGAATGATTGGCGAGCTCCGGGTAACGTTTGGGTGAAAAATACTGGAGGTTGGGAGCGGATTGTTGCCCTGCGAGAAAACCTGAATCGCCACATCAAAAAGCTCGCACACGATCGGTAAGGGTTTGCATGGCATAGCGTGTAAATTACTTGGAAGAAAGGTATATACATTAGATCGTCTGCTGTATTAACTTGTGTGAAATCCTTACTGAAATCTTTAATTGCGAGGGACTATAGCTAGCTGGAGCTAAAGTAGAGGTGTTTGATGTTGATTCTGTTTCTGATTTATTCTCCTGTTCTGAAATGGCATTTTCATTACGTTAATCACTAATCATGTTTTCTGTGTGTCTAATTATATATATCAGTCATTTGAATAAGAATTATAATATATTACCACTTTGAATTAACACAATGATGATGATGATATGATGCTGATGATGAATGCAAGAAATAGTAATAATTACGATCATAATAATAATGATTATAATAATGATGATGATCATGAAGGTGATGGTCGTCATCATCATCGTATCACTTTCATCATCATCATCATCACCTTCATCATGCATTATCATTCCTATATCATCATCATGTAATTTTGAGAATTAACGAAGAAACAGTTGTTCGTTAAAAAGTGCAAGTGTAGGAACTAATTTTAGATTTTATTTCAATATCAGTATTCTGATGTGCTTTATATATAACATCTGAAAAAAATACTCGAATAATAATCCCTTTATAATCAACAAGTCAGCTGTTTTGGGGACGTCCCTGAACCCAATGCCAGACTCAATACAGTCTGTAATCATTCAATTCGGCAGCATTCAAACGGATTGGCTGCAGGCCCTGGCATTAGACTTCAATGCCATCACATAATGTTTTGAAACCTAGATCAGGCTCGCGTTGCCAATTTGAGTACTTCAATTACACAAAAGTCGCATGACTCATATCCTGCACTGTTTGTTCGAAATTAATTCCCCACAAATTATTGGTTTCACTCATGTGTCCGGTTTCATAAACGATCGTAATTTGTTGTTGATTGTTTGTAGAGAGCATGCAACGAAAGATCCAACATTTCTTATTTACTTTCCACTTCGATCTTTTCCACACTATTCCCAAGAGCGGGAGAGAGGGCATCATAAAATCAATATAATGTTTTTGTTGTTGTTATTGCTTCTGTTGTTGTTGCTGTTGTTGTTCATGTTTTTGGAGTTTTTAAAGGCGTGTATAGGGCCTATCATTCGTTGTGCATAACTATGTATTTCAGCCAAAATCTATCCGCATAAAACATTACGTACAATCATGTACATTGTACGCCGCATATATTTTTGCGCAATTCAGACTGTGTGGAGATTCAATTAAATATAATTATGATTTTTATATATGCCATTATGATTCATGTATTTTCCTTGATGATTAGTTTAATGTCATTAATAATGGTGTATACTGAATGGGTCAAAACTTGAATAGCTCTTGCTATTTATATTTTCGCTTTCAATTTACTGAATGTATTATCATGCTCAAGTATAATTTAACTGAGAATTTATGGTAAAAGTTAAAATGAATGAATGAAATACATGTATTACTGATTAGTCTTGCAATGTTCTTAATATACACATAGCATGTCGATCTGTATTATATAAGATTAAAGAGAAGATTGAGGATTTGATTGGGCCCATGATTTAGACACAATCTTTGTTCATTCCCGTATTATGTAATGCTTGCCATTCAGAAATCGTGCGCTGAGAGCCGAGATAAAATAATTCACATCTCCATTTGCATTATGAATATGATACCATGTGGCATTGCCCCCCCCCCCCTCTCCTTGCATATTTTTTAACTTTCCTTTTTCTCTTTTCTTGAAATAAAAATTGATCAGATGTCCCGGTCTAATGACGAATATAAATATAATGTATGGAGAATAAAAAAAAGAATAAGCGATGGATGTGATGCGATCATGAACTTCGTCGTACGGATGAAGATTGTAAACAAAAGACACGTGTACATGTATCTTGTTCAATGACACAATGAGACAATGTTTTGTATAGCACAATGAGTCACACGTCAGCTGTGGAACATTATCACTATCAAGCTCCGAGTATGCATTGTTTGGCTGGGTCGAGGATACTGAGAAATAATAATCATGATCAGCTGATATTTGGAATCATCTCCCTCCCGGCGGCAGAAATAAACTGGGCTTGAACTTCTGGCATGAAGCCATTATTGTGATGCAGGAGCAAGAGACAAGAGAGTTGAGTTGATGGTTGATGGTTTCTATCTTAAGGATCGAAGCATGTGTATATTTGTAAGTACGTTATCAAGGGACCGACGGATTTAAGTCCTTTCCGAGGGACTTGGTAGGTGGTAATGAGGATTGATGTCTTATCAAGGGGCACCAGCGCATGGACCTGCTTTCGAACCCGGGACCTCCTGGGGTACTAGACCATTGTTCCATCAATGAGCCATCTCTCCTCCTCAGAGTATGATCACTTATAAGAACTAATATTTCTTGAATGTTATAGATATACAACTCTTGGTCGTATTAAACAAACTCTGGGATTTAAGGGGCACAAGGGGTCAATTTCACACCCCTTTGAAACTCATGCACGTTGCAAACTGTACTCAAGTGCAAGAATGTATCCCCTTCCCCCTTTACAGATGTGATGACTTTGGGGTTTTTTTTTCTTCTTTTTTTTTCTTTCTTCATTTTTTGGAATTTGTTTTTCTTGTTTTATTTGTTTTTTATTTTTAATCATTAGCGATAGTGATGATGATGATGGCAGAGAGGGGAAAGAGAGATAGAAACTAGAAAGAGAAAGAGAGAGGATTTTTTGGTGCCGATATTGCATGGTGATAATGAAGTGATAATGATTAAATTGATGATTATAATAATGATATTTTGAGTTGAGAGTGTGACTACAAACAAAATAGGCCAACTTATGCATAGTTGCTGTAGGCCTTATGTTCCTTTCTATTATTTCTCAATAATTTTTGAATACATTTCTTCATCCTGAGAACCAGTACCAATATACATTCCATTATCTTTTGTTCACATGTTACTCTCATTACGAATTTAGTCAGGTTTTATGTATTGTTTATACAACATCTACGTGGATCCTTGTCATTTGATTGGAGGATTGTTGGTCACATGATATTCAATAGATGTTATATTGCACGGTCGTGCATTTTTGGTTATATGCAGACTACCTCTCTGCCGTGCGCGTATCCCTGCGTGTATCTGACGCGAAGGCAATCTGAATGTATGTAATCGAGAAGGCTTGACTCCAACTTTAATAAATATAAGGAGTAAAGCATAATTCGTTGATTAACGTTCTATTATTGTCTTTCAATGTCATTCAAAAAATACTTAGTGTAATATGTTTATCTTCACCATGCTCGTTATATTGATTTTTTTTCAAGTAACTACAAATTGATCTGCTCGCATATAATTCTTGTATTCTTCTGCCCCTCTATTCAATGAAAAAAGACATTTTGCCCAGTAACTCATCCATCTCGCCAATATTCCCTGGTAATTAAAATTTGTCCGATCCCTCATGTTTTGCCTGTTTATTCCTTTAATAAATAAGCATTTAGGCCTACCCCGTGTTCCGAAATTGCGTTGCGAGGGCCATCGTCAACTAATAAACCTTCTCTTCCAATGCCTTATATTAATAAAGGTGAATTACTGTTTTGATGGAAGAGTAGTTACATTGTATTGTATTGTATTGTATTGTATTTATTCAGACAAGCATGTCTAGGGATGCAGAAAAGGGTTTGAAAAACCCGTACAAGTCTGCATCCCTGATAAAAAGCAAAGTTCACATGTATACCGTCATCGGATTTATTAAACCTTCCAAGAAATGGGGCATGTCAAAGTCATTATGCTGGTTATATGCTTTGAGATGTAGGCCTACATGCACTCAGAATGTTGTTGCTGAATTGCATAACAACAGTAGCTAGAACAAGCCCAAGTATAACATTTATGGCATTAATTGCGCATGAAAGATATACTAGAATTGCATTTTGTATTTGGTTCATCTTTATTCTTTTCCCTGTGTTAATTAGTTGTATGTATGTTTGTGTTTTATTTCTGCGTTTTCAAAAAATTACATAATCATATCGATAAATTAACAAATTATTACTTCATTAAACATAATTATAAAGTTTTCAGTATAGGCCCAGTAATAAGATGCGTACAAACAGAAATATTTTTCAATGAAAAGTGATAAAGTAAATAAAATATTTATAAAATTTTAAAAAAACGCAGGAGACCGCCATCGTGATCGGTATAAGCTTGAAATCGATGGATGCTTCTTCATCTCAGGCGCTTTGAGTTTTGTTGATATATTATTTTTTAAAGACTTGGCTCGATATTCAGATATTCAGATGCATGTTTTATAATATGCATATGTAATTAACAGCGCGTGAAAGAAAGAAGGGAAATACATTTCATATTTAGTTATGTTTTGTTATTTTCCCTTCCAAAACCGCAAACAGCGGGACTCGAAACATAAACTATTAAACCATGTGTACGCAAATAATCTGTTGTGTAAATTCTCGTTATAAGACGTGATATTAGTAATAGAGTAAATGAAATGCTTACAGGACATAAAACATGCATTTGTTTTCAACGGAATGAAACACTTTATTGGTTTTAAAGGCATGACTATACGATGCCGAGATTGCGTTTTTGTGTAAGTCCCCATTTTCCCATTCATTGTATTTGGAGCTGAAGTCGGGTTCAGAGCATTACCTCAGATTTCCTCAGGACAACTAATGTAGCGGCTCCGGAATCTGTTGACAGGGGGGGGGGGGGTAAATTTGTTTTACCATTTCCTATTCGCATTGGAGGGGTTGTATTTGGAATCTGGTTCGGAGCATTTCCTCAAATATTTTTTTCCCGTGAACATAATAATTATGTCGAAACTTCCGTATGAACCTAACGCCTGCGGCATAGAGGGGCAGGTTGACGAAGGGACCCACCCCTCCCACCCCAGCCCCTAAAAATAGTTTTAATATAATTTCTGGATTTTTTTTTTTTTTTTTTTTTTTTTTTTTTTTATTATTATTTTTTTTTATGAATAATTTATTCATTAGTGTTAGGGGGTGCTCCTTTTTTGAGTGAAGACTGTTAGTGTTGGCCTGCTTTGTTTTATTCTAGGCTTATCGAGGGGGAACCTGTCCGCCTGCACTACTCCCATCCCCTGAGTCCGCCACAAAAAAAAATGTAGGCTAGCCATGGTGTGGACAACACACGCGTAGCCGTATAATTCTTCCTAAAATGGGCATTACAATTACATCATTGTGTATATTGAGAAATGACAAAGCCTATTTTGTACTGAATAGTCTTCGAACTAGACAGTGTATAATGACAATCATGCATGTATGTCCGTTCGCGCTGTGGATAGTATACTTTTCGTTTGCATTAGCTTTATTTTATAGCCTTTATGAAACATATTATTTGTAAAGCTCCTGTTATCTACGTACATGGTTACGATCAATTGAAAATGAATTAAAAATACACATAGTATATAGGCCTAGGTGCAACAATGAAAGAGGTTCCCCAAAACAAGTGCCTCAAAAACCTAACTTTTTACTCCAGTTATATATGATTTTATAGAGTATAATGTGTATCTCATCATATTTCTATATTTCTTTTGGTTTTTATGTTATTTTTCAAAGAAACATAATAATTTGTATTTGGCGTTGATTTCATATAGAGTCTGAACAACTAGACTAACATACTATTTACACGAACCAAAAATCAATAGACCCCGATCGCGAGTAAGGTACTCCGTGCCCATATATGGACAGTATAATGCAAAGAAGTGTTCTTTACATATCAATGCACGTTGTGCAATGTCACTATTATTTAAAACCCCTGGGCATAATAAGGTGTATAATGTTTAACAGGACTGGAACGAACCATATAAGGTACTCCCTTCTTCAACTGGCTATGATTTAATATTTGTGTGTAAATTAACCTAAAAGTAAAAGCTCCAGTTGCTTGCAAAATGATTTTTCATTAATTATCCGAGTCCGCTGCGATCGACACTATATCTACGGGATCATGTTTGGAGGAAAAATGTAAGCTTTTTATTAAATTAATTGTATATTTTTCTAACTGTAAATGTACTAGAATTAAAATTCAACCTGTAGCTTATATTTTGCAACAGGTTGCCATGTATGTACGCCAATCACAATGTTATGATATATTGATCATTGTATTTGGCATATGATATGTTGAACCGGTATATGTCATTTTGAATTGCTTTTGATTTACTCATTACTCATTATGATAGCGAGCGTTTGGATGATTATGTATTTTATGTCAGCCGTTCTACAGACTTAAAATATACTCCCGGCCAAATCTAGGTCGTAGCTCTTTCTCATCACTGGGAAGATTATCAGAGTTTGTGAAATATATTACCGGAATTTTATATACTGAAGCGAATATATTGGAATGTATATGAAGGGTGAACAAATAAGAATGCACGCAGGACAAAATTCATAGTATTAGTACATTATGTAGTTGCATTTGTGAGTATTATCACTGAGCTATGTGTAGCTCGATCTCACAAAGAATCCCTTTTTTGGTGGTCCTTGCTTCTCTGGATAAATGGTTAAAATTGACACTGGAGATTTTTTTTTCCGGCTCAAAATGGAAAATACTGAATTCTTTCTTTGGATAAACATCTTGCATTTCTATTTATGTGTCAAAATGGTGCACAGTGCACACAACCTTTTTAAGCGTTGTGATGCACACTTCCTATAATAATGGATTCTTTATTCTTTGTTCAGAACTCTCATCTCGCGATTTATAGCCCCCTCCCTCTTCTTTCTATCTCTTTTAATCGCTATGTCTATCTTTATCTTTCCTCTTTTAATATCCCTCATTTCTTGAAACAGTTGCCAAAGCACTGTCACCTATCATATGTTATGATTTTTTCTCCACCCCTCCCCCACCCCTCAACTTTATTATCTAGGCTTCTTGTGATGGCAGCTATAGCCTCTCCTCTCCTCTAGCTTAGCCCTCATCCCTCGAAATACATGTATAACCTGGAGCGATTGTCATCAGAGCAATATATTCTATCATGTTTGTTACGATTTTTGTTTTGGTCTCCCACTTTATTCTCTAAAGGCTTCTGGTAAAGATCCGATTGTTAGCCTCTCTCATCCCTCAATAACTGGCTGTAAACCTCTCGATCTTTTCCCTCATCCCTCAGATAAAACCTTAATCTATTTTTGCCAGGGCATCATCACCTAGCTATCCTAACATTTTGTATCTATCCCTTCCCACCCCACGACGCCCCAACTTTATTATCTAGGCTTCTGATGAAGAACTTGGCCCTGTATTACAAAGAGTTGATATCAATCGCACGTTATTTGTGATTGATATCAATCACAACTATGTACATAAGAGATGGGAGACTGCAAACTTGTGATTGATTTTGGGACTTGATATTGATTCGGATCAATATCAACTCTTTGTAAGACGGGGCCCTGGAAGCTATATCTCCTGTTATCCCTTGTCCCTCAAAATAAACCTGGTGCAACTGTTGCCAGAGCATTGTCTATCTATCCTAACATGTTTTTGTTTCTTTCTTTCTTTCTTTCTTTCCCTCCCCTACCCCGCCTTGGCCCAACTTTATTCTCTAGGCTTCTGGTGAAGAACTGGCAGCTGGCCTCGGAGGTGGACCACTCCATCAAGGAATGGGATGCCAGCCAAAATGGTGATCTCACATCCACTCCGTTCTGGAAGAGCACCAAGAGACCCACATGTAAGTCGATAAGTTCAGTTTGGTTTTAATTAGTCGATAAGTTTAGTTTGGTTTTAATTAGTCAATAAATTCAGTTTGGTTTTAATTTACATATATATATATATATATATATATATATATGGCCGCCTCCATCAGCTATGACATGGCTAATTGGTTTGCAAGTGATTTGATTTGGTAGGGGATCCGTTTTGGGTTGGAGAATGCATCAAGAAGGTAACAGGTATTGTAATTGATGATGATGATGGATATTGTTGAATTGTTATTATATTCCACATTGCTGATAAAGAACCATGGTAACCATGGTTTTTTTTTCATCCAAATTACCATCCACCATGGTAACCATGGTATCAAGCAATGAAATCAAATGAAATTATCATTGTTTGATACCATGGTTACCATGGTTACCATGATGGATGGTAATTTGGACCCCAAAAAACATGGTTAGCATGTTTCATTTTTATAAGGGATTATACTACAGTTACACCAGTTATAAGTCCTGATCATGATCGCCACCATTACCATTACTATCCTCAGAAACTAAAGCCATCAACATGCCTGAAGAAAGAAAATAAGTAATTTCCAACAATTAATGACGCCCTTCTGGCTTTCAGCACATGACACCATTTTTTTTGTCTTATGTTTCACATATGTTACACCAATGGAAAACAAATTTCTGTATAATATATGGACAATAAAATCTTGAATCTTGAATTAAATCACATGACCTGGCCAAAATATACCCACCCACATTCCCATGCCTGCATTGTCTTCCATCTTTCTGCCTGTTCGTTCTCGGGAACAATTAAAGTCCTCTACAAACCAAACCCCTCGTCAAAAAGGCCCCTTAAAAGGCCACAAAGGAAAATTGGAACCCTATAGCTAGCTCCTTGTTGATGGCAAGATGATGATATCAGATACTCTTCGTAAAAACTTGGCAAAATGCACAAATTGTTCGCATAGCCCGCATTCCAAGCATAGCAAGTCACAAGAGGGGGTGCTCTTCTGGTACCTCTTTTAACTCCTGGAATGCCAGGCTTCTGGCCCAATGCCCAGTTAATAAAGGAACATATAGGGATTGAAAGGGCATGGGTTAATCAAGTATTTACTGTGGGGCGGTTTATGTCTAAAGCATGTGTTTGGCATCCAACAAAGACACACTGTATGGCATGTAGAAAAATAGAAATTAAATCAAGGAAAGGAATTGGTAAGGAAATTGGGCCAATTAATAATTCAAGATTTGTTGATTCTAATTGGAAAGCTTTCATTAAGTAAAACAAATGACTCCCACTCCCAAGAATATGAATCGCCTGTCTCACAAACATTTGCTTATTAGAACATACAAACATTTGTACAGTATGTGTCAATCTTTTGATATATTAGATATATGCCTTCTAACACAATTATTCTGATTGACATTTCATTGTGAAGTCTCAATGGCCTTATGATACTAAAATTGTGATTGAGGATTTGTTACAAAACGGTGTTTAATTAATCTGAGGTCTAAATTTGTTGTTGTTAAATTAAATGTGATCTTTAATAGACCAGGGTCAGGTTCACCCGAGGCAGTAGAATATGGAACATTATGTTATTTAATATATGGTTGTTTGCAAATGTTCTTTTGTTTAAATCATCTTTCTATTCATACACTCTATTTCTTTCTCCCAAAAGTCTTTAAAATGGTTGTTCTCTTTGCAAATGTTCTTCTGTTTTAATTATTCTTTGAATTATCTTTCTATTCATATTTTTTTCTTCTACAGTCCGCAAGCTATCACAATATGTCTTTCTCCCAAAGGGAGCAGGAAGAGAGGTAAATACATATAACTTTCTTTTATTATGATTGTGATCAATATGTATTAACGATGATAATAGCATGTACTAGTGTAAACAAGGGAAGGACATAACAATTTTTAGGGGTGCCGCTATAACTATAGAGTTGAGGGCAGTCTACATCTTTATACTTTTTATACTTTGACTCCCCCCCCCCCCCAAAAAAAAAAAAAAATAAATAAATAAATAAATAAATAAATAAATAAATAAATAAATAAATAAATAAATAAAAAATAAATAAAAATTAAAAGTTAAAATTAAAAAAAGTAAAGAAATGAATTAAATACTTTTTTTGGTAATAGTTTAAAAAAATAGATATTAATAGTAATAATAAGTAAATAAAAAACTGAAATCCTTCTTCTTGATTATAAATAAGTATAGAAATCATGGAATTAAATATATTATATATCATGGAATGATTTCTATGAACAATAAAAAAAAAATATGATTCTCTGATTGTTAAACTTGCATTAGGAAATGTAACTTTGTAATAAATATGTTTGTACTGTAAACAATTGTTTATTATGTTATAACCTTGTTCATGTAAAAGAAAGTGAAATCGAAGGAAGGCCTGCAACTGACAAAGAAATTTCAGTGGTGAACAATACTTCTTTGAAAGGACTATAATACATGTACAGTATACATGTATGTACTAATTCACAGATAAAATTCTATGTTGATTAGAAGAAATCATTGAAAGAGCAAATCAGGAACCCATTTTACAAAGCCATTTTTCAATGACAGAAATGACAAATATCAGTGACAAATCTGCTGATAACCAATCAGAAGCTTATAACAAAAACTGTCATTTGCCACTGATGACAACTTTTGTGAAATGGAGCCCAGGCCTTTTTAAGTTTCATTACCAATCTATTTCTTGTTATCTCTTGATCATTCTATTGTGAAATCCTTGTATATCAGTACTTCATGATTAGTGAGATACATGCTTATTTCACAAGCTTGAATTTTGACATCTTGCCTAAATATTTAAATCTATTATACACTTTCATCACTTTTATCATTTGTATTACTTGTTTGTTTTTGTTTACTTCTTCTCCGTGTGTTTTCTTAAATCAGAGATCTCAATACATCACGGTCGGTGAGATACTTCTGAAACTCGACTTCTGTTCAGCCCTCCATCAGCTCAGTAGATTCCAGTATGTTTGCAGGGTGAGTATATAAGGCACAGGTGATACCAAATTAATAATAACAATAATAATGATAAGGATAATAATGTAGGCCATTTCCTGACACATGTGGCATCAAATAATCATTTCTTCACATTTTTTATTACAAAGTGTTACTGTGATCTCTAAGTAGTCCAGATTGATTTTACAAAAAATAGTTTTGATTGTGTTGGGTACAAATTGACTGTATTCAAAGATTTTTCTTCTTCTAATTTTCCCCTTTTACTTTTTCAGTTCTTAGAGTTGGTGATACAGAACCACTATTCATCCCTTAGTGGATCAGCTCTGAAATGTCTCTTTGGCATCGTAGAAGAGGCTGTTAATGTAGGTGAGTGATACTTGTTTGATTGTTTGTTTGTTTGTTTGTTTCACCTGATTGCTAAGGAAGCATATATATGTTTGTAAATAAGGAACCATGGGAACGAGGGCTTCAAGTCGTCTCTGAGGGACTTAGTAATGAGGATTAATGCCTTATCTAAAGGCATGGACTTTGTTTCGAACCCTGGACCGCCAGTTAAGGGAGCACTGAGCAATACTTTCGACATTGGCTGGGGTCCTCCTGATAATTCGCCATTCCTATGTCTCCAAGCCCATGTTTCCCAACCCTCAACTATAATCATATTCAGGGAATGTACTATGTAGAGGTAAATAGGGACAAGGAAACAAAGAAGTAGCGACTACAGAATTGCCTTATTTCTTCTGGGACATTGATTAGACACCAATTTCATAGCAGGACGACAATCTACAGGGATGTAATTCTTTCAGCCATCCACAGTGAAAGACTTTCATACTACTCTTCCCAACATCAACTACAACTAGGCTTTAATAAACCAAAGCAGAGAAATGAGAGACGCATCAGTTAGAGTTTGTCTGATACAGCTTTCTGAATAATTAATCTTTCTATAAAATGATGAATGTCTTGTTTATCTGTTTCATAAATGCCCTGGGCATTTAATTTGAAGGGGATCTGAGCATTTTTTTTCAAGTGGAATGGCCATGCACCTTGCAAATTTTACTTTCTGTTAAGTCAGAAGCGCACTAACTCATATACTTAAACACAAATTCAATGTATTATTATATTGTTATATTGTTGTTATTATTTGACCTGTAGCCATGGAAACCAAGTACAACGTGAACCAGGTCAGGTCAATCATCAAAACCCTTATCAAAGCCCTCCAGCTGCACACCAAAAGTTACATCGGGGGCAAGGCGGGCTGGAACTGTCACTACCACATTGCTCATGTCTGGCTGAATCAACTTAACAACATACAGTATGAAGAGGTGAGAGAGCTAGGCGTTCGAGGGCAAGGTAGCGTAGTAGACTCATTGAAGGGGCACTGGCATCATGGGGGGGGGGGGGGCACCAGTCGTTCAATGTGGTTGAAATGTGAATTAACAAGGCTGCACATGTCTTCTAAACTAGATGGAACTTCGACTGCGCGCAGTCGAAATGATGCCTCCGTCATAGAGCAATTTACAAACCAAAACAGAAGAAATTTTTCAAATTCAAGTTCAATTGTAATCCATTAACAGGTTCTCAGAATATCGTGATTACAAGCAATTTCTCATATACATATATGACCCTTTGATCTTTGACCTCATGACCCTAACATCTACTCAGTTCATTGGCTCCGCAAGATGTCCCGAGTTAAATAGTAATCCATCTGTCAGTTCTAATGAGAATGCGTTCACAAGCTATTTTTGCATACATAATGAGCCCATGACCTTTGACCTTATGACCCAAGAATCTACTCAGTTCATTGGCTCTGCAAGATACATACATGATCTAAGTTTGGCAGGAATCCATCAATCTGTTCTAATGATAATGCGATCACAAGCTATTTTTGCATACATAATGAGCTGCATGACCTTTGACCTTGACCTCATGACCCCAAAATCTAATCAGTTCATCGGCTCTGCAAGTAACATACATGACCTAAGTTTGGCAGGAATCCATCAATCGGTTCTTGAGATAACGCGATCACAAGCTGTTTTTGCATACATAATGAGCCCTGTGACCTTTGACCTTTGACCTCGTGACCCCAAAATCTAATCAGTTCATCGGCTCTGCTAGATCCATACATGACCAAAGTTTGGCAGGAATCCATCAATCGGTTCTTCAGATAACGCGATCACGAGCTGTTTTTGCATACATAATGAGCCCTGTGACCTTTGACCTTTGACCTCGTGACCCCCAAATCTAATCAGTTCATCGGCTCTGCAAGATACATACATGACCAAAGTTTGGCAGGAATCCATCAATCGGTTCTTCAGATAACGCGATCACGAGAACGGGACGTACGGACGGACGGACGGACAACCCGAAAACATAATGCCTCCGGCTACTTCGTAACGGAGGCATAAAAAATAAAACACTTATCCTATTTACATCGAGAGAAGGGGGATATAAGTAAAGAAAACACTTCCAACTTTTGGCAGAAGCGTTGTAGCCCATATCTATGACAAACAAAGGTCCTACCGGTACTCATATTAAAGGGAGTGTAGCTTGGCAAATACTGGTCAATGCCATCACGTCTTCTTTTAGACAACTGCACGTAAACAAATTATTAACGGTAGTCAGCGACTTAATCTCTACATGGTCAGCATTCGCGAAAGAGACCAAAGTTCTCCTCACGCTTCGGTTTTGCGTATGTTGCAGGCACGTGATTGCTGTGGTCGCGTTATCCATAATCGTTATAAACCCGATTGGCCCCCGAGTCAGGCCGAGGGAAAGACACGTACTCTTGTCAGGCTACACTCCCTTTAAATTTGCTTTAAAAGATACAGAAGTGTGAAGCACATTACACTTTGAGTCATCGTAAAACAAACCGCCACGGTCGAAGCTTCATATCTGAACAAGGCTTTCAGGAGGCAAGCAACAGGGGAATTACAGCTTTACATCCTATCCAAGGGGCTCAATTGATAGCTGCTAGATAACAGGGGTGATAGTGAGCCCTCAACCAATGAGTAAAAAAAAAAAGAAGAGGATTCAGGGGGGAAAATGGCATTTAACAACATTCCCCCCCTTTTGAGTAAGAAAAAATTGGAAGAAAAGAGAAAATAAGGGAAAATCAGGATAAAATCGGGAAGAAAAAAAAGAAGAAAAAAAATTGGGTAAAAACAAAATTATATATAAACAAATCAGGAAGAAAAAAAAATTAGGAAAAAATAAGGAAACCGATTTAAATCGGGTTGTTATCAGGCCTGGCTAACGAAAGATTTGCTCTCTTTTTTTTCTACGGCAGAGACAAGACGACGGGAAGCCCGCCCTGACCGACCTTCCCGAGGAGTGCCTGACGCAGATCCTGAAGAAGATGCAGGACCATTGTGACATCACACACACAGGGGAAGCCAACAAGCTCCTGCACGGGTTGTCCAGTGAATGGAAGCTGTGGAGGGACTTCTGCAGGTTCCACTTCTCAAAGGAACATGTAAGTACAGTGCGGTAGAGGCCTGGGGGTCAAGCCACTGATGGAGCACTAGGGATGTTACATTCAGAGCCATCTACACACAGAGTTTGGCCAACCCGGTTCGAGTTGGATACAATATGGCGACTACTGCTTTGTTGGGCAAGCACAAAACAAAAGAATATATGCCATGTTGAGACCCAGTGAAACCAAGTTGGCCAAACTCTGTATATAGATGGCTCTGGTTACATCTATATATGATTTCTCACAGGCTATCTTACAAACTTGTTATTTGGATGTTCATTGAAAGAAAGATTAAACATTGATTATTTCAGCCCTTTGCTTTTAAAAAAAAAAGAGGAAAAATTAGATTTGCTAGGTTATATAAATACTTGAACTTCATTTTGAAATGCATCAATTCAACAGCCTTACAATCTTATTTTATTTTACTTGTTTCAGTCGGTTTCAGCTATCCCTAAGAACAACCTGTACTTTGAGATTTTCTGGAAGAAGATATACAAGACAAATTGTAGGAAATTATATGTTGCAAATTGGCATCTTTTTATATGTAATTATTTTGTCTCTATTACTTATTTCAGTTGGCCCCAGCCATCCCTAAGAACAAACTAGACTATGAGATTGACTGGAAGAAGATCTACAAGAAACTGAGGACCAAGCATGGAGTGCATGAAGTGTTTGCGGATCAGCTTCAACTCTGCTGCCACTGCTACTGCCTTTTCTGGATGGTGAGTTTAGCTTCCACATTAAAGGCATCCTTTAACAATGTTAAATCTGAGATGCACGGCCCTACGTGTTATCAGTGTCTGTGATATGGTGTAATATTGAAGCCCTAAACAAATTGTGCTTCAAAATGATCAAGAAGTGCCTCAAAAAGTAAAAATCTTTGAGCGACCGGTTTTACCATACTCGTTTTCCCCAGTAGACTGTAGTGTTATGAAAACTGTTAGGAAAATGCAAAATTTGATTTCGATTTCCAATCATAAATATCTTGACAATTAGACAGGCTTGTATTAGTCATGGGGTTCCTGAATGAATTAAAGGTTTATAATTATCATTGCAGCATGAGCTAAATCTCAGATTTTGTTTCAGAATCTGAAGCAAAGTTACCCAATCCCTTTAACTTTTTGGTTGCCCTTTTTTTGTCTCTCTGCATGGTCACTCATTTTGCCACATGTGCAATTTTGAACAAAACAAGAGGCACGAACTTACGGAAGGATCACATTGTGCAACACAATGGTTTCACAAAATTACTCATTTCTGGGCTTGAATAGCGGTATAGCTTAATCTTGCACTGGAAATAGTTAAATTATATCTGCTCTAGTATGCAGATACTGCAGATGCTCTAGTATTTCTGTTTGCAAGAGTTCTTTTAGGATCATACAATTTTGATTTTCTAGGAGTGAATAACTATTTTAGTTTTATCGTACCAGAAATCTTTTACAGATGTTGAGAGCTAAATAAAATAACTCACTGCTGCGGTGTATTTTTTTCATTTCTTTTTCTTGTTATTTATTTATTTATTTTGTTTTGCTGCAGAATGCTTTATGTGGTTTGTACATCTCATGGATTATTTGGGAACAATACCTTGATAATTGCATATTATATTTTGTATAAGCATCTTTATGTTTTGAGAAAAGTTTTTGGATGACTATGTAAGAATGTTTTGTTGCTCTATTTTCAGGGAGGAACGCACCCCTGTTCTATTGATGTTCCCCTGGAGAGGGGTCAGAGGGCACCAGAGCACCAGGTGGCACGGAGCCGAGGGATCTCCCCCAAGCAGCTTTCAGACATGTTTCCCCTGCCGAGATAGAGAATGGACTACTGTAAACGCGGAAATATTTGCGGAACCTTAAATTTCGCAGATTTCGCGCTACAGTCGGTGTCCGCGAGTTTAGAACCCGCGAAAATATAAACATGACTTCTTATGCGTGTTCTGACAGGCTGAATTTGGTGCAACGCGAATTTAAGAACCAGTGAATATGTTTTGGGGTCGCTCAGCGCTAAAATTGATCATTTAATCATGCTTTCAGACATGTTACTCTTGCCAAGATTGAAAGTGGACTAATCAACCTTTTTGTGAATGATCATTTTCATTAAATGCTTTTGGACTTGTTCCCTTGCCATGATACAAAATAGGTAATAGGACTTATTATTGAAACCTTGAACAGTGGATGATCATTTGGTCATGCATGTAAATGGGAGTGTCGTGGTCTAGTGGATATGTCGCCGGACTGTCGATCACAAGGTCCACAGTTCGAGTCCCGCTGTGGCACTAATGTCCTTTGGCAAGACATTGATCTACATTTGCCACACTCAACCCAGGTGATGTAAATGGGTACCTGGCAGGAATTAATTCCTTGAAATACTGTAGTATTATTAAATTAAAACATGGAGGCTGTCACAGTCACTTGAAAGGAATTTTAAAGTCAGGTTACGGCGAGTTACTCCATCTGAAGATCTCCTCCGATTGGGAAGTTAGCAGTGATTAAAACCTTGAGCCCCAAAATGTCTTGTTCCATAACGTAGTAAACTGCCTCTGTAGAAAATCTGAATAGCGAGTCTGATGATAAAAAAATGTACATAGAGCTGCACACAACAAAGGCCCATAAAGGCGCTTGCTGACAGGGCATGATGACGTAAAGTGTAATACACCACACATTTCTGTATCTTATAACACAAAGCTTAAAGGGAGAGTCGAGTTCTTGTATAAGACCGCAAATGCCTTCAAAGTGCATGGTTATTGCTCTTATTCGTATTTATGACATTTCTAGTACCCTTTTAGAAACTAAAATTGCTATGAAGGTAATTTTAGACCCCCAAATGTGTGAATTTAGATCAAATCGATCACACCAATTCAGCTCCACTTTCCAAAAAAGTATGGTGACCGTTAATTAATTAATAAAATAATAATAACAATACACGGGCCAGCTGATTGTGCATATTATAGCCAACAAAAAGCCAATATTGGCATTGGCTGGAACAAAATGTATAAGGCTCTATCACGTTTTTCAAAGGCTGGTTCAAAAAAAATTACCAAATGTTAGTGGTGTGGTGCCCCACAAATAATTATTACAAAAGGTTATATTTATGGATATTTCAGCCGTCTCTGAACCGATTTTGATCAAACAAAGATGATTTTGTCATTTAAAATGTATATTCTTTCAAATTTGATACTCAGTTTGTCATTATCTCACACAAAAATATTTTGTGTAGCGCCCTCTGCAACAAAGCTCAACTTTCCCTTTAAAGAATAAGCCTATTTAAGTGCAAGTCCTTTGTTGTGCAGTTGCCATTTTTCACTGCGGTTTATCGTGTCAAGTCTGAACAAGCCTAAAGTCAGGGATCCCAAGGTAATGCAAAGTTTTGGGAAATTTTGAAAATTGGATGGATAGTAATTCTTTAAAATGTTGATATATTGGGATGCCCCTGTGGATGTATTATAAGCACTAGAAAATCTAGCCCCTAAAACACTTCTGCTTTCGAATTTGAATACCGGTAACTGTGACCATGAAAATCTCAGAATATGCAGTTCTGATATATTGATTGTAGTCAAGAAACATAGTTTTAAAGCTTACTTAATATCGGTCTTGAGAGAGAGCTACACAACAAAGAGTTTATTATTTACAATTTCATCATTTTAGACTCGATTCCAACCGTGACGATCATTGAATATTATAAATTTACATATGCTTCCAATATGTTCAATTGAACCAAATTCATAACCCCATATCAAAACTTTCTCCTTTTGTTCGAACGAAAATACATTTTTTATAGATATTTGGCACTCATCTAAAATAAAATTCCTTTAAAAAGTCTGTCAGAGGTGTATATAAAATGTAACATGTAATTATGTACAAACATTAACTGTATCATTTGTGAATAAGAGTTTTGTATATTTTTGCCCTTATTTATACAATAGTGTATAATAGAAATACATTTTTGTAATACTCAAAGGTGTGTGATACTGTGTGTTATCATAGTTGTGGGCATACTAGCAATAGATAGTAGCAGTTTGTAGATTTTAGATTAAGATTTTTGCTACACTGATTGTTGACAGTAATTGAATTTTATACCATTTTTCTGCTTACCATCAAGTAATTTAGAATTGTTGATTTCAAAAATAAAGATAACCTTGAGTTCTGGTAATGATAGAAAATAAATTCTTACATAATCCAACAAAACTGACACTGAATGTTCAAGATTACAAATAAATAACATGTGCCAAAGGATTTGGTAGAAAATGTTAAGGGGCTGAGTATAGAGCCTCTCTCTATCTCTCTAAGTCTATTTCCCTCTCTTTCTTTTGCTTTCTCTCTCTCTTTCTCTCTCTCTCTCTCTCTCTCTCTCTCTCTCTCTCTCCCTCCCTCTCTTGTCTAATATTTTCTCATTTGTTAAAGGTCTTTCCAAAGCTTTCCCAAAAGAGCAAAACCGATGAACTGCATGTCAGTATATATCGGTGAATAAAATACTTCAAGATTTGTTTTATCACATGTGGAATAAGACAATAGCGCAAGGCCTTTGGTCAGACGGGTCATAACTGGTATGATGCTTTATTAGAAACAGTTATAATTGTTTTTTTTGTAAATTGAAAGATCCGACATTGATCATTGGTATATCTCTTCAACTGTTTAACTTTTAGAACAGCTTTTACAGTAACACGTACTGGTCTACATTTATTACATTGTACCACTGCCGTAAAAATACATTTAGAAGTACACATTCATTTTTTAATAGCACTTGCAAGAAAATAATGTAATGCACAAGTCTAGGTGTATAACGTACATGTAAGTACAACTTTATCTTCAGTGATTGTTTTCACAGCTTTTAAAGAGCTGTGATGAAATCGCTACTAGTGTAGGTATGGACTGTTGCAATTGTTGTCATTGTTTGTTTCATGACGAGTTTGTTGATAGATTAAATTATCATTCTGAAGAAAAAAAAGCATAATTGTTGTGGTATCCTTTATGTATTACATGTATCGGTACTATACTGCTTGGCACTATTTTTTTTATTTGATACCATTTTGGCATGTAGTCCCAAACAACCATATCTGTGTGCAGTGCTTTTCATTTCACATGATTTTCAACAAGATTTAGCATTAGATTGATTCATGATCTGTTTTATGTTTTAGATGATTGCAAAATTTCAATAACAAAAAAACAATTATTATTCTTATATACTACATGATTAATCCTCCCAATCTTCTGGGGGTCTTTTACAAAGACTAAGATCGACTTTAAGTTGGACTTAACTATGGTAGTTCATGACACTGTTTTCTCTCACAGTTTTCTGGCATTGGACTCTCAATGGACGTACAAATTATGATCACAAATCTACAGAATTTTTTTTTTTTATAATTCATTATTGAAGGAAAAAATATTATCTAAAAGATAATAATGGTGAGAGGAACCAGTGGCATGAACAGCCTGCCATGGTTAAGTCCAACTTAAAGTCGATCTTAGTCTTTGTGAAACACTACCCTGGTCAGTTCCTTTCACATTACAATTGTATAACCTGGGCCCAGTTTCATACAGCTTTTTATCAATAACATAAGCTAAATTGCTATGACAAATTCAGCCAATCAAATGCCACAATTTTCAGTAGCTTGTAACAATTATTAGAACTTGTTATTGCTAACTAGCTTTATGAAACAGGGCCGAGCACTTCAAATCATCAAGAACTTATTGCACATTAGCTCAAGTTAACTAATTTCACCTTTGGTGTCACCAATACTGAATCCTGCCTCTTGTTGGTGTGTTGGGGTTCCTGTCTGTGTGATAGATGATGATGATGATGATGATGATGATGCTGCTGCTTGTCTCTTTGTACTCTCTTTCTCCATCAGTTCTCTCAGTCTTCTCTTTCTCGCTTGTTTCTGATGTCTTCTCGACTTAAGATGAGCTTTGTATCAAAGAGAAAATACAAGTATGAAAATATCAACATCACATGACACATTTATGTCTCCTTTCCAGATAAAACAAGGAAACAGACATTAGTCAAAAATGGAAAAAATGCTGCCACAAAATAAATGACATAATAATGATAATCTAGATTTATATATCGCATGTTACATACAGTATTCGAAAGATCATGTACACGTAAGAATGTTTTTTGCCCTATTTTCAGGGAGGAACTCACCCCTGTTCTATCGATGTTCCCCTCAATTACATTCAGATATCATTTCTCGGTTCATTGGATTCATGCACGCACAATGTGCACCATCTCCACTCCCTGGGGACTATTACTACCCTATGGTCGCCGTTAGGGTATATGGCAATTACTATTAAGGCTTTTGTCATCCTACCAGGTCCCGGTTTCTTTCCTGGGCCTGCCTTGTCGGGGAATGAACCCACAACACCTCTACGTAAGCACAGTGCACCTCATACATATTCCCATTTTCGTAATTCTTAAACAAAGTGAATTTAGAAAAATGATGTCCTATAATGTCACAAAATGAAAATGAGACATTGATTTTATGACATAATTTCTGTTTTTTCATTAAGTTTCAGGGTCATGGTAATTGTTAAAGAATAATCACAATATGTTCTGACCCAAAAGAGTGACCAAATTGCCAATTTGAGAAATCACATCAATTTAATGACAAATCTTTTATATTCATAACTGTCTTCAGTCCAATTTCTTTTCATTTTCACCACCCTTTTTCTTCTTTGTTTCTGCTTCAACTTAAATCAACTCTTTACAACTTTGATTGGATTGCCAATTCAGGGGGGTGTTTCACAAAGACTAAGATCGACTTTAAGTTGGACTTAACTTTGGCAGGCAGTTCATGCCACTAGTTCCTCTAACCTTTCCTGGCATTGGTTTCTCAAGGGACGTACATATCATGGTCACAAATCTACAGAATTTTCCTTTTTTTGATTGTTCATTATTGAAGGAAAAATATTATCTAAAGATCATAATTGACCAATGGTGAGAGCAAACAGTGGCATGAATGGCCTGCCATAGTTAAGTCCAACTTAAAATTGATCTTAGTCTTTGTGAAACACTCCCCTGTATACACAAGATGAAGTTACCTGTCCACTGCTGCTGACCAACAAACTGTCTCCCCATGCAGACATCACACACAAAGGTCTGGGAGAGGTCTTTCCCCTGCCGCTCTTCGCATTGGAGTGGTGAAATCGGCGGATCCTTACCCTGGTGTGGAAAATTAAACATTGAGTGATTTCAATTTGGGTGTTAGTGTTTCGAGCAGTTAAGGGCTCTTAAATCAAGCAAAAAAAAATTACTGATAAACTGTAGAGCACGATATCAATATCAATAGCTTAACACTAACACTGAACTGGACATCAACATTTGGTTAATCCCTAGGGGCTAGTGTTAATGAATAGAACATTTGTACGTAAAATATAAACACCAGCCACATAGGTCGGTTCAGCAGACGACAATTTTGCAAAGTCGATGACACTAGCTACGGGAAGATGATGATATTCAGAGGTCAAAGCCGATTTCCATTTCGGTGTTTAGGGCTGGTGTTGGTGTTTATTAAACACCAACACCAACCCTAAACACCCAACTTGAAATCACTCATTGTAATGGTTGCCCAAAATACAAATTGAAAATAATATATTCTTCTTACACAAGATAAAAACATGAGCAGTGGGACAGGAGGTTTTCATACAATTGCGGTATTAAAGTAAGAATTACTTAAATAATTTCATATAAATAGAAGAATTCTTGTGCAAGTGCCAAGTGTATATATGTAAAACACTATAGACATGTAGTTCAATCATCAAAATGAAACGACTAAAGACAAAATTGTGTTCTGCTTTAGACTTTTAGTTTTACTCTAGAAGGAGCAGGAGTCAGGAAAAATCTTCTTCTTGGGGGCGCGGGGGTAGGAATCCATCAGTCGGTTCTTAAGATAACGCGATCACGAGAACGTACGTACGGACGGACGGACAACCCGAAAACATAGTGCCTCCGGCTACTTCGTAACTGAGGCATAAAAATATACGTGGTATATTTCAATGGGCACTAGTAACCTTCCTCTGCACATTCGGTACTTTTGCAGCATTTCTTTAATCTTTTCTACCCACCTCTATGACTGCTTCTAGAATCCTGGCCGCTGGCTCCAAAACGTTCTGGTCCCATTCTTGAGGTTTGGTCGAGTCTAACCCATACACACCTGGACAGTTGCTGCCTCCTGGTAAAAAAAAAAAAGATAAAGAGAGTTAGTGTGTGGTTGTTTTTGTACCTGACTGCTAAGAAAGCATAAATGCTTGTTAGTAAGCAACCAGATGACCGACGGCTTAAGGTCCTCTCCGAGGGACCTGGTGATGAGGATTAATGCCTTAACAAAGGGCACTAGCGCATCGCCTTGGTTTCGAAACCGGGTCACCGGATTACAAGACCCCTGCTCTACCAACTGAGCTATCGCGCCTACTTCAAAGAAAGTAAATTTTTCTTTCTTTGAACATGATACATGTACATGCTCTGGGCAATTCCACTGTAACAAGAATGATTTTACTTCTCAAAGTCTTAAACTAAAAAATCTGATCCTGATTAATAGTTGGGTATGAGTGTATAAGTAATTTTTAAACTGCTTCTTTTCGTATTAGTCTTGATGATCTTTATCTGGAATAAATTCTAATCGAACTAGCTAGTTAGCAGTAAGAAATGGATGAATTACAAATTTGGGAAATAATTTATAATCTAACATGTACAATTCAAATGAGATACAGGAAAGAAAATATGTACGCAATTGAGAACTGGTCACAACTATTTGTTGAAATGTTTGGATTCAGAATTCTGTCAGGAAATCTTTATGATTGAATTAAAATATAACCTGAAAGCTTAAACGGATCCCTGCAACTGCTTTTTAAGCCGCCCTTACAAAACTACCCTTACTTTTTAAAAATCTGTTCCTGATCCACTTGAGTTGTCTGCGAGCATACTGCCTGGTTGCCTTCTTGAGCCTCTCGATGCTTTCCTCCAGTGACCTTTGACCCTCGTCGCTCTTCTTCCCGTCCTCGCTGATGACGAGATATGGGTGGAACTCCTTGAAACCTATTGACTGGAAGATGCCTTGGGTATAAAGCTCCTCCCTGTGAATTTATGAAATGATGACAGGTTATAATAATTAATGGGGTCATTGTGTGAAATAATACAAAGATAACAGGGCAGGGCAGCTAAATCACTATGCTTGATATATACGATTATACTACTTGTATATCCCCCAGATTTACCAGACAAAGCACTCAAGCATTACAGAAATTTCTTCCTACCTGGGGTGGTATTCTGAAAACAAAACATGTCAGTAAAATAATGTTAACTGTCATGACAAATCAAAATTTGGACAAGTCATTGGTTAATGCTTGTGCAAAGGTGGCTCAAGTTGTCCAAAGTTAACAATTGTACTTCACAAATGTAAATAGAATTATTTTCCAAGATAAAATCAAGCTTCATCAGTACTCACTCCTTAATATTGCCAGCTAGTCTCCGCTCATTGTACTCTTTGTGGAAATCTTCCAGTTCCTTCACCAGCCCATCATTCATCATACCATCCACTCTCTTGTCCAGCCTTGTATCTAAGACTAGTAAAAGAACAAAAAAAGTTGACAATACTATGGAATTAAAAGGGCTGACATTTTCTTCAGGCTTTCTCTCATCAAAGGTGTAGGGTTAGGGTTGCAATATGGATTTAGATAATGTTGCAAGAGCAAATGTTGTACAGTTAAACCTGTCTATAGCGACCGATCAAGGGAAACACACAAAGTGGTCTTTGTAGACAGGTTCCTTTAGTACATGTTCCAATGAGAAAACCATTTTCAAAGGAAACGAAAAATGTAGTCTTTGTAGACAGGTGGTCATTAAAGCAGGTTTGACCGTACAACCAAAATCACACCTCTCCAAGAGCATTTTTAACTAAATGTTTGTCATTTCTCTTCAACATTTTCTTTGCCACCAAATTTGGAAACAGCCATCATAAAGAAATATTCAAGAATAAAAAAGGTAGATTTGATTCTAAACAAGTATGTGTAATTACTATAGGCATTATCTTCTGTGGGTATTACCTTCAAACTGCATGTTCCTTTTTATATTTGGAGAGAGAGCATCTTAGCCACTATTAGCCCAAACAAACTCTACAGAATTCATATTCTCTGTCAGGATTCCATCTACCGGTATAGAAGGGTTTGGGTATACATATAATATGACAAATAATTTGTGTTCCATAAAACCTTACGCACAGAACCCAAGTCAGACTTGTCTATGATAGCCTGTACCAGTATGATGGCATCTATTCTACCGGTACTCAAAAAGTATTTTTTTTTAGATATACTGAGAGTAAATATTTAAACTGAAATATCTCTTTTCAAAGCAATATTTGTATCTTGTGAAGACAATATGGCTTTATGGAACCCTTTACATTCTCTTTAAGATTTGGTCAGACATCACATATAGCAGTAAATTATTACCAAATTGCTCCCCTGTTGATTATGTGGAAAATGAACTGGGAATCATTGATGTAGGTCAGACCGTAAAAATTTATGTTAATAAGCCTTGATCAATGATTTATCATCATGGCAGGTTTGCTTGGCAAGAAGATTTTGAGTCTTTGTATCCAAGTGGACCACCAAGGTAGCTTTTTGGGAAAAGTTAGGTGTCTTGCTACATAGAGATGGCTAAAATAAAGTGATATTTGCATTATCAACTACCTGTAAAGAAAACCCTCTATCTATGAAGACCATTCTTGTCTCTTGAGCAGTCTTCATATACAGTCAAACCTGCTTTAGTGACCACCTGTCTGCAAAGACCACCTGTCTACAACAAGCACATTTTTTGTTTCCCTAGCTTGAAAATGGTTTCTCATTACAACAGGTATTAAAGAAACCTGTCTACAAAGACCACCTGTCTACAACAAGCACTTTTTTTGTTTCCCTTGGGCAGTCGCTGTAGACAGGTTTGACTGTACATGTTTTAGTGTAGGAAGGTTTACCTGTCTGTTCTGTTTGAACCCAGAAGACACAGGAGTCTTGGTACCTGAGCGGACCACCAAGATGGCTGCCCCCTACCTGGTCTCTCTGCTCTCTCAGAAGATCACTGTGGCATACACCATGCTGCTCATACACCTGGAGGCTCCTACAGAAACAGACGGTGTGCAAATAAACATTGTAAAGATACTGACATGTAGAAGCAAAGGAGACATTTGTGGTAGAATGGAAAATCACCTCTGGTGCATTTTTGGTGGTGTGGTAATAAGCCAGTTCACGTTTGCAGTCTGAGCATGAGCAGATAAAGGTCATTGCAGACCAAAGTGTGAAATACACAGAGACAAAATACTGGATACATGCTCATGAAAGCCATGTAATCATTATTCATTTATGCACAAGGTTTGAAAAGGGGAAACAAAGGTTATGTACATGTATGTAGTAGCACCTCCATCGCTGTAGGAGTGTTTATTTCAAAATGTACAAAGTGGGACCTCTTCATGTTTTGAAGATCTGAGGATATTTGGGGTCATTTGGGACATGTGCTAACCGTGAAGTGGTCTATACACAGAGACATATGTTCAGTTTATTTTTTAAATCAGCTTTGGATCACTAAAAATATTTAAAGAACAAGGAGTTTGCGAAAGGACAGCTACACAATTGGTATATATATTTACAGGTCTAATGATATACCCTGTTCTCATTACTTACATATACTCTCTTTCCACTTGTAAGGGTGATTTGAGTGAAGGAAAAAGAGCAAGAACCAGCTTGCTCGTTAAAATCCTCCATACATTTTTACCTGATAATTTTTCTCCTGTTGTTGGGGTGTAATTTATCAGCCATCTGTGGATCAACCTCCCGAAGAAGACCATGAAGCTCGCTACTCTCCATTTCAGTGACGTTCACATCAATAACTCCATCGACCATATCTTCTGAACCACTCCCATCGTGACAAACATTTAGGGTGGATGGAATTTCATCCGAAGATTCCAATGATTTGTCTTCATCAGACAAGCTGCTATTTGGAACCGAGACATGTGATTGGTCAGAGCTCATGTTGACTTGTTGTAATCTTGATTCTGATTGGTTTGATGTCATCTCTGTCCTACCTCGTGATTGGCTACCATCCAAGGATTTATTGATCTCCATCTCTGATTGGTCAGAACCTTCACATTCATGATGAAAGGCATGTTCTGATTGGCTGGCTGTCACAATGGACTCTTTTGCATGAAGCCTATCAATTTGTAGATCCTGTTGTACTTCAATTTTGCTATGTGACTCTAGGGTTGTTTTTGATGACTCAGAAGGAGTTCTTTCATTAGAACAAGTCCCTTGTAAGTTACTTTGAGACGGCTTATCTTGTACATTTTTTAGTCTGAGTCTCAATTTCTCCACTTCACCTCTGGTTTCAAACATAAGACTTTCGGAACTGCTGCTCTCCTACAAATAATGGATGAGAAAAGAAACATAATCGAACAGAACAGATACCATCTGGTTTCAAACATAAAACTTTGATAACTTAGCATGCTATCCTAGAGATCTATACTAAATTAAGATGAGGGGTACACCACCCATCCTGTACTCTTTGATATATTCAAAGTTTATGTACTGTGACATTGTTTCAAGTGGAATATCTTTTCTTGCCAAAAGAAATTGGAAGGAATATCTCTTTTTTTTCTTTAGTCTGAACAAAAAAATTAATAGAAGCAGGAGAACAGAAAAAGGGAAGGGGGCAGAAACTTGCACAATTATTGTTCACTTAAACAAAAAGTACAAAATAAATTGTAAATGTAATGTATGCATGCAGGAGGATGTAGTTGTAACATTTACCTCATTTGTTAGCAAGACTTTCCACAGCAAGGCTTCGATGTAGTAATTGGTCCCTCCAACGATTATGGGTATTCTTCCCCTGCTAAGCAACCCATCTATGAGTGGAATCACCCGATTCCTGAAGTCAACTACAGTGAAGCGCTGTAGGGGTTGGACCATACCAAGTGCATGGTGGGGGCACTGCTCTTGTTCCTCTGGTGTAACTTTATTTGTTATGATGTCCAGGCCTTTATACACCTAAAATAAATATAAACACAAGAACAAACAAATGATATCAATTATTAACATCTCATGATTGTGAAATGAGATGCAAAATAGTTTTTTCCAACTTGCTCTTAATCTCTTTGCATACCTGTCAGCGAAAAAAATACAGAGGATAGATGACCGTTTTAGCTCTAAAACACTCCAAAAATGCTCTCATTAATTGAAAAAGAGCTCTGGTAAAAAACAGACACAGCTGACCCGACACTATGCATATCTTTCTTGCTCCCTCGACAAGACAACTCCACCCAACAACCCCCCCCCCCCTCTCTCTCTCTCTCTTACTCCCACCCCTTCTCTCTCAGGCTCTTCTTACACCCCCCCCCCCCTCTCCTCTCTTTCATCCCACCCCCCTCCCCCACCGTTTCTTGTTTAATTTTTAATTTCTTTTTCCTTTTCTTTCTTTTCCTTTCTTTTCTATTCTTTTTTCCTTTCCTTCCTCTTTCTTTTTTCTCTTTCTTAATTTCTTCTCTTCTCTTTCCTTTCTTTTTTTTCTTTTCCTTTTCTTTTCTTTCCCTTTCCCTTTCCCTCTTCCCCTTTTCTCATTTTGTTCAGATGACGGCGCAATTTTACTGATAATAACCTGTGAGGTGGGGTTGTCGCACCGCATCCCCCCCCCCCCCCCCCCCCCCTTAGCGACGCCCCTGGGAGTGGGGGTAGCTGAAGAGCCCTAGCTAAAACGGGTAGTAAACCACACAACATTTTCAACGTGTGGGACTACATGTACGAATCGTCTATTACCTGCATCGAGTCTGCGCTGATAATCTCCCCGTTGAATCTCTTTCCTAGTTCTAGAGCGAGTCTTGACTTCCCAGCTCCTGTTGCTCCAAGGACTACAACGACTGGATTTCGTAAAGCTTGCATTTTTCCTAATTTGAACTCTGTTTTCCTTTTCAATCAAATCAACCGATAACTGTTATGGTGAACTTGAAAAGACAAATTCGAAATGAAAATATTATAGCACTAGCTAAAACAAACAAACAAACAAACTAAAGACAACATTCATTTAACAACTACTCTTATTTTATGTGTCTGGACAGTTGATTAAAACGGTAATTTAAAAACGTTTACAAACAATATTTCATAAATCTTGTAAATCTCATGTTAAACCATATTTAAAGGACTAATATTTATGATTGTTTGTGCTATTTGATGCATATTTCTTTTGCTAAAATCCAAAGGCAAAATGACGGCTTTATTTTTGTTAAGCGTCCGGACACACAACTCCCATCACATAAAATTATGTTTAAACATGATCTAGAAGAAATTAACTAATGTCATTAATTTTCTAAATTGATATCATGTTGTCCAATGAAAGTATATTATGAGGAAAAAAATATATGAATAAGTTTGATTGATAATTATATAGAACTTAGCAGTATGAATATGAATAAATAAATAAATGGATGTAAATACAGATGAATGGATAGATAGATGAACTGACATACAAACATATAAATAGATAGCTAGCTAGATAGATATAAAAAGTTGGATACAGATAGATAGACAGATAATATAGATAGATAGAAAGGATAATTGACAGAGTGACAGTGAGACATAAGAAAGAGAAAGAAAGAGACTATTTTAAGGAGAGAGCAAGAGATGCATACAGAGACTGAGAGCATGCAGAATAGAACAGGAGAAAAAGAGAAAGAGAGAGACATATAATAATAGAAATAAATAAAGAGGTACAAAGCACTCTATGTGGCACACATATCATGCACTAAATTAGAACAAAATTTGATGTAGAGACAATTTGTTTTACCATCTATTGTACGTGCTAGTAAATCCATAACTTTAAGATTATGTTCCTTCTGAACAATCATAATAGCTAGAGAGCAATTTGATATAAAATATTTTTTTTAAAAACAAATCATTACACATTATGTGATTCAGCCGCCCTAAAAAATCGCGCTTCAAAAGTGATCAAGAAGTGCCTAAAAAAATAAAAAATTGTTTTGAGTGACCGGTTTTACCATACTCGTTTTCTCCAATAGACTGTAGTATTATGAAAACCGTTTGGCAAACGCAAACATTTGGTTTCGATATCCAATCATATCTTGATAATCAGACAGGCGATCGGCTTGTAAAAATCATGCATGGGGTTCCTGCATGACTGACCTATAAAGGTTAATAATTATCATTGCAGCATTAGCTAAATCCAGGTTTTTTTTTCAGAATCTGAGACAATTGAAGTTACCGGATCCCTTTAAGTGTAGTCCTCTTCAACAAGTATAGGCCTATTGTAAAATTGTAAAATTGTAAAATTGTAAAAGTACCCCTTGAGCATTTGAAGTGCGAACGGGGGATATGGATTACCATCCTCTCCGGGGATCCCATCCATGCTGATGACGTCGTTGTAAACCCCGGTCGTAAAAAAGCATGTCACATAATTAAAGGTAAAGACCAGCTTTGGAAACGCCCCCCTCTCAAAAAATGAAATGGAAGCTCTTATTACCTGTGAAAGAATATGTTTATACTAATACGTGATCATACGGAAACCGCCTACTAATTGATATATTATCCTAGCTAGTAGGCGAAGTATATAAGGACTTCATGTGCTACATTAGCAAGCTGACGTAACCAAACGTTATAGACAATCGGCTTCCCGATCAGCTTTATTCGGAGTCGGGATCTTTAAAAAATACCCCTATAAACGCATACAGCAGGATTTTGAAAAAGTACCTAAAAAAACACCCCCTTTATAATCAAGTGAAATATTATACGCGTTTTATTGGTCACGTATGTTTACAATTATAGTATTTATATTTGACTGAGACCCCTGGGAGTAGACCACAATTAGACCTCTTCAAACATAATGCATGTATGCATATATTTACATAATTATATTGAAAGCAAGTTGATTTGATAGTCTTCTTTTCCCTCTATCTCTTATAAGTTAAATGAACTACCTCGATGGGCCCGCTTGAGGTGATTCAAATTGATGAAGTCTAGATACGTCACCCCCCCCCCCTCCCATCACTTTTATACCTTTTTTTTCGTATAGCGCTCGGTCTGATGATTATGAAAAATGTCAAAAATTACTAAGGGAGCGAACTGTAGCCACCCCCCCCCCCCCCCCCCCTTCAAGTGGCGTCGCTTGTTCGAAGGTTTAACACATTTCGTTCAGGCGGAGTTGAGTCCTACTTAAAATACTCTCAAGAACATTTTCCACAAACTTAAAAGGAAGTCCTTTTTGCAGAAAAACAGGAAAAATGAAAATATTTCTTATATCGGGGCTATTATGACCAAAAGGCCTACCATAGGGTCGAATCTCACAAAGTCGAATACGGGCACTTTTCGTGACTGAACTTCTAGGTTTTTAACTTGCAGAAGAAGAAAAGTCGCGCGCGAATAAAATAATACTTTACACTTTATTTATATGTGTAACTAAAAAATTATATTAATATTCTATATTATATTCTGAATCATGTAATTATTTATATCACAATGTATGATCATGTGAAAATGTATTTGTAATTTTGTTGATGTATAATTTTGAATAAAATGTAAAACTTTATTTGAAATTTTGTTCATGAGAGGAAAGAATAACAATTCTTATGAAAAAAACAATCTCTAAGTTGCCCCGTCATTATAACAAACAAGCGAACAATATGAAGTGACACCATGGGGATCGATGATATACCACTAAATGTTTTGATCTTGATGTGGGGTATAGGGGTGGGGGAACAAACAAAAATAGTCGGTGGACCTGCATGGTTTCTGGCCCCTGCTCTGGCAGTTCCAATACTTAACAAAGTAAAGTTACTTTAATCATGCTTGAATTAAACAACTTAAACAAATTAAACAAGTTTTGAAACATATACCTCTTCATCCACCAACCAATAGATAAATAAGTTTTGACAAATAAATTCATGTCAAGTCAAAAGTTAAATTTATGACAGCTTAGTAAATAACCTAATATTTTTTCCTGGCATAACAATCTTATCACAGTCAAGCATCAATTAAGATAATACAAGTTGACATGATGAAGGTTAAGAATTTTCTTTGAAAAATCCCGTCAGATTATATTTTTCTTAATTTAGAAGTGAATAAATTAAGCTGATCAGCTCAGAAATAGACTAGACAAATAAACAATATGCGGAAGTGGACAGTCAAAAAGAATCCGCAATATGTAGCTGGCTGCCGGTAGCACTGTACCTACCTGTGCACACATCTGCGGCGCGCTCCGAGTGGTATTATGATTAACACAGGTTTTGAGACAGTAGATGTACAGTGAACAGTTGAGTAGTGGTTTGAATCGATGACCTATTGTCATCTTCATGTTCAAGAGACTAATTTATTAATTGCCGGACATTTTCTGCTAAGCCTACTGGTAATTTATAGTAGTTTGAACTCCAAGACCAAGTATACCTGGACAGACAGGGATCATACTGAACAGAAGCGCGATACCAGAGTTGCCAGGAATAGCAAACTCATTTATACTTCGCATCAAGTTGATCAACAGGTACGTATTAAAGTTTCAACCTTTGATTTCATGGAAGTAGACCTTACAAAGTTACACATTTTCAAAAAGTGCTCTCTCTCTCAATTCCAGTATCTTGAGTTTATGATGATTCTTTTTGCAAAGTTATAGTAGTTGCAAGACTCGAGAGCAAATATAGACTTCTACTCGGACTTATGATGAATACTGAATCGCTATGTGTCTGTACTACCACAGCTGACTACTAGTCTGTAGACGACTGTATTTTCAGTTTTCTATCCTCCATCTTTATTTATTTCACTTTTTGATTTTTTTTAATTTGGTCTTCAGTAGATTTTGTATTTAATGTAATTCGTGTATTATAAAAACAAGGTTTGATTGTCTATTTTTTTTTTTAATTCATGATATTATTATGATTATGAATGTGCTACCAACATATATGTTGGTTAAAAATGTTTAAAAAAGAAAAAAGAAATATTAATAGCTCGTGAGAAAGAAAGGAGAATATCAAAAAGAAGATATTGCAGAAGAAGTCAAGACAAAGTGGAGTAGGATGAGGAAAAAGAGAAGAGACATCAAGATGGAGACATCAAGATAGAGAATGGAGAAAGAGATCAGAAGAAGAATCTTCAATGTTGAAGGAAGCAGACGAAGAAGGAGGAGGAGGAAGAGGGAGGGGGAATGATACTGCAGAAGTAGGAAATGTTAAAATGTTTAAAAGAGTGGAAGAGAGAGAGAGAGAGAGAGAGAGAAAGAGAGAGAGTGTGTGTGTGTGTGTGAAGTCAAAATAGGAAATAGTTTGTTAGCTCCTAAGGTATAAGAAATAGCTATTCAATGCAGAAACAGAATATCTGGCACATGAATGACGAGATGGACAGGGGTGTCCAGACCCTTCACAAAATTAAAGCTGTCCAGAAACACATTGATTTGGCACAAGTAGAACAACTATGAGACCATAATGTTCCATTATAACTTCCTTTTTAATTTTGATAGCTTAATTCACTTCACCCTGCACTTGTCAATTGTCATTTTATTGCCAATAAAAAGTTTCAATACAGTGTAATGAGAGTACATGTAGTGATCATTAGTTTTCATGATGAATTGACCGCAACTACCCACTAGATCCATTAATTAGGTAATAATGATAATTGCCAAGTTGTAATTAATCCACTGGAGCAAATAATGTCTAAACATACAGTGTATAAATTGTTAATTAGTAGGGCCTTATTAATTAGCCATAAGATACACGTACAGGTACACACTACATACAGTAAGTGCATGAACTTTTTGTTAACAAATTATATTTATCAACAATTTTGCTTGCAGATAAAATCTCCAAGAGGGACGGAGGGTGTGGAGGAAGAGTGGGAGAGAGGGATGGACGGAGGGAGCGAGGGTAGGAGAGTGAGAGAGGGAGGGACGGACAGAGGGAGGGAGGGAGGGAGAGGGGGAGGGACGGACAGAGGGAGAGAGGGAGAGTGGGAGAGAGGGAGGGACGGACGGAGGGAGGGACGGAGAGTGTGGAAGAAAGGGAGGGACGGACGGAGGGAGAGTGGGAGAGAGGGAGGGACGGACGGAGGGAGGGACGGACGGAGGGAGGGAGGGAGAGAGGGAGGGAGAGGGTGGGAGAGGGGGAGGGACGGACGGAAGGAGAGTGGGAGAGAGGGAGGGACAGACGGAGGGAGGGAGAGAGGAAGGGAGTTGGAGAGAGGGAGGGAGTGGGAGAGAGGGAGGGACAGACGGAGGGAGAGAGGGAGGGACGGAGGGACGGAGGGAGGGAGGGAGAGTGGGATAGAGGGAGGGATGGACGGAGGGAGGGAGGGAGAGTGGGAGAGAGGGAAAGTGGTAGAGAGGGAGAGAGGGAGGGGGAGAGTGGGACAGACGGAGGGAGGGAGGGACGGACGGACGGACGGGGGGAGGGAGGGATGGATGGACAGAGGGAGGGAGGGAGGTATCATATGGATGGATGGATGGATGGAAAGAGAGAGAGAAGAGGAAAGAGAGAGGAAAGATGAGGACGGACTCGATAGAAGGGTGGGAAAAAGCGCATATTATCTGCTGTTTAAATATTTTTACCATTTTATTTCATGTAATTTTAAAACTTGCTTGTAAAATGTGAACAATTCATCCATTGACTACTAATCATATGTTGTTTTATACCACAAATAAATAAATAAAAAAACAAATAAATATAAAAAATTCTGTTGAATTACTGGCTACTTTCTTTGAGGCCGACCGTGCCTCTTCATACCTTTAGGCCTACATGTGTGCATTCAATACATTGTTATGGAAAAATCTAATCTACGCGCATCTAAAAGAAAATAACACTACCAGTGCATTCCCAGTGCAGCTATATTCAGAACCTCTATACTGTGACAGTGACCTAAAATGCAGATTAAAGCTAAATCTGTACTGTGCACTATGACACGTATATAATCAACTATAACAAAAATACAGCATGAAATACAATGCTCAAAGGTTATTATAAGGGAGAATCTGTCATTTCCGGAGTTCTGATTACGTTTAGTGTGGTTACATTTCCTCTTTGGCGTATCCTTTTCCAAACATTTAACTTGCCCAAACTTGATATAGGAAAGGAAGAGATAATGAATCATTGAAGTGAAGCCACTTGGCCAGCGATTGTTCAGTTTTCCCCTTTTTATTTCAGTTTATTAGATTAACATGTTAATGATGACCTTGAACTTTAGTGGGTTGGCTATGTACATGTACATGTACAAGGTATACTGCGCCTGATATGTAGGACGTCCTATACAGTACATCATGGACATGTGATTTTTTTAGATTGAAATTTGTCTATACACATGTGTATAGGCCTAATTTAGGGTTCTAAATTGATGCAAGATATTACAAAATTTTAGAGGCTATTATTAAAGTAAGATATTATACAAGCTTTAAGTGAGTTAAATGTCTAATCAAAACATTATACCTTTCCCTTCAAGTACTGATAAATATATTTTGCTGGAATCTTTCCAACATTTTTAGTCATATTTTTTATTTAGATCAATAGACTATTCCAGCTTTCATTTTCATCTAAAAATACTGGTTTATTTGAAAATCAAAATCGAAAGTAATCTCAGAAACAGATGCATCTACAGTGTACTTTGTACTCTACCTGTAGTATCTAGATGTATACTACATGAATGTCTGTGTAGACGGGCAATTAGCATGTTATGTAAATTTATGCTTTCACAGCCATGGCAAATTATTAAATACTGCCTTTGATGTTCAATGTGCATTTTATGCTTTGGTAAAAGTACACAGGAAAATTATTAAATACTGTCTTTGATGTTCAATGTGCATTAAATTTGTATGCTTTTGGAAAAAGTACACAACCAGGACATAATTGTTTCTACTTAAGTTTTTTCAAGGCCATAAAATGTTGTAAAGCGGATAAATTGTATATGTTGTGTATCCAAGAAATGTTTACATGTTTATTGAAACATGAAACAGAAAGGGTTGAATGAACTTGGGCAAACAGCAAATAAAAATTCTCTAAAAAGTGCAAAAGCCTCAGCCTTGAAAATATCATTCTATGTGAGCACCTGTTAATGAATTAATTTAAAAAAATACTAAACAATTTCAAAATGGAAACTGTAAAAACATGCCAAATGAAATAAAAAGAATATTTCCTTGATTTTTACTTTTTTTTTGGTATTATCTCATCCTAACAGGTCTGCCCAACATAGCAATTCAACTGAAAGCCAACCCCCAATGTTCCAGTGATTTGCAGGATTCTACATTTTACTCTTGTATACATGTTACCATGTAGCAGCTTGTACTATCGATGAAGAGATGACCTTTGACCTCCGAAAGGGGAACTTTAATCGAGCATAGATGACTCAATTTATCAGCTTAGAGAGGAAATCTGAAGATTTGTAGACCGAACGACGACGTGACTGTTGTCATTCTCTCAGACACCTTGTAGAGACTGTCAAAATGGGAAATGCCTTAAGAAAACTGTTCCGGTTAGGAGGATCGACTGACACGAACTCGTCCAACGCAACACAGCCTAAACCAAATATATCTTCAAACTTTCAGTCGAAACCGGATCAGCCTCCTCGTAAGTTTCAGTGCACGGCTCTGCGCTCTTGGCACTGAATATATATGTATAAATGATATAATATGAATATTCACTGTATATACATGTATATATGTTTTTTGTTTTTTTTTATAGTTTTTTTTTAATGATATAGAGTGGTGAAGTGTGACATCATCAAAAATCTATTTTTAGAATTTCTCAATTTTTTCTTCATTTTCCAAAAGAGCATCGAAAATAATGTCTGAATGTCGAAAACCAATTGAATATATTAAGTATTGGCTGAGATGCCCATCTGAATAAATGTATTTCCTATGGGAACTCAGTGTTATATTGTTCTGGTTCATAACATTAGGAACCAGAGCACTATAACACTGAGCTCCCATAGGACATATATGTATTCAGACATTCAGACATTATTTTCGATGCTCTTTTGGAAAACGAAGAAAAAATTGAGAAATTCTAAAAATAGATTTTTATGATGTCACAGCTTCGGTTCGTTCGTTTGTGTCTCCTTAGATCAAGATTACTGTAATCTTGATCTTCGGAGTAGTTGCTACAACCGGCCGTGTCAGACACGTTGCCCCGGGGTGCGAGATAGGACTCTTGTAGCGTGCCCCCATTTAAAACAATTATACAGTTACAGTTAACAATACATTTAATTAATAGTATGAAACTATTAAAATTAATCTCATGTTACGGGAAAAAATATTGCATATACATATATTATGAATCAATTGATTTGGTCGATCCAGTTAGATGGCACAAACACGGCACTACTGGACAGAGATCCTAATAATTACAGAGCTTGGTCTTGTTGCTCTGTTCGCCAGCAGTTTAAGGATATGGAATCCCGCGGCACATTACTCACAAGAGTTCTAACAAGCCAAGCTTATACAGAGCCTATAATAAGTAATGTCGTACATGTACCACCCACCCGATGATCGATCAAAAACTCATAACTCATAACTGAAGAAAAAAAGTAAAAAGAAAAAAAGAAAAAAAAAAAAAAAAAAAAAAAAAAAAACACGAAATGGTAACCATCTAAAATTTCATAGTTGTGATAAATATCTATAAAGATTTATCAAGCACCAAAAATAAATAATATCATGTTCAAGATAAGGATATATACACTTTGTATTCTTCTTTCGTGTCCTCAAATGCTCTGCCAGGCCTTGGCACACTGGAGAGCCTTCTCATTTGCTGCCACCAGGTCTTCCAGGCAGCATTGGTCGATTAGGAGTGGACATCTTAATAGGTGTGACATGGATTGCACGGATGTTCCACACTCGCAGTTGATGTCTGTGTCGTCAGTATATCCCCATTTATTCATGTTGTATTTACATCGCCCCACACCTGTGCGAAGCCTATTGAGGGACTTCCACGTCTTCCAATCACATCTATGGCCAGGGGGCAGCTGTTCCTTGGTCGGGATTGGTAGCTTTTCATGGTGGTGGTTTTCAGAACGTTTCTCTTCCCACAAGATCACTCTGGTTGAATGAGGAGGTTGTGACAGTGGCTGGACTGTATGAAGGAAGCTTTTCCTTGACTTCAGGCGGGTAGGGGCCGGTTGATGCGAGTAAAGGGGATGGCGGGTGTCCTCAACTTGTCTGCTGCGTTCAATCCTACTTGCAACTGTTCTGCGGACATCGGATGGAGCAATGCCGGCCAGGGAGTGCAAGCTGTCCACATTCGTGGGCTTGAGGCAGCCAGTGATGCATCTGCAGCTGTCGTTGAGTGCTGCATCAACTTTCTTTGTATGGGATGATCTTCCCCATACAGGGCAGGCATATTCTGCTGCAGAGTAACACAACGCAAGAGCAGTTGACCTCAGCGTGGAGGAATTGGCACCCCAAGATGAGTTTGCCAGTTTCCGTAGTAGGTTGTTCCTTGTCCCAACTTTACCCTTCACCTTTTGAACATGCTGTTTGTATGAAAGGGTTCGGTCAAGAGTGATTCCAAGGTAGACAGGGTGGTCGCAGTGTTTCAATGAGACATCGTTCCATTTCAGGGACAGCTTCCTCCCAGCGTTGTAGTTGCGGAGATGGAACAAGCTAACCTGGGTCTTGGCAGGGTTAGCCGTCAGATGGTTGTTGTTGTAGTAGTCTGTCAGGTTGTCTAGGGCTGATGAAAGAGTTGTTTCTATCTTGTCTATGTGGGAATTCTGGGCTGCTATGCCAAGGTCATCAGCATAGATGAAGCTTCTTGTCCCTGGGTACACTGGCTGGTCGTTGGTGTAAACATTAAATAGGACAGGAGCAAGTACGCTGCCCTGAGGTAGACCATTCTTTTGTTTCCTCCATCTGCTGCGCTTCCCGTTGAGCTCAACATAAAAGCGTCTATTTTCCAGGAGCATTTGGATAAGCTTAGTCAGATGGGAGTCCTTTGTCATGGTATAGAGCTTGTCGAGAAGTATACGGTGGTTAACAGTGTCGTAGGCAGCTGTCAGGTCGACGAACACAACTCCAGTCAGTTCATTCTTCTCGAAACCATCCTCGATGTGCTGGGTTAGATTTAGCACTTGGCCAGTGCACGATCTTCCAGGTCGGAAACCTGCTTGCTCTGGTATCAGGTGTTGTTCTGTGACTGGCCCCAGTCTGTTCAGGATGAGGCGCTCAAAGAGCTTGAAGAGATGGCACAACAGGGAGATTGGTCTGTAGCTCTTTGCTTCGTTAGGGTCTTTCCCTGGCTTGAGGATAGCAATCACACGGGCCTTCCGCCAGATTTTAGGAAGCTGGGAGAGGGTTACGCAGTTGTCGAACAGAGAGAGCAGCCATTCCTGTGTATTGTGCCCAAAATGTTTCATCTGTTCTGTACGTATGTCATCAAGACCAGCTGCCTTGCCATTCTTAAGGGAGTCGATAGCCGTCTGGAGTTCCAAGTTGTTAAAGTACCAGGTAGATTCTGTGTCAACCTGTGGCCAAGGATTCCTTTTGTGGCGTTTCTTGTGTGCCGATTTGCCATTCAGGAGAAGTTGGTGGGCAACCTGATCTGCAGTAACATTAGAATGGGGTGTAGACTTCTTGGGATCGTTACTGATTTTCTTAATGGTAGACCAAGCTCTCTTACTGTTGTGCGTCATATCAATACCCTCAATGAGATCTTGCCAAGACTTCCTCCGTTCTTCTGATATTGCTGCCATGAGGAGCTCACCTGCACTCAAGGTTTCCTCTGAAAAGGGGTCTTCCTCGTAGAGTTTTATGTACTCCTTGTACATCAAGGCACTTTCAGCTGATAATCCAGGTATGTAGTTTTCCCTACATCCACGTGGAATGTGCTTCCTGGATATCTCCTGTACAGTCCGGACGAATTGGTCGTAGTTTGCCGGGACTGGGTCAAGATCAGATAAAGCTTCATCTAGATCGATGGCGAACTTCTCCCAGTCAGCTTTACGAAAATTGAAACGGCGTCGTAGGGGAACTCTCTGAGGTACCACAGCAGCAGTAATGTCAACGATTATTGGTCTGTGTTGTGAATGTGGTATTGGCTCCAGGACTCTCTTCTTGGTTTGGCATGATATTCGTTCACTTGAAAAGGATAGGTCTGGATTATAACCTTTCTTCCATCGACAGCTATTGAAGGAATGGGGGAGCTTAGCATCATGGATTAGGTCAAGATGATGTGCCTCTGCCCAGGCCTCAGCAAGGTCACCGTCCTCATTTGTTTCTTCGTATCCCCACGAGGTGCTATGGCTGTTAAAATCTCCAATAATAACATTAACAAGGTCATAGTCGAAAGATTGAGGTTCAGTAAAGGCAAATGTAGATCCCGGAGGTTTATAAACAGAAGTGACTGATAGTTTCCCCATGTTGACAGCAAGGACTTCTATGTTATCCTCTTCAGTCAGTGAGGTCTGATCGATGATCACATCTTTCCTAACAAAGATAGCACTTCCATATTTCTCATGTGGCCTCTCTATAGCCAACTTCATTCCAGGAATCCTCGGTCGAATGTGTTGGTGGCCTCTGTGGGTCTCTTGTAGACATAATGCTACACAGTCGTTCTCTTTGCAGAGCTTTCCAATGAGTTGTTGTTTCGCTGTTGAAAACCCCTCAGTGTTGATGGACATCACTGTTACCTTCCGTCCTGAGGAGGATGCATGCTTCCGGCGACAATCAGTGGGAGCCATTATTAGATAATATTTACTTGCTGGTAAGAGTAGATGAGATGGATGGATGATGGTGGTGGTAGAATTAGCTCAGGACGATGTCCAGTTTCCAGCCCCGCGACGTGGACGCTTAGATAAGTAGACACTCAGCAGAGTCTTCTATTGTGACGTCACACTCAGCTCAGCAGTGGTGAAAGATAAGTAGACAGTCCATGCACACAGTCTCTTATTATGACGTCACACTGATGAAAAGTGCGCGCAATGCGCTATACTGTTGCTATGCGTATGTGTAACAGGTGCTTCTCCGCGTTAATATTCAAAACAAATATCCAAGAATACACGAAGAAAAACAAATTTGAAAAAAAATTAAATCCTATAAAAGTGCAAATTTTACGAATGATTTGCTTTAAAATGAGGTCCATCGATGACGAAAAAATCCAGATTTTCTCCAAATCGCCTTCCAAGTGTTGTTATCCGTAGATCGATGTAAGTTATAATGCTTATCGAGCGCTAAAACCAAAGTTACGTCTGAAAGTTCGGGAGCCCACGAAAAACACGTCCTCCCCACCCCATCCCAGAGCTTCGGTAGGCCTACTCTATTGTGATTTGAGGGTTGGTTATTCTACATGTATCTTTGTATCATTTTGTTTTTGTAGTCTGCACGCTCCTTTCGCTAGGCGATAATTCTTTATAAGACTTTCCATAAATATGAGCTTCGGATACATTTCCTTTAGTCTGAGCCTTTGTAGGTCCATGGTCTCAGGAACAGCTAGGGCATCGTTTCATGAAACCGTCATACATGTAAGTATAAGTTCGCCAAAATCCCATCGAAATATGTGTATTAAGTTTAACACATGTTTTGATGGGATGTCGGTGGACTTGTACTGATGACGGTTTCATGAAACCCAGCCCAGGCTGTCATTTGGTTCTACTTTCCACTGGGGTTACATGCTAGTGTTGGGGTTAGGATTAAGATGGGGGCTTGCGTCATTGGACCAGGGTTGGACAGTAATGTCCAGGCATCCAGGACACATGGGTGCCCAAAATCTACATACCGTAAGTCCAGGGAGGAGGGGGATCGATTTTAATTGATGAAACATCCCCCATAATGCCCAAATTTCAAACTTTTCAACACAGGACTCATGCATAGACTTTTAACAGGTTCAATCTACTAGACCCATTTCCAAAAAAAAAGGCTTGGTGTATGGAGCCCTGTATTGAACCAAAAGAAGGAAATGGTTATTGTGTTCTACATGACAAATATTAACTAAAGACAAAGACTACAGAATAGCTGTTGATGTTCTTATGAGAAGGCTCTTACATACCTGTACTAAATGTAGATATTCAGGAATTTGAAGTAGAAAAAGATTGCCCCCCCCCCCCCCAATATTTTTTTTTAAATGTACAGGAAGAGACACTTGGAGCAATCAGGAGCAATTGACAATTTTGTGTCAATGATCAAGTGTAGACCCAGGAAGAACTAAAATAAACAGATAAAAAAAGATTGGCAATAAAAGGGGAAGGCCCAATTCTTGTGCAATGTTTCATAGTACAGTGTTGTGCGCACAAAATGGGCGTACAGATTTCCATGAAATAAGTTTGAAGTGGTTGAATCACTTGAAATTATGTGCACTTGGTACCATAAAAGTACGAACTGTATGGATAAATTTTCAAGTTGATCCCAATGATCCCACAGAGATAACTGCTACAAAGATTGATTTCATAATGTGGGTTTTGGGAGGGATTTAAGCATGTGACCCACAAACTACGTCACATTACGAGCCATCAAGTATGTGGAATTTGTACAGGGAAACAATTAAATGTTTAATACCTATGTTTTACAAGCCAGAGTCCATGTCACATTTTCATGCCCTTAAATAGGTCTGTCCTCATCAGCCCGAATTGGCCAAATAGCCCGCTATTTTGTGATTTTGGAAATTAGCCCGAAGTTACAATTTTATGGCGTCTTCATCGGCTTGAAACTCGAGCTTCAAAAAATTTTGCTCAGTGATCGCGCATAGTGCGAGTCTGCGGGCTGGTGAAGACTGACCACAAATAGCGGGCTATTTTGCAAACTAGCCCAAGATATCTTAGGAAGATTTCCTCGAGCAGATAGCACGCTATTCTGTAATCTGACCAATTTCCCGGATCAGAAACAGCAGGTTATTTGGCAAACACGAGCTATGCTATCTGTCTGTCGCTACATCAAGATTCAAGATTCATGATTTATTTATTTATTTCCTCTTGCTTGAAAACAATACATTCATGAACAGTAACAACAAGTTCATCGTCAACAAGAATGAATTCATGAACAATTAAGAAGAAAGTTATAAAGACATTAAAAATGTAGCAAAAGAGGTGGTCTGTAGGAGAGCACAGCTTGTTAAACACAGATCACCTTTACAGGAACAACAACAAAAAAGATTTAAAAAGAAGTAGATTACATCCTGATTCCCAAACCTTTCATCTGAAATGAAGGAAGCAAACAAGATACAGTACCATGCAAACGTCAAAGTCCTTCTCAAACCATGCATGCTCAAACAAAAATCATTTATCAATGGCCCAACGGCTTTGCAAATAATTACAGAGTATAATGTACATGTAGACTATGGTTGTAGGCTTATCTGATGTGACACCAAAAAAGAAGACTGGAATCATAGTTTTCCCTGAAAAGGAAGTACACCCTAAATATTATGTCATGAATTTGCATTAAAAGTTCATAGCTTTCCTATTTTTATCTGATTTTCCTGAAACCTTTCACTAATCTGTTTCTTTCATTTTCTGCTTTTAATTACGGCCTTCCCCTAATAAGTAAAGATTTTGTTAACAAATGATAAATGGCTGGATATAAGTAATCTATAGCCTATGTTGCTCTACAGGTATATGTCCTTTTGAAGTAGCTACCGGTACTTAAAAATGTTTTGATAGAAAATGAATGTTTACGTAAATCTGCTCTTCAAAGAGAAATGAGTGTTTACATTACACTATAGGTTCCTGTTTTATTAACAACGACTGCGTTGCATGTTCAGAGCAGCACTCCATTTGTTTGGTATCAAAAAATATTCGACTTTCCATTGATATAATTATAAAGTAGTATTTTCATCGGATAGGTTCGGATAGGATAGATTAAAAACTTTTACCCTTAAAACATTTAGGGTGCGAGACAAGTATGGTGAAATAATTTCATAGGAGCAAAAATGGAAATATATGGAAATAAGTACAATATGAATGGAGAGGTGCACTAACTCACATTTGTAAAATTTGAATGCTCGATTGATAGATCAAATTGTGAACCTTTATATTAACTATCTTATCCTTTATCAGATCTTTTCTTTTACATTCACTGATATGCTTCTCTAAAATTACAAACTTGGTATCAGGATGGTCTTTCCGTCTTTCACTATAAGAAAGTCATTTTTAGGATTCTTCTCTTATAACTTTCCGTCCGGGTAGCTCTTTTAGGATTCGTTGTTGTACAGTGGGTCCCAGAAAAAACGAAACCGAGAATTATTGATGTTTGATCATAACTTAATCACAATTAAAATTAATAAATGACACATATTTGTAAAGCTTAGATCCTCCTCTTTCATTTGAAGAAGACAAACGACTTGATGCAGGGCTGATCGTCTATGAAACAGAGTTAAGTCTTTTGTCAATTCTGTTTGTTGCTACGGCAGGCAGCCAGTGAAAACAAATTCGTTTAATCAAATTATGGAAATGCAAGCATAACTTTAATAACAAACATACCTTTGTTATTCATTGATAATTCTTGGTTTCGTTTTCTGTGACGCACTGTATAAGTGTGGTTTTCTCACAGTGATATTTATGTGTTTTTTTTTTTTTTAAACCAGAGCTAAATCGCTCACTGCTCTGAATAGACTCTTCTAGATTAAATGTTTCTTTTCCCCATTCCAGCCAGAGCTAAGTCACATTGCACTGTGTGCATTGCAAGGAATGAACAAAGGTGAACTTCTGTCTTCACCCGGGTGAAGACAAACGCTTCTAGATAAATGCATCATGATTTGTGAATTCTATGATCTTTTTCCCATTCCAGCTGTTCCATGGAGGCCCCCAGAAATGAGTTACATTGCACTGTACGCATTCCAGGGAAGGAACGATGGTGACTTGTCTTTCGAGAAAGGAGAAGTGCTCAAAGTATTCGACCAGTCGTAAGTTTGAGTTTTTTCTTTCAATTTCTCCAAGAATGGTCTTGCAGTCTTGATATAAAATAATAATAAAAGCGATGATGAATTTAGATTTTTAAAAGCACACATACAGGTGTATTAAACTGCCTACATTGTGACCAAGAGCACAAAACAATAACAAATTCACATTTACATTAATACAAAAGTTACATTTAAAAGGAACCAAAAGTGGCAAATGACAATCATGAGAAATAAACATTCATGTGATTGTACATTTGCATGTAGGTGTTTTTCACCAGTAAAATAGTTTAGATAATCTCAAAAAGTACATGTAACTGGAACATTACCAATTATAATGATTGACAATTTGAATTACTCTTGCACTGTACACGTCACAAAGAGTATTTGAACTTGAACAAGCATACACCATAAACAATAAAATGAGTCATCACTTTAATTGTCATCTTTAATGCACCATTATAAGCCCATTGAAATATGTTTATAACATGTATTATTAAATGAAACTAATCTACAGTGTTTATAAACCATGCTTTAATATATCCCTTGTAAATATCTGACAGAATTTCAAGGGCCCAGCTTCATGAAATTAAATTTCACTTTCACATTGAAAGTTGAAATGAGTATGGATAACCATGTAATATCTAAGCCCTCATTGTAATACTTACATGTATGTATACTTATTGATTCCTCTAACCACAGACTTATGCCTCTATATTCAGTTCCAAATTCCTTCTCATTAGTATTTTAAAATGATAAGCCTGTTTTTTAGATATCACATTTTGTTATTCAGAATGTTATATATTTTGTTCCTTGCATAATTTTGAGTAAATATCTGTAGTACTGTTGAATGTGAATCCATGAACTGAATATAATTGATGAAAACACCGGTTAAAAATCTGTTTGTATTAAATCAGAATTGCAACAAAAGAACAAGAAATTTTAAAAACATTTTTGCTTATCTGCCAGACATCAAGAAGCTAACGTTGAGATATAATAGTTTAAAGAAGGATGCAAAATCATTAAGTACCCGATATCCATATTTCAAGTATGTTATACAGTTTATCATCACATATATACATGTAACTTTCCCAGTGAGTACACTCTGCATATTTTCAAATATCCTTGCCAAATAAAGAAATTGTATCCTAACCTTCGCAGATGCATTAAAACGGCCATGAATATACATGGAGATCACGTTTGGTATCCAAAGAAAGTGAAAGCACTATCATTGAGATATGGGTTATGAATTATCTTCTAGATTATTGATCAACGTGTACCACTGTTTTCCAAACAATGGAGCATTTTCATAATCTATTAGACATTTAAAGATAATGGACATACATGTATACTAGAATGAATTGTCTAGAATTGGTATTAATTGATCAAATGTTTAGAGTATCTGTCTTCATGTGGTTTGATAAAGTAGTTTTATGTCCATTAATTTGATTAATTGATTTTTTTAAATACTTTCATTTTTGAAAAGGTGCTTTGAAATCATCCATCAGGTCTTTGGCTACCATGCAAAGCATGTACACTTCTGATTATGATGTATGTGTTGAGTGTATAGTGTAATCCGAATAGGACATTCTCACTACATCTTTGTCTCTCTCCCCCCCCCCCCCCCCCCTCTCTCTCTCTCTCTCCCTCCTTCCTTTCATTCTTCTCTCTCCTTTGCCCATTTTCTCTCCCTCATTCTCCCCTCCCCTCCCATCGTTCCCTACCCTTCCTCCATCCCTTCATCTCCCTTGCCCATTCTTTCTCCCTCCCCCTCCCATCTTTCCCTCTCCCCCTTCCATCTTTCCCTCTCCCCCTTCCATCTTTCCCTTCCCTCTCTCCCTCCCCCTTGCCCATTCTCTTTCTCTCCCTCTTCCCTCTCCTTCCCTCTTTCTCTCTCCCTCTCTCTCTGTCTTTATCCTCCCCCTTCCCTCCCCCCCCCCATTCACTTCCGCTCACTCTCTCTCTCTCTCTCTCTCTCTCTCTCTCTCTCCCTCCATCTCTCTCCCTCTCTCTCCATCTCTCTCCCTTTGTCACACTCCACCCAGGTGAGGTAAATGGGTACCTGGCAGGAATTTATTCCTGGAAACGCTGGAGCGCTGTAATGGCAGCTAGAGTAAAGCCGGGGTAATATTGCGCCTCGGAATAGAATTTATAGATAGCCGGCGCTATATAGAAATGCCTATAATTATTATTATTATCTCTCTTTCTCTGTAGTGGTGATTGGTGGGTAGCATCCTCAACCAGAACGAATGTCCAGGGTTACATCCCATGCAACTATGTCGCACCTGTCAACTCCTTAGAGGTAGAAGAGTAAGTATAACGTCATTATTCAGTTATTTCATTTATTTTACTCTAGTTTTTATTCTTATACAGTGCGTCCCAGAAAAAATGAAACCGAGAACTATCAATGTTTTGTCATAACTTAGTCACATTTATAATTTCTTTTTGGTTTCCTCTCTTCATATTCATTTTAATCACTCATGCATGAAATATGCATCATATGAGTTGCATCAAATGACAGAGGAAATATGTGTCATTATCAATTATAATTGTGATTAAGTTAAGATAAAACATTGATAATTCTCGGTTTCGTTTTTTCTTGGACGCACTGTATAGACATGAAAATGGCTACAATTACAATGTAAACTGCTTTTAGCAACCACCTGACTGCGGTTCTTGTCTCCCTTGATTGGTCTTTACATACAGGTTTCACTGTTCGACGGGAACCTGTACATAAAGATCACCTGCCTACGAAGACCACGTATCTTGTCTCCCTTGAGCGGTCCTTATATACAGGTTTCACTGTTCTACATGAACCTGGTTTTACTGTACACTGTACTGTTGTATTGTCAGTTTTTGGTACAGTATTGAAAGTTTTGGACAAATTTTGATGAGAGATGAGCTAAATGTAGGTTAATATTGGTAGAGTATACTACAATCCAACCTTTTCATTGTTTATATTCATACCACACAGAGAGGCTGTAAGGCTAAATTCAAACTTTTTTTTATATGTATCTGTATGTAGCTTACATCGTAACATCCTGGAAATTTGCTCTATTAACTCAATTCTGGCATGAACTTGTATGTGTTTGTATTGTGCACTATCAGTAAGAGGAAGTGGACTTTATTCCAATAAAAAAAGAAAACTATGCATTAATTCTCCCCCCCCCCCCCACCTCCCCCTTGAAGAAAAAGGCAGATCTTCCAGTAAATTACAGCAACATTGAGATTTACCATAAAAGTAGGGTCTACACCAAAGTATGTAAATGACTAAATGTAGTGAACATAATTCTGGAACTTCTGCTTATTAATGATTGCTCCTTTCACAGGAAGAAACTTTCCCAAATTGCCTAAAGTTAATGTTTTGATTTCATTATTTTGCGGCATATGAAACTCTTACAAATTACAACAGCTGTCCGAGGGTTTCATACATTCAGATTTGGTGGCTGTATGTTTAACAATGCATATACCTGTTGGCTACACATGTATTATGACAAATCTAAATGTCCGTGTCATTCCCTGATTGTGTCAATGTTCGCAAAATGAAAGACACTACACAGAGACCATTGTCTGGGACTGCACTGTTTGCACATCCTGTCTGTGTTTCGCGACAGGAATGGTTCAGGTTTTGCCAACTGCCTAGTCTGCCCGCAGAGACTCTAATTTGACATTTGAACTACGGTGTAGGAGTTTAAACACACAAATCCATAAAGCCTTGGGCTAAGCCTGACTCCCTCAGACTCAGTGCCAGTAGCAGTTACTGTACAGTACATAGCCTATGGGATGCAGTAGAGTGTACAGTCTGCATAGTCTCGTCACTCATGTAGTTCAGACTCTCCCGAACCCGTTATGCACTATGACTTACAAGGGTCTGAACCTACAGACTACCAACTATCACCAATTGCTCATTCATTGTTTCCAATTCACCCTTATCGTACAAAGAAACATGATCCAATCACGCGTGATATGTAGAGCATTATGAGCAGGTGAACTCAAAGGTTGAGTTCCGGTTGAGGAATTCTGTTTAAAAAAATGATTGCTCATAGTCATTTTTAAGTAATTCTGACTTGTTTAGCATGTACATATACATATAGTCAATTTATGATGGAGTTGTTTTATTAGACAACCGCCTCCTCCCCCCCCCCCCCCCAAAAAAAAAATAAATAAATAAATAAATAAATAAATAAATAAATAAATAAAAAAATGATAATAATAATAATAATAATACCAGTAACTAGAAATTTAATTCATCATGAGGATGAATTAGGTGGTCTGTCTTCAATGCTTATTATCAGTGAAAGGTCAAAAAGAAAAAAAAAGTGAAGAAAAAAATTGTTGGAGACGCCCGGACTCGAACCAGGGACCTCGAGGTCGGAAGTCAAGTGCGTTACCGATATACCAAAACATTTCCCATATCGATTACACGTGAACGGAAATTGGAATTCTTAAATTCCACTTTGCAAGTGAAATATGAGCATGATCCCATCATCTGATCGAAAAATAAAGGGCACACTTGTGATAGTTTATTGTCTCAGCTACAACATACTCGAAGCTCAGCAAAAAAAAAGCTAAAACGACGGAGATATTGCTCGCGAAAGACGGGAATGTAGAATCCAATTTTGAGGAAAAGTCATTTCCCATAGAGAATACACGCAAAATGTGAAAAATTGAGCGTCATCATTGTTATTATATGCAAGTGTGGAAGAACACCAGATAAAAAATGTTCCCTGAAAATGGCTCTTCAAATGCTTTCATATTCTAAATATGGCATATAACATCATAAAGATCGGGACAGATTTTTATGCCACATGTTTGTGTAGCCCTATATACATCTTTCTGTGTACAGTGCTTGTAACTTTATCAAGACTGGGCCAAAATTTTGTTATCATTTTGATGATTCCAGAAAGTTGCAGTACACACCAATACATATAAGCTACATGATCAACTTTTTCTGATTGATTCCACACCATTTCTTTCACAATGCAATCGCATGACCAGAACTCAATCTTATCTTTAAGCTTAGGGGAATTGCCATTTTGAAGACATGTGTACTTCTTTTTTGGACTTTGCTCCTGCACTGTAGGCATATCTCATGTTTAATATGACTCAAACGCTAGGCGTATTTCATGTTTGAGAACAACATGTACATTTAATTCTTGTTTCTTGTGTGAATTGAGATAGAAAGTGATATAAATTGGTAGACATACTACACTGTTGGATTATGACATGTGTTATTGTAAATGTACAAGAATGCACATATGGTATACAAGTTAAAGTACTGTGTCAGATTTTAATAAATATATTTCTCTCATTTTCTCTCTTTTTCTTGCTCTCTCCCTTTTACTCTCTTTTCTTACTCATCTCCCTTTCCTCTCCCTCACTCTTCTCCCTGGCTTTCTCATCCTCTCCCCTTTGTCTCTGCCCTATTGCCTCCTAATTTCTTTCCCCTCCTTTCCTCTCACTTTTACTTTTCTCTCTCCCCTTTTTCTTTCTCTCTCTGTTTCTCTTTCTACCTCTGTCCCTTCCCTTCCCTCCCTATCTCGCTTCTCTATTTTTGTTTTCCTCTCTCTTTATTTCTCTCTCTCTCTCTCTCTCTCTCTCTTTCTATCTCTCTCCCTCTTTCTCTCTCTCTCTCTCTCTCTCTCTCTCTCTCTTTCTCTCTCTCTCTCTTTCACTCTCTTTCTCTCTCTCTCTCTTTCACTCTCTTTTTCTCCCCTCCTTCCACCCTACTCTCCCTCCCTACTCTCCCTCATCACTTCTATCACTACCCTTGCTCTCCCCCCCCCCTCTCTCTCTCCCTCTCATCCCATCTTTTCTCTCCCTCCCCTCCCTCTCTCCCTATCTCTCTCCAACTCTCTCTCTCCCTCTCTCCATCTCAGATGGTTCTTTGGTTCGTGTACGCGGAGTGAGGCCATCATGAGACTACAGGCTGATAATCTACCCAAGGGAACCTTCCTTGTCAGAGAAAGTGAAACGAGACCAGGTGAGAATCTACATGTAGACTGAAAAATGAGTGCTATTATAAAAGTGTATTTATTGTAATGATATCTCAAGCTTCAGTTAAGTCTAAAAGTGAATAACACCACGTTGTGGTGATATGTCAGGCATGTACTACATCATAGATACATCCGATTTATGGATGCTACAGATGGATTGTCATGTATTGTTAAGTAGTTCTCAACTAATTAAAGTTTCTTTGAGCTTAATTGTAACTCGATGTAAAGCTTAATTATTTCACCAATAACTTAAACAAACATTGTGTATACATATCTAGAATGTGTAAAATCAACCTCAAACACTTCACCGGGCTGTATAAGGAGTATGAAGAAAATAAAGAATAACATAATGGGGCACACAGAACTCAAGTCGAACTTGGGTTCCACCAGACTTGGGTTACGTGCAGGCCCTATGTCATGCTAGTGTGACAGGTGCGTTGAGTAGTCTACTCACAAGTTACTTTTATGTTTAAATAATTTTGACTTATTTTTGTATATTGTATTATAATATGAAACTGGAAACATGAATTATTTTTTTTAATCAGTTATTGGTCAGGTAGCCTATTTACCGGTAGTGCCATGACATGCAATTTGGTCTGATGCACTGACCATTTGTCCTTTATGGCTCTTAATCGCATACAAAGTTTGTACCTACAGGTGTACTGTACAATATATACCGTAGTAATACTAGACTTTTGAATCTTTAGTGGCATAGCTCTAGCTAGCACTTGCGTTGATTAATACTCTGTGTGGTTTGATAGCTATTATCTCAAGTATGTACTTGTAGTTTAAAAGGCTCTTGCTATTCAATGTTTTGTATTGTTTGATTGATGTGGACACATGTGTTATATATACATTACATGTAGCAGACTTTATATTTGACACTTTATTACAATAAATATTGTGTATCAAGTGAAGACTAGCTGATTTTATACTGGTTGTGTAGCTATGCAGTGTACAGTAATTGGCCTATAGAGTATAGTACTAGCTCAGACCTTGTGTTATGCATTAAACTGTTAACCGTTTTTGCCTGCAAACTATTATATATTCTTAGAGATATATTTCCTTGCAGATACATGTACATAATAGAAATATGCCCAAATTATCATATCTCATATATCCATTTTTTAATTATTTTTATTTTTTACAAAGGTGCAAGATGATACAATCACTGTAAAAAAAAGAAATCATAACAGAGACCTGGGCCCCGCCTTATAAAGAATCGATATTAATCTCAACAATCGCAACTACAACTTGGAGGACTTCCGATTGATTTGGATCAATCACAACTCTTTGCAAGACGGGCCCAGATAAACTATTTCATGTATACATACAGTTAACAACTAAATTATTTATACCCTTAACAGGTTTTGTAATTTTTCAAGTATGTAAAAAACAGATTTGCCCCGATTTATGCTTCTTGACAATGTGGTGTATTAAAGTTTGAACGTCTGAAAGTATTTATCAAAGGCCCCAATTCAACCAGTCCACCTTCCATTCTTGAGTTACGAAAAACACAAAAACAAATTTACAAGGGGTATAAATAATTTAGTTGTAAACTAAATATGTATGAAATTTTGTCTATCACAGAGTGATGATGATCTGTATAGAAATCAATAAACAGTAAAAACTAAAGGAACCTGTCTACAAAAACCACATTTTGTTTTTCCCTTGGGCGGTCACTATAGACAGGCTTGACTGTAGGGCAATTCCACGGTAACGGAAGGACACTCAGACAAGATTTTTGAACTTCAGGTTCATACTAAAAGAAATGTTTTATTAGTATGTATTAAACTATGGGGAACAAAATGTGTTTCAGTCAAGTGGAAAGCTTCATCAACTTCACAAAGTTTGGATAAACACTAATTAACTGGAAAAACCATGTCCATTTTTATGTCCTTCCGTTACCGAGATAATTAATATGCACATTCTTAAACTACTTAACTATAATGACAATTTTTTGGGGGAGAATTAAAGGCACTTATATAGGTATTATATCTGTACTGTTTCACATCTTATACTAATAAAACAGTTCTTTTAGTATGAACCTGAAGTTTAAAAATCTTGTCTGAGTGTCCTTCCATTACTGTGGAATTGCCCTGTACTATAATCCTTGTCATTCTCAGGTACGTACGCACTCACAGTGAGAGAAACGGACCACGGTCACCCACCGACAATCAAGAACTACAGGGTAGACAAGACCAAAGACGGGAGCGAACTCTTCTCCATTAATCCTCATTAAACTACTTGTTCATATTCCTTGTTATTCTCAGGTACGTACGCACTCACAGTGAGGGAAACAGACCACGGTCACCCACCGACAATCAAGAACTACAGGGTAGACAAGACCAAAGACGGGAGCGAACTCTTCTTCATTAATCCACAGAGGAAATTCAACACCGTCATAGATGTGGTCAAATTTCATACCAGTGAGTTGAACCCTTGAATTTACATTGTCCAATATCATAGCATATGTTCTGTCAGTACCCCCTGTTAAAGTGACTCGATAACATTGTTGAAGGTCGATGAAAAACTGCGTAATTTTTGTATGAAATGTTTCTTATTAGTTATTTACCTACAGTCTTATTAGTTATTATATTCCTTCTACTGTACTAACCCTCCAACATGCAAAAAATCCTGAAAATTTATTGTGATTTTTGCATTGGAACTGCTAAATTATTAGCCTATGTATGATGACAGCGGAGTGTGTACTGGTTATCACCATTCATTGGATTATTTGGACATAGACATGGAGTTGAATTGTTTAATTTAATTTCGATAATGATGAGAATATTAATAATATGCTGTTCTTGTATAGCACATCACATTATGATATACTATAGTATCTCTATGCGTTTCCATAGGGTTTTGGATATTATTACAACAGTGTTAGCTCAGTGCATTCAAGGAACGAATCCTACCTGGTACCCACTGATACAACACCTGGGTTGAGTGTGGCAAATCTAGTTTAATGTCTTGGCAAGGGACATTAGTGACGCGGCGGGACTTGAACTCCGTACCTTGTGGTTTGCAGTCCAGAGATATATCCACTAGACCATAACACCTCTACATTGATAGATTCATATCTTGAATAGATATACCCCAAAAATTTTGTTTTATAATAATTAGTTGTTAAAGTAGTCACCCGAAGAGTCAAAAGTGTTTTGAATTGATGAAAAATTCATATCATTGCGAAGGGGAAGCCTTACTGATCAATATAACAACTTCCCTCTTCCAAATATAGGGTCAGCAGTAATCATCTCTCAAAAATATTGATTTTGAGATCCAGATTTTCTGCGAGACACAGCCACAAAGCGTTTTAGGCCTTTCCATGATATCTACATGTATATGATTTTTCAGCAAATTATTCATGTTTTTCAAGAGAAAATCTTTCCATCCATATATAATTGTCCATAATTATCAGTTGTCGTGAATTTTCTTCGGGTGACTACTTTAATGTTTTTCATTGAAACATTACCAAAGAAAAAAAAAATGTTTACCGGTAATCATATCTTATCATTGTAAACAACAGGTCAACCAGGCGGTCTATGCTCCAAGCTTCTTAAACCCTGCCCCAAACAGACCCCCAACACACGCACCCTCGGACACGCGGTATGGGAGCTACCTCGGTCCTCTCTCAAACTCCTGGACAAGCTGGGCCAGGGGCAGTTTGGAGCAGTATGGAAAGGTAATAACTATTCCCAGGTTGCGTTTGTTCACGCAGTACTTACGTACGGACGTATACGCAAAATATAAAATTTAATTTGTAATTTGCGCCACATCACCGCGGTACCGGTAATCGACTGCTGCCTTTAAGATAGTACACAGTGCAACAAACTTTTTTTCTCCCATCAGTAATGTGCGAAACTATGTTTCATCACGTGATAAACTTTTGACCAATCGTAGAGCAAGATTTTTTAGTATGTGCAATATAATAGCCCCTATTGTGTGTGAAGGTTGTAGTCCCATGTATTCATATTTCTGTAATTCTATCCTTCCAGGTATCTACGATGGCAAGGTAGAGGTTGCCGTGAAGACGTTAAGGGCAGGAACAATGTCACCAGAAGCATTCTTAGCTGAAGCAAACTTGATGAAGGAGCTTAAACACGTCAAGCTAGTCAACCTGTATGGAATCTGCTCGGACGAGGTAAATATCTATATCCCTATATCAATATCCCCATATCCCCATATCAATATCCCCATATCAATATTCCCATGTCGCCACACATATGCAAGAATCTTCAGCAGTGAAGGAGGCAGATTATCCTAAAGAAGAAGAAAGAATTAGATATCACAGCTCTCATTATTCAGGCTAGAAAATTTGCCATTTAGGCCTGAATTTGATTTACAATTTACTATGGGACTACTGGTGGCCATGAGGTTGAAAATGAATAAGTAGTAAACATATCACACATCCTTTTTTTTCACCTTTATTTTTTTTTGGTTTTGTTACCACCTTTCTGGCTGCCCATAAGAAATTTGTGGCTTTTCAGTCCTATGTGTTGCCAAGTCAACATGATGTGAATGCATCCACACACACACACTACAACAACAACAACAAAAAAATTTCTGTAACTTTTTTCAGAGGTCAATGCTTTGCTTTGAACAACAAAGTATATCAGCCTTTAGCATGTGTAACAGAAAACAGAATTACACAATCTTTCTTTTTACCATTATTATTCTTTATACCCTTCTCTTCTCTTATCCAACCTTTATTTCCTTTACTCTATCCTTTTCCCTTCTCCCTCTCTAACTAAATTTCATTATGCAGGAGCCCATCTACATCATTACAGAGTTAATGGTCAATGGTAGCTTACTTGGATACCTGAGGGAAGGAGGTGGGCAGTATCTTGGATTGAGGGAGCTTGTAGATATCGCAGCACAGGTATGTACTTCACTCATTTCGTCGTCAAAATTATCTTGGCAGCAAGATAAATCACCTCTGTCCCATACATCTCATGCATTCCTTCTTTAAAATTTCAGGCAGTGTGTTTTTATTACATTCTCTTCCAGTAGATTTACCGATATTTTCTCATTTAATACAGAAAATTGTCATGGTTAGGGTAATTAAACTTCATGTTATTTTGCATAAAACTCTTTTCAGTGCGGTACGGAGATTCACCTACCAAAACCTTTTTATTTTTGGATAGAGAAAGCAAGTCTTTCTTCTTGAAATTCAAAAGTAGGTTCATGAATGTTTAGCATTGATCTGCAAAAGGGGTACAGAACCTGTCCTTTGGCAAGATATTATTCTACATTTGCCACTCTCCACCCAGGTGTAGTAAGTGGGTACCCGGTAGGAAGAAATTACTTGAGTGCCTCATCGTAGCTCGGCTAGAGCCGGGGTAATCATATGATAGCTGGCCCTCAGGGAGACCAGTATTATGGGTATGGATACTGATAAGGCTACCCTGGGTAATTAAAATATATCAGTATTATTATTATTATCATCATCATGAGAAATGAGTGATAACCTTTATCGTTTCTACCAGATTGCCAGAGGGATGAACTACCTGGAGTCAAAGGGTTATGTCCACAGAGACTTGGCCGCCAGGAACGTGCTGATTGGCCATAACAACGAGGCTAAGGTAGCCGACTTTGGATTGGCTAAGCTGGTTCAAGATGACAACTATGTGGCTAGAAAAGGTGAGCTGATTGGCCAGTTCTGTATTCATGACATGGATGTGGGGGAAGTTTGGGGGTATGGAGTCGAGCATGCTTTTGTTGCTGTAGTATACTCACATATTTGAAAAGCGGCAAACATTTTACCTCAGAAAGATACTGTATTCATGTGAGAGATATCTACACATGTATGTATTTCTTTGTTTCTTTTTTTTTGGGGGGGGGGGGGCGTGTTTACTTGAGATTTTGCAAGGTTTTTTTTACATAAATTGTGACTATGGCAAATGATGATTGCAATGAATTTGCTTTGTTTCTATTTTGCATGTGTTCTCGCATGGCGAAACTGGCCATATTCTATGTTATTTCAAAAAAATATTTTTTATATTTTTCTAGAAATAAAAAAAGGCTCATGAATTGTGATACTGGTATGATAGGATACTGTTATAAATTAATTAGGATGAATAATGTTCCCATGTAGATGAATAATGTTCTGATTGCCTAACAAGTTTATCTTTATGTTTTGAATGCACAGGGGCTAAATTTCCTGTAAAATGCTAGATGATCAACCCTTTCTGATCGATTCCACAACGTTTCTTTCACAATGCAATCGCACGACCAGAACTGGTCTTCATCTTTAACCTCTGTCGCATCTCATAGATATTTTGTCGTATTCCCAAAGTATCCCCATGTAGATGGATAATGTTCTGATTACCTAACAAGTTTATCTTTATGTTTTGAATGAACAGGGGCTAAATTCCCAGTCAAATGGACAGCTCCGGAGGCTGCCCTCTATGGGACGTTTAGTATAAAGTCTGATGTTTGGTCGTTCGGTATTCTCCTGTCAGAGATTGCTACTAAGGGAAAGACTCCTTATCCAGGTAAATTGAGAGGGAAAAATTGTTGTATCTCAGAATTTTCATAGCATTTAACCACTCTTTTTTCTGCTCAATATGTTTTGGATTATCATTTTGCCTTCCTGTATTATAGCTTTCATTACTATATGTATGTATTGAACTCTTACAATTTCAGTAGGTTTTCAATAAGTTTCCATGGTTTTTCCAATTGGTTTTCTCTATGGGTTTTTCTTAATGGGTTTTCTCAATGGGTTTTCTCAGTTGGTTTCCAATGAGTATTACATGGATCCCATGTTGGGTTTTCCAACTGGCTTCCAATATATTTCCTGATCATTTTCCAAATTTGTTTTCCAATCTGTCTTCATTATAATTGGCTTTTACGTGTGCATTTGCTATTCAGTTCATGTTTGATTGTTTTCCATTGGGTTTTCCAATGGGAATTTGAATGGATTTTCCAATGGGATTTGTAATGAGTTTTCAAATCGGACTTGCAATGGGTTTTCCAATGGGATTTGCAATGGGTTTTCCAATGGGATTTGTAATGGGTTTTATTCTCTCTACTTGCCTTCATGCAGGCATGGACAACCAGACAGCCTTGAAGGAAGTGAAGAGCGGTTACCGCATGCCCAAGCCAATGTACTGTCCGGACTCTCTCTATGACATCATGACGAAGTGTTGGAACGAAAGGCCTCAGCAGAGACCCACCTTTGAGACTCTCTACAATTTCCTTGATGACTACTTTGTGGCAACGGAACCGGAGTACCACGATCCTGAGGGATTTTAGTTGTGACTTTGGATGGTACTTCTCTGTTGCAATAGCTAGGAAAAGATATCTCTGTATGCATATACTCTTGGATAGGGACCTTGAAAGAACTAGGAGGCGTGATAGCACATTCGGTAGAGCAGTGGTCTCGTAATCCGGTGACCCGGGTTCGAAACCAAGGCGATGCGCTAGTGCCCTTTGGTAAGGCATTAATCCTCATCACCAGGTCCCTAAAGGACCTAAAGTCGTTGGCCGTCTGGTTGCTTACTTACAGGCATTTATGCTTTCTTAGCAGTCAGGTAAAATAACAACCACCACCACCAACTATCCTTCTTGATGTCTTTGAAGCAGCAACAAGAGATCTTCTACAACATCTTGGAATCTAGTTTGTCTCAATGGAGCATAGTACTATTATCCAGAAGGCCTTTACATGTACATAGTTCGTGACTGATGTGTGATTTACTTGTATGAGTCCATTGCAAATGCAATATGAAACTTCCTGCCATAGGAAAATGATTTCATGAAGAGCTTGAGAGGCAGACCTTCCAAACTGTCTTCCTTCAGGACCTCAATATATGTGTGTGGCACCAGGGGGGGTGTTTCACAAAGCCTTTTTTCAATGAAAAATGACAAAAATCAGGGACAAATCTGCTGATGACCAATCGGAAGCAAGGATTTAGGTAGCTTATAACAAAAACTGTCATTTGTCAGTGATGACAAGTTTTGTGAAACACCCCCCAGGAGATCTTCAGCGACTTCCCAGTTTGTGTCAATTGAACCGGAGTAACACGATGTAGAGGGATCATCGATGTGAACGTAGATGTACAGTGTCCATTCTTTGAATACCTTTTGATGGAGAGAGAGACAGATGTAGAGATGCCACAGGACTTTGACAAAACAGGTTCCAAACCATCTTCAAGGGATATCTTTTGTCTTGGTGGTAAGACAACACTCCAGAGTGAACTTTAAACCTTTGAACCTGGCAGCTGAATGTTCTTGGTTTCGGATCGAATGGAAAATGAAGCCACTTTTCAATGGAGCTCCAAACTTACATGACGTGAGAATTTCGAGAGAAGAGCAAGAGGGTTTTCTCTGTAAATAAAGTGTAAGGAATCCCGCCTCACCCGATTGATCAGGTGTACAGATAAAAACATCAACTTCTTGGCTTGTCTCTTGGCCAAGATCTCTGCATAAAGTTCTATGAAACATCATTCTTTTACATATTGGTAGTTAGGATGTACATCATGCATGTACAGTATGTGTACATGTAGCCATAGAGTGTGTAGTAAAAAGAAAGTAAAGAGAGCTGTAGAGTGTGTAATAAGGAAAGAGTCAAATACTTTTATAAAAGCCATAAAAACAAGTCCTTCATTGACGTTTATGCAAGTTGGAAAAGATGTACACTGTATCCATTGACTGGGGTAATAGTATATCTGTAAGTGCTTAGAGACATCATAGATGTAGTAAGCGCTATATAAAAGCGGAATATTATTACACTACACGTAGACGTAGGGCACATTTTCGCAATAGGGGCTGATCAATGCCTTTTGTCCAAATATCAACTCTGCATGAGGAAAGCGAGCCCGCAATGAAAGAAGGAGACACTAGAAGAAGAAGGTATGAGAACATCGGGCCTCATCCAGGCAGATGCTCAAGACCAGGGGGGTGTTTCACAAAGACTAAGATCAACTTAAAGTCGGACTTAACTATGGCAGGGTGTTCATGCCAATGTTTGTTCTCACCATTTACTGGCATTGGTCTCTTAAGGGACTTACAAATCATGGTCACAAATCTACAGAATTTACCTCTTTTGATTGTTCATTATTGAAGGAAAAAATATTATTTGGAGATCATAATTGAGAGACCAATGATGAGAGCAACCAGTGGCATGAACAGCCTGCCACAGTTAAGTCCAACTTAAAGTTGATCTTAGTCTGGAGAAGGGTTAATAAGGGAAATGAAACGTCCAACGTACCCCACATCCTGAAGAAACGGACGCTAAACGACGATGATGAATAGTGAGTAAAATGGTATCATGGGTGGGGAAAATACTTTGTTTGTTTTACAACCGTGAATGAAGTTCAATCACTTAATCAGGTAATTTTTATATTTTTTTACCTGGACAGGAATATATAATCAATTACCTGTGCATGAATTTTGATAATGAATAAATTATTTAAGATTTATTTTGTGGATAACAATCATACCATTGTAAATATTCCATAAGTTATCGTAACTCAAGGTAAAGCATTGACAAAGTACATGTTAACTTCATGTAGACCCACATGTATGTTTCCATGTATGCATATATTGGATTAATCCAGGGTAAAATTGCACTGCCTAGTGAAATCAATGTCTGATTACAGTCAACAATTTTAATTGTAAGTTTATATTTAGAAACATATTCACATTTCCATGAAAGAAAGAAACAAATTTTAGTTCTTCTTCATCTTCTCATTGTATGAATTACTTACTGGTAGTCAGTCCAATAGTGGAAACTACACTCAATATGCCAGTTTTGTAATATAAACAAATTTAATGCATGTCTCTTTGAAGTGCCTCGATACCAATGATGCCATTCACCTGTTACAAATAATTTTCAATAGTCGGAATGCAAATAGGTAGGACAAACATTATGGTTTATCCTACCTAACAACACCGGTGTAATGTTTGTAATTTGCAATCTGGCTATTGAAATGCAATTATGCATAACAGGTGAATGAAATCATTTGTTACAAGGAACTTAACAAAGACTTGTGCTTTTGTGCATGGCCAATTTTGCCTTAATTTAAGCTGTATGAATAATCATTGACTCATCCGAAAACTATGAATTATATTGTTGTCCATTTAATTATTTTTGTTCATGGGTCGTACACCAGTAATATGATTGTGATATGTGAATACAATTAGCCACAATTATTGATAAGCTCTTTTGTTTCCTTATTTCAGTTAAAAATGGGAAGCCACACTAAATTTTGCCTTGATTGAGGCTGCATGAATAATCATTGACTCATCGGAAAACTATGAATTATATTGTTTTCCATTTCATTAATTTTGTTCATGGGTCGTACACCAGTAATATGATTGTGATATGTGAATACAATTAGCCACAATTATTGATAAGCTCTTTTGTTTCCTTATTTCAGTTAAAAATGGGAAGCCACACTAAATTTTGCCTTGATTGAGGCTGTATGAATATAATCATGGACTCAACTGATGTTGTGCATTATATTGTTTTCCATTTCATTAATTTTGTCTGGGTCATACACCAGTAATATGATTGTAATATGTGAATACAATTAGCCATAATTATTGATAAGCACTTGTTTCCTTATCTCAGTTAAAAATTGGAAACGACACTCAATTTTGCCTCAAGGCTGTATGAATAATCATTGACTCATCAGAAAATTATGCATTATTTTGTTTACCATTGCATTAATTTTCTGGGTCGTACATCCATAATATGATTGTGATATGGGAATACAATTAGCTATTAGTATTGCAAATGATCATGACTCTTTTTTTTTAAGTCAAGGGAAACAGGAAACTTGAATTGAATCACGTTTTTTCATTACAGATATATCAGTTACAAAATGGAAAATGATACCCATTATATTGCTTCCTTTGTAGAATACTAAACAAGGTATGAGTGGCACGTGAACTTAAGTGAGAATGGTACTTAAAAATCTTTGAATTCTGAAAATTGATTAACTATATCACAATGATCTTGCCATATTAATAACAAAAACACTATGCTGCTCTTAAATTAAAGGCTGAATTACTTTAAAATGTACAATTTTTAATTCAACATGTAGGTAGATTTCTGCACCAATAGTAAACAAATATTACATTTAGCTCACAAACACGGTGTACAGTAACGAGTGAAGAAGTTTATGATGCTTCAATATTATAAATTATAAAATCAGGAACTGCATTTGTGTGAAATCTCTGACAAGACACAACTCTTAAAACCCTCCTTTTTAAAATGCAGCGTGATAAGACACAACTCTTTAAATCACCTTTTTTTTTAATGCAGCAAAATTTAACATGGGAATTACTGGCAAGAAGCAACATAATACATTTAATATATAGATACCAAAATGTCTCATTAATTTAACTGTTTTTAGAAGTCGTTTACCGCATCTTGAATGAGTAGCCCTAAGTGCCTCATAAGAAAGAGCGCATGAGCTTATTTTGATTTAGGGTATGTGCTCTTTTGTTTCATGAAGTTGATATCCATCTCTTTTAGTGCCTTTTTCAAGTGTATTTCATATCAGTACTTGAAAATGTTGTGTAATGTAGATAAAAGTAGATTGCTTGAAGAACAATGCTGTGCATGAAGTGCATTGTCATCATTGTTCTGTTGCAGGCTGATTTCAAACTCTCACCGATACGTTTACTATGGGATATAGAAGTAGTTAGCTAATATGGGAATAGATTTGACATGTGGTGTGTTTGTTGGCTGGGTTGTTGGCAATATAATCTTGTGTAATTTAATTGAGAAGGCACTTGTGGCTTTAAAAATGAAGTTCGATTTTCGAAATGAAAAATACTCTAGAACAAGAGAACCTTAAATTGAATATTCTTCAGTGAAGAGAGCAAATGTTTATAGAATAGATGCTAGCTAAATCTTGCAAGAGAAAAAAAATGTGTGAAATAAGTGCATGTATCAGAAAATACATGTAAGATTTGTTCCTTGCACAGGAATGTATTTGGATATAGGCTTCGCAAATAAATGCCCACTTGTTAATGAAAAACGTAGCATAATGCAGTACTTGATTCCTCAAAAGTTCTTCATGTGATAACTTTATCATGTAATGCAAATTTAATATGCATTTAAAAACCAAAAATCTTATGTAGTTATGTATTTACAAATGAGACAACTCCTTTAATCATTTTGTACATGTGTGTATCTTAAAAGAGTTTTTTTTTCTTCTTTTTTTTTCTTCTTCTTCTTTTCTTCAAGAAGTGTTTGTGATTTATTTGAAGTTGTTATATGCGAGTGTAAAAGGAATCAAAACGAAGTTAGAATAATTAGTGTGAATCATTTGGTGTGCAACTTTGCTCTGTCGCTGTGTACTTAATATTACAAGAATGCACAATAAGTTCATCAAATGAACATTTATTGCATGTTTAATTTTGTAAACATCTAATAGTGTTCAATACCTGTTGACAGCTCAGAAGCATAAATTAATGTAAAAGAGGAACTTTGTAATATTTGTTTGATACTTTGCGACATTAAACTTGTAGCCAAGTGTTGCACAGCAATAAAGTTACTTTCCACTGTTTCCAGCATGAGATTTTTGTACCTGTCGCAAGTTTCATGATGCAAAAGTACATTGTCTGATTGAAAAGTTTCTTCCAAGCATTCATAAAATTGACCCTAAATCTTTGTCGCAACTTGAATGATGTACTTGTAAATAGTGAAATAAACAAAACAACTCACAGATCTTATATTATTTTTGTATTTGACTTTATTATCAACATTACACAATTTACATATAATGTACACTATGTACAACTTTTCGATTTGATGTCATGAAATGAATCAGACATTCCTTTTCATATTAGTACCAGTAAATGAATAATGGTATCTCCATGGATGTTGCTATGTCGGGTAAAGCTCTGTCAAGTTTTTTTTTTAGTTGTCAAGAGAGAGGCTTATTTAAAAAGTATGCATAACAGAGTACATCAAAATGTAATAGACCTTTTTTTGTAATGTAACCAAATTTCATGCAAACGTCTTTGTGAAGTGCCTCAATACAAATATTTCATTCACCTGTAATGGTATAATAGTATTTCAATAGTCAGAATGCGAATTGCATCAAGCCATAATGGATGCAATTTGCATACATGCAGACTGGAATCATGTACGATTTACAGCTATATTTGTTATTTTATTATTGATGTACTTCTGTAGTTAGATTTCAATTGTAGGTCTTAGCACCTTTAAAACTGACAACTACTTAGAAATGTGACTGTATTTGTAGTGACACATTTAGACCAGCGCTACAATAGATATACATGTATAATTGTTATATCATGATTGTGTATTTAAATTGCCTTTCAAATATTGACTTTCATTTTTTTTAATGATTAAGACAGATTTTCCAAATGATAAAGTACTCTTTTTTGTATATTTGTACTTACATTTACCAATGATGTCTTTTAACATTATGTGCTATTGTATCTTGCACATAATAGAAAATGTACTATTGCCATGATATTAATAATAATCTTGGCTATTATCGAAGGAGTACCATTTATATTTGTATACTATTTAATGATGAAACAATATCTGACATGCATGGAAATTAAAAATAAAATATGATCATGATTTGTTTTTTGGTGCCTGGTGGTACATGTGATGGTTATTTTGATATAAATAAATACCCAAGAATCTTTTCATGTATATAATTGCTGTCAGATTGAATTATTTGTGGAGAAACAGTGTTGTATCACTAATTCAGGGGTGCATTTCACAAAACTTGTCATCAGTGACAAATGACAGTCTATTGTTATAAGCTACTGAAATCCTTGCTTCTGATTGGTTATCAACAGATTTGTCACTGAAAAAAGGCTTTGTGAAACGGGTCCCTGGTTGCTTCTTTACATGTAGTCTATTGTATACAATGTTGAATACAATGTCACAATGAGGAGGTTTAATAACAGTGATATCACAAGATGACGATGGTGAGGAGACCATATGTGCATGCAGTTATTAAGAGAATGAATGGAGTTGGTTGTGGTGGTGGTGGTGGTGGTGGTGATGATGATGATGATGATGATGATGATGATGATGATGATGATGATGATGATGATGATGATGATGATGATGATGATGATGATGATGATGATGATGATGATGATGATGATGATGATGATGATGATGATGATGATGATGATGATGATGATGATGATGATGATGATGATGGTGATGATGATGGTGATATGGTGATGGTGATGATGATGGTGATGATGATGGTGGTGGTGATGGTGGTGGTGGTGATGATGATGATGATGATGATGATGATGATGGTGGTGATATGGTGATGGTGGTGATGATGGTGATGATGATGAAAATGATGATGGTGGTGGTGGTGGTGGTGATGGTGATGATGATGATGATGATGATGATGATGATGATGGTGGTGATATGGTGATGGTGGTGATGATGGTGATGATGATGAAAATGATGATGGTGGTGGTGGTGGTGGTGATGGTGATGATGATGATGATGGTGGTAGTGATGATGATGATGATGATGGTGGTGATGATAGTGATGCTAATGATCATTCGGATAGCGATAGAAATGATGACTGTGACAATAATGACGGCGATATAATGGTGGTGACATTGATTGCTGAAGAATTCATCAGCTTTCTTGTGATGGTGCTTATGCATATATTCTTGTTTACTTATCTTACAATGAATATGATGCTAATGATGGTGGCGATAAAACACTGTAACATAACAAGGTGCTACATGTAGATCACTGAAGAATATCTGTTTTCTCCTGCCGACATTTGTACCCATGCTTGTGTTAACATTTCTTGTTATTTCTCTTCTTCTTTGCTTGATGGTAAAATCAAGAGTTGGTAGATCACTGACGAATTGAACAGTCTCCTTGTGTTTGAGCTTTTGTATTTGCGTTTTCTTAAGATGACATTGAGAGGGATGACCTTCATATCACGATGACATTGATAGGGATGACCTTCAGATCACGATGACATTGGTAGAGATGACCTTCAGATCACGATGACATTGATAGGGATGACCTTCAGATCACGATGACATTGATAGGGATGACCTTCAGATCACGATGACATTGATAGGGATGACCTTCAGATCACGATGACATTGATGGAGATGACCTTATGACCACGATGCATTGATAGGAATGACCTTCAGATCACGAGGACGTTGATAGGGATGACCTTCAGATCACAAGGTGGTAGATCGCTGCAGTTCTTTCTCCGGTCTCTCATGCCTGTGTTTATGCCGGTGCTTGTCTTTACTTTTCTTCTTCTTCTTTTGGTGATGATGGTAGGCCTTGCCCGGATCGCTGAACAGGGATGAGCGAGAGTCGTCTCTCTGGAGGCTGGCGTGAGAGGACGACGACGGGGAGCCTGGAAAGGTCGTCTCCTTGGTAACGCCAGAGAAGCTGTCCCTTGAGCTATCATCCACCTCACCTGCAGGATAATTGAAGTTTGAAGATTAATAATAATATGATAATAATAGTGGGTTTTTGTATAATAATAATAATAATAGCTCACATTTTAATGCGCCTAATACTTTGTTTCTAGGCGCAGCACATATTATTACCCCGGTCATTGGATTCAGGCTTACCCGCAACACAATGTATGCACATTTTCCACTTCCTGGGGAGCATTCCAGCTATTCGCCATTTTACAAGCGCCACTTGCTAATCCAACCACATTAACTTTCGCATCCTACTGGAGAGTGGCAAATGGAAATCAATGTCTTGCCAAAGGACATTAGTGTCGCGGCGAGACTTGAACCGCAGACCTTGTCATCCACAGTCCAGTGACATATCCAAACGACCACGACACATCTAGCGCTCATGTCTATCAGACTTGACACTCCTGGTGCTCTGGCATTTCAAGGGAGTAACTCCTGCCAAGCACCCGTTTATCTCACCTCGATCGACTGTGGCAAATGTAAATAAAATCTTGCCACTATTGGACACTATTGCCACGGGGGGACTCTACCAAAAACCATTTGATCCACAGTCCGCTGACGTCTCCACTAGACCACGACACCTTCACATTGAAGTTTTTTATTATTATTATTATTATTATTTATTAACATATGAACACAGATACAGAGTACACTTGAATAAAACTATTAGATGCAGTAAATATACAATGTGGCCATAGACATGTTGTCGCTAGGAGAAGAAAAAGGAAGTGCATGAGCTGGAGTGGCAGTATAGATCGATCCTCTTAGTCAATTTCATTTTTAAATAATATTTAAACTAGATGGATCTTAGATAATGCCGATCCCATAGAGCCATTTCACAAACCGAAACAGAGGCAATTTTAAAATTCCTCACCTGGTTCTAAAGGTGATAATGGAGATTCCTCTTTGACTTCTTGTTTGACCTCATCCTTGACCTTCCCAAAATCAGGGGTAAAAGGTGGAATGTCGGCTTCCTCACTGTCCAGTCTCTCCCTCTGGAAAACAAATGCAAAACAAATGAACACATAGATGGAGAAGAGTTTATGATAGAGGATCTCAAATCAGTCTCCATTCCGTTATATTTGTAGAATATCATGTGAGTTGATCATTATACAAATGATGCATGCTCATGAGTTCATTATACGATCTATCCGCACTCGAGTTGAGGCTGTGTGTATCTATTGCACAAAGCCGTTAGGCCGAGTGTGATAGATACACACAGCATCAACGAGGGCGGGTAGATCGTATAATGAACGAATGAAAACATGCATCATTTGTTTAAAGGTAAAGACCAGTTATGGTCATGCGATTGCATTGTGAAAGAAACGTTGTGGAATCGATCAGAAAAGGTTGATCATCTAGCATCTGCAAGGTTCTGGAATCATCAAAATGATAAGAAATTTGGCCCATTCTTCGTAAAGTTACAAGCACTATACACAGAAAGATGTATATGGGACTACCCTATATCTCTCACAGACCATGAGAGAAACAAATTTACCAAATATATGAATTAGTAGGCGGTTTCCCGGCAAATTTTTTATCATCATGTATAGTCAAAACATATTCTTTCACATGATTGGTAATGAGAGCTTCCATTTCATTTTTTGAAATTGGGGCGTTTCCAATACTGGTCTTTACCTTTAATACAACGAAACTCCTAGATCCTTGTTATTTGATGTAAAAAGAATTAATTCAAGATTGTTTCGTGACAGTATATGACTGACAAATAAATCTCAAGTTATAAGTCTCAATTTAGTGCGCACACATGAGTATAGATACACATGTATAGCAAGTGCACTTACCTCTATACCCATTTACACATATTGCTGCGCAAGAATAGGCCCATGCACACACAGTATTAAGCGCTCCAACCTCTACGCACACTACTCGCACTGAAAAAGGGTGCAATAGGACTGGATAATATTGAACGCTTTTTCATGAAAAAGCGTGCAATAGGCTCAGCAAATGAGTCACACATGACCACGCATGACCAATCATTTGATTAGGATCTGGGAGTGAGTTGTATAATTGAAACTACATGTATTTATTTCATGTGGAGTGTTTTAAAGTAACAGTTTTTCTCTTGAAAATGCTGAGGGGACATCATGCACTCACCCCATCCCCCCCCCCCCCCACCCTTAAACCTATGACAAAGCCCAGGGGAAGGTTTATAATTATGATTGCAGAGCTGAATCCAGGATTTTATTTCAGAATCTGAGGCAATGTTACCATGTCACTTTGAGATATATACCTTTGTTGGGAAGACGGGCAGATCATCCTCCTCTTCAACATCCACATGGATCGGAGACGACGACTCTCTCTTGGATATCCGAGGAGACGACACGCCCGGTGATAGGCTCAGGGCCCCACCCAGGGGATCGCTCATGCTTTCCATCTCGACGAAGGAATCCTCCTGGCCGTCCTGCATGTCAAGATATGACAGGAGTATTTGTAATAATTATGATATTAATAACATTATTTATTTCCAAAGCACATTTGCCAGAAAAAATATGAAACATTATAAGATGATGACATGGATCCTAATCAAATGATTGGTTGAAAGCATACACATGACCAGGCATTGATTTTGCCTATTACGCGTATTTTAGAAAATGACCGGTCATTATCCAATTCTAATGACCGGTCATTAGTAAAATCATGTTATAAAACATCATTTTATAAAACAAATAAAACATAATGTTATAAAACAAATAATACACATCATTTGTTCGGGTATTACAGTAGTAACATTACCCACACTCGTTACCTTCATAACAGTCCAAACACCATCGGCTACCACCTCGGGCGTGTTTTGTTCCAAAGGTACCTCGTGTGGGTAGTTCTTACTAATGCCGTCACTGCTGTGTATAATTTGTATATTATGACACAAAAATCACTGGGAACAAACAAAGAACAATATCTACGTGTATCCTTTCGGCTAAAATAAAAAAAATTCTTTTATCAAAAGGGACGGCTCATAAAGAAGCAAGGCACAAGACAGCATTTACGGTAACCCTCGGCTGATGTTTATCAAAAAACATTGCATGTGTCCATCTCTTACTTAAGAATTTCCCTTGTGCCAGCCTGTCATCTTACTTTAAGAGTACACTATCCACAAACTATTCCGAACAACCCTGTTATCCAATGCATAATTTTCTGCCCACTATACATGAGTGAAGCCTGTATATAAAGACCGCTCAAGGGAAACATGAAAAGTGGTCTGATAGGCAGGTGGTCTTTCTATGTAGGTGGTCACTAAAGCAGGTTTGACTGTATTTCAAACTATCTCTCTATCTCTCTATCTCTACACCAACTCATTGGGTGGTATTCTCAAAAGCGGACTAACTTTATTCCATGGTTTAATCCACCGACTAAGTATGGAATGCCAAGTGTCCAAATGAATATATTTTTGAATAATTTGATATGCCCCTCGATTACCATGATAACATAATTATATCATAGTTAAATTATTATTTATTTATTATGTTATTACACTTTATTTTAATTTAGTGACAGATTAAATTATTCAAAAACATATTCATATGGACACTCGGCATTCCATACTTAGTCGGTGGATTAAACTAGAGTTACATGTAGCTTTCGAGAATACCAACCATTCTTTCCATCCTTCCATCTTTTCATTCATCCCTCCATCATGTTACTTACACTATCCATATCATCATCGTCATCGTCAGGCTCGTCAGGCATGATGTTTGGATTCACGGATGTCGTTCTCTCCTTCAAATTCACAACAAAACCAAGCTGGAAATTAAAGAAAAATATGCTTTTAGGTGGAAATCATATAATCATATCATACAGTATTATATGTTAAAACAAGACAAATGTTACATGTTACATGTTACATGTACTACACTAATGTACTGTAAATTGTAATACAAATGCAGAAGAGTTTATTCCTAAAGATTTTGTGGTCTAGTGGAAACGTCACCAGATTGTGGATCACATGCTTTATGGTTCCAGTCCTATCTCAGCACAAATGTCCTTCAGTAAAAAAACTAATCTACATTTGCCACTCTCCACCTAGGTGTACAAAATGGGTGCCTGGTAGGAATTTATCTCTTGAACGTTTTGAATGCCTTAGCAAGCTAGACTTAATCCAGGGTAATATAGTAATTTGTAGGCGCCTTGGGATAGATATGTGCACAAGTTTGTTATTTTGTGTAATGTGAAAATTAATTATTCAATTCATTAATCACTATGTTACATACAAATCAGTAATTACTCACACATTTTAATCATTAAGCACACTACTTTACATGCACAACACAAAAAAATGTATTACCAGTATTTGATTCATTTATCACTATTTCACATACAAATCAGTAATTACACACATATCATTTTCTCAGCTGGCTATTCTCCCATTACAGAAAATGGAAGAGAATCTTACCTCAGGCAGAGGTAGACATGAAGGCCTGGTTTTGCCGTAGAGGGCGAAGAAGAAATCCACCACATCACAACGTAACCTGGCATCGTGAGATGTACCTGAACTGTAACAAGGACATCAAAACAAACAGCAAATAATAGGGCTGTTCACGAATGGAATGACTAGCAGGACTACAAATCAATTATTGAACCATGATAAGAATTTTTCACTTTCTTGTGAATAACAACAAAAATCTTGCTGATCAGTGATTCTGATCACAACTCAAATCGCACATACACATACATGCAAGGTGGAGAGATTCATTTTTTTTAAAGCCCCACTGCACTACTTATAGCTACTTGTGCCCTCTATATAGCAAACAATGCCTAATCGGTGACCATTGGTCCCCCATGATCCCCTTTTTCTTATGTTAATTGAGAGCCAATTTGATGACACAACCACCTGTCAGTGACCATGCAGGGAGGTCTAATCCCTCCTGGACAAACTAGTGCAGACAGGATTTAATGTATGCAATCTTTTTCCCACAATACATGACTTCAACAGCAAATAACACAAAGTTTCAAAAGATTGATTAATTTTTGTCTGGTTCTGTGGCTTGCTGGCTATGTCAGTAGTGTCATTCAATACCACCATTGCAAAATAAGAGAGAGTCAATTAAAGAGACTTACTTCATGTGGGCCCAGAGCCTCTCTACTAGTTCCTCTGTGCTAAGCTTCGACTGTTCCTTGTACTTAAACGGTGGGTTGGCTATCAGCAGCCGTAGTAGCTTGTGCCTGGGTTGGAGATACATGCAGGAGTATCAAAGACACGTTCATCTCATATGCCATGAACGTTGCATCAAACTATCAATTACCGATTAAGCCAGTAACTACGCGACATCAATAGAGTAAACAATAACAATGATGTCGGTTATGATTATACTACTCAAAATGGAAATCAACGATAATAATAACAATGATTTATGTATTCATTGTCATTTCAAGATTTTATATGGAATAGTCATGTTATAAGTTTGTAAAATGGAATCTGATATTATCTCTATATCCACCCTATATACCTTGGCTCGCTCATTTATTTTCTCATTCATTATGTATGTTTATCATATGTGTATGTTTATCACTGTCCTGTAATATTTCATTAATACATTTGTATTGTATTACTTTGTAACCAGTGGAAGCCAAATTTCCTGATATAGATAATATATTACTGTACTTATACTTACATGTATACTGATAAAAATGTTAGCAGACTTATCAACACAGAATGTCTTTGCATCCATCCAATTTTTATTCTACCTCCATAACACTGCCTCTTGCCTCCCATTTACATAAGGGACTTTTTGGCTACTGAGCCCTTTGGCTACTGAACCATTTCGCGACAATCAATCCACATTTTGTGGTTTGGTTCAATTTCTTCTTTTTTCAGAGCCCTAAAAAATATGCCAGATGTATGAGAAGAAAGAGCAAAGTTTCTGCACAAACAAACTGCATCCATTTTACTTTCAAGGCTCCATTGCGTTTGATGCCAGGACATTTAAAAGGAAAATTAAGCTCTAAAATCCTTAAATTGGCAACAAGTTGACAGATTCAAAATACTTGTTTTTGGATCACAATTGGCAATGTTTTCAACTTTTGGACAACATTCTTGCCTATGTTTATGTTTTAGGAGACATTACATTTTCATCTTAACAATGTAGCAGTAAAATAAAATCTTTTATTGTTGCCAATTTGAAGAACAAAGTGTGATCAATTTACCCCTACAAATAAATCCTGTTCTGAAAGGGATAAAACCTCGTGTAGAAACAGTTTCATAGTGGCAGAAATATCTAGGGTTGTCAGAGGAGGTCTATATGAAATCTGGAAATGTCCACAATCTCTTACAAGTGTATACATCGCACAAGACAACAACTATTATTGTGTTCTATATTTAAATAGAAGGATATGGCCCATTTTGCACCGACGAAAATGGAGATCTACCTACATGTATTGGTAGCAGATCCTTTGCCATATTATCGGTAAATGGAAATGTGCATGGTACATGATAATTACTCACTTGATAATGGGAACAGGGTCATGGTACATGATAATTACTCACTTGATAATGGGAACAGGGTCTTGTTCCACGATGTCCAGTAACCATGAGAAGATATCAGCACTGGCTTCAACTGCAACACAAACACAAACAAGAAACAAATAGAATAGAATGATTTATTTCACTGTACTGCAATGATTTGTGCACTAGAGATGCTGTCAACATTGACCAAAGGACTACAGAGTATCTTGAGGATGGGTAATGACATATACAAAGGTGACAAAATCAACCCACAACTTTCACAAAATCAAATCAAAAGAGGACCTTGAATATGCCTTTGACACAGTCAACAAGCACTTCTAGTGTTGCTAGCCTGACGTGTGAAGAGTCCAAATTGAGTGTAGATCTGGTAGGGCGTTTGCTTGCTGGGTAGATGGCTGTTCTTCTCCTTCTGATCACCTTTACTTCATTAATTGTTAAACTAATGAATGAAATGAGAGGAACATTGGGCATACATGTACCTTTGACATAGTCCACAAGAGCTTCTAGTGCTGCAAGCCTGACCTTGATAAAGTGCCCACACCTTCACTTCATTAATTGTTAAACTAATGAATGAAATGAGAGGAACATTGGGCATACATGTACCTTTGACATAGTCCACAAGAGCTTCTAGTGCTGCAAGCCTGACCTTGATAAAGTGCCCATACTGTGCATACAAATTATAGGTCTAGAAGAGCATTGCCTTGCTGGGTAGATGGCTGTTCTTCTCATTCCAATCACCTAGAATTTACTTTATTAATTGTTAAAACTAATGAAAGAAATGAAAAGAACAAGGGGCATACCTTTGACGTAGTCCACAAGCGCTTCCAGTGCTGCCAGTCTGACCTTGGTGAAGTTCCCATACTGAGCGTAGGCCTGGAAGAGCGTTGGCTCGCTGGGTAGATGGCTGTTCTTCTGTAGAAGACGGATGTTTCTCAAGCAGCTGATGGTGACGGTGTGCTGGTAGCAAGGCAGGAGCTTCTCAAGGTTCAGGCATCGGGTCACCTCCTCCAAAACCATCTAAAAACAAAATGATTTGATAATATTACCATCTTTGCTGATATTGTAAACTCACTCTTTGACATGAAAGATAACATCCTGTAGCTTGTAATTAAATTTGCCGAAATAAGATTTTTTTTTTTCCCAATAGTTTTTTCCCTATAGCTCCTCCAAGATTTCAAGCCTACACTATGCCTCAGTACTGTACTTTTTCAAGATCACCTTGGGCTACAGTTTTATCTGTGCCCCTTAAAGCAGTCAATACTTTGCACAGTCAAACCTGTCTATGGCGACCGCCCAAGGGAAACATAAAACATGGTCTTTGTAGACAGGTTCCTTTAGTACATGTTTCAATTACAAACCATTCTCAAGGGAAAAACAAAATGTGGTCTTTGTAGACAGGTGGTCACTATTAAAAGCAGGTTTGACTGTATAATATTTGATCACTACATGTGAACATACCTTTGTTTCAGGGGAAAGGTTCTCCACACTGGTGTTGACCATGGAAACGGCAGGAGTGATGGTGTTAGAGAGCGCATCAATCAGACCGGCCCGGTAGTAGCAGTCAGAGAACTGATTAGGGAGAAAAAATAGGGATTGATACAATTGATCCGAGAATGCATTCAGACAGGTATGGGCCCGTTGCATAAAACTTACCATTGATGGTAACTTTGCCATCAATGGCAACTACCATGGTAACAGGGCTTAACAGCCTATAAAAATCAAGGTTTCCATGGTAGTTACCATTGATGGCAAAGTTACCATCAATGGTAAGTTTTGTGCAACGGGGCCATGGTCTATTGCTTGTACCTGTCCTTTTCTAAAGAAACACAACTGTTCTTAGTAGAGAATTGCGATGTAAAATTCTTGAGGGTCATACAGTGTAGAGTGGGAAGATGTTCTCACCTTATTCTTGGCGTTGTCGTTGTACTTGATGAGGTCTACCAAGAACGCTAAGCTCTCCCTAGGACACATCGTGTGGATGTTGCGTATCAGACCAATGGCTTGAGGTACAGCCTGGAAAGAATATCACATGAATGGAAATCATCGATCAAAAGTATGAAAGTCTGCTGTTGAAAAAACAATATACATTTCAGAACAATCTAAATGAAAATATGCAAAGTGATATTAGGCCTGTCTTCATCAGCTCGAGTTTGCCAAATAACCACCTATTTTCAGACTCGGGATATTATCCCGAAGCTCAAAATTTCGTCTTCACCAGACCAATATGCTTATCACAAACTGTATCGGACGGGGGCAAATTAGCCCGCTATTTCACAAATAGCGTGATATTTTGGAACAAGACTAATATTTCTTGGGACATTGTCTCGACAAAATATCCCGCTGATTGCATCTGCGGGCTGATGAAGACGCAAATTTACTGGTTAATTTGCAATCGGGATAGTTAAAATAGCGAGTTCTTTGGCAAACTCGGGCTGATGAAGACAGGCCCATTGAGTGAACCTGTCAGGTTTTCATCCCATACAAATGTACCTCACAACATCCACTCTACCTTTGATGAGGGTGACTTTTCCGAATATCACTCTCTCTGACACTTTGAATCTAATTAGTTTTTCCAGGTAATACATACTGTGCCAAATGAATAAGGGGAAAAAAAGTATTTTATGAAGAAAAAATGTACTACCATAATTTGATTAAACACCTGAATAATTCCGGGAAAAAAATAATGGTTAGCAGCTCTGATATTGGATCACTAATTATTGAAGGTACATTTTGTTTGGGAGAGAAACCAACCTTCTGGATTAAGTAGGCCCTGAAGTCCATGAAGTTATTCCGCCTCACAATGTCCTCTGAGGAGAAGGAGCTGAAGAGTTTCTTGAACATGGCAATGAGGGCGGTATGTCCACTGAAGGTTTCGGCAAGCTCATTGGATACCTGCAAGCAAACAAGTGGATTTGATTTCAAAATATATATTTGATGAACTCAAACTCTTCTTTATGTTGTTATCTATATTTATATTTATGTTCCTGCGTATTAATTGTATTGTTTGAACAGATGTCAATATATGTTGTCAAATTGAATGGAAGAAATTAAATGTTCATTTGAATTGAATTTAATCAAATTTTTATATGCCTTTTTATGCCAAACACTGCAGAATTAAGTGTGCCTCTCTGAAACAGGTCAGTGCTGCAGCATTAGTTAAAGGATACCAGTAGGTTTCTGCACAAATACAAAGATGTGGTGGAAACCTACATTCCAGTCACGATTCTAAACAATTTTCTACAGCTCTGAATCACTAATATTCAATAGAAACCACAAACTGAGCAGTTGTCAAAATATGGTTGAAGAGGAATGGCAGTGGGCTCTCATGGGGAATTTGACACCATTCAGGTGTTTCCCCAATAACAGGTATTGTCAATCACCAGGATTAGCCTTCAGTTTCCTGGCCTACAGGCCTTATGTAATGCTCTGCATTTTCACGTATCAACCCTTATGGAAAAGTCATTATCCTACATTTCCCTCACCCAAAGACTCTCCAGGAGACTAGGGGGTATTTCTTGATGGGACCACAAGTTTGCTGTGTGCAAGACATTTACACCCATAAACGGTATTTCCAGCAAGTCTGGTGTCAGCGAGCTATGACCTACTGCATATTGAACTGACGACCATCTTCTTTTATAGGGATCCGGTAACTTTGTCTCAGATTCTAAACAAAATCGTGGATTTAGCTCATGTTTCAATCATAATTATTAACCTTTAGGCCAGTCAGAAATACCAGGACTTTTACATGCCGATCGCCTGTCTGATTATCAAGATACTTATGATTGGAAATCAAAATTTCTAAAACCTTTTTTATAACACTACAGTCTATTGGGAAAAATGAGTATGGTAAAACCGGTCACTCAAAGATTTTTACTTTTTTGAGGCACTTCATGATCATTTTGAAGCGCACTGTTTTTTGAGGGCTTCAATATTACACCATATCACAGAAACTGATAACACGTAGGGCCATGCATCTCAGATTTGTACAACTGGAGACATTGTTAAACAATGCCTTTAACTCTGCAGAACACAAATGACCGCTGATAATACCAAGAGGATGAGGGTGATGACCTACCTGTGCATAGCAGTATGCGGCTTGTGTTCTGACCTTGTAGTAGCAGCCGGAATGGAGTATGATGTCACTCAGAGCATGGGTCGTTTCCAAGCTGGCAAACTTCTTTAAACATTCAACAGCCTACAGAGAAAAATCAGTTGCATTTAATTCACCATTTATCATGTTAGCTTTGAAAATTTTCCCCCAACCTGCTACTATTTGTAGGTTTTTCGTCTCATAAATTCAGTATATCAAGTGAGAAAGTCACAGGATTCAAGAGTGATAGTGAGCACTAAAAAAAAGAAGAGGATTCGGGGGGAAAATGGCATCCAACAACATATCCCTCCCCCCCCCCCCCCTTTGAGTAAGAAAATTGGGGAAAAATAGGGGAAAATAGAGAAAATAAGAGGAAAATCAGACAAATCTGGAAAAATCTGGAAAATGGGAGGAGAACAAAAATGGGTAAAAAAAATATATAAAAAATCTAGAAAAAAAAGAGAAAAAATAAATATATCGGGAAACCGATTTAAATCGGGTAACTATCAGGCCTGCAGGGTTACACATTGGTATGTTTGCCCTCCCCATCCCCCCAACACAGGCGATGCAGAATATTTACTAATAATACTTATAAAAAGTGAAAAGTGACTACCCCATAGGAGTGAACTAATTCAATCAATTGAAATGGACCCTGCCCACCAGAAAGCAAGGATCGGAATCTTAACTTTGTTGCAATTTAGTTTACAAGTTTTCTAAAGAATTCTTTTCACAAAATTGAAGTGGTTTGCTCCATAATCTTTCTGTAATTACAAGTAATATTAATATTTGATATTTATAAAGCGCACATATCCACCATGCATGGTGCTCAAACTATTACCCCGGCTGTTCTAGGCAACCATTTTCTGCGCTCACAGCATTCAAAGAATTCCTTCTTACCGGTACCCATTTAACCCCGGGGTGGAGAGTGGCAAATGTAGATTAATATCATGCCAAAGGACATTAGGGCTGTGGCAGGACTCGAACCATGGACCCTGTGATCCACAGTCCAATGACTTATCCACAAGACCACATTACCTCTACATGTACAATGTAGGTTGAAAGGTTAGCATTAGGGTTAGGAAATAGAGTACCGAACTAACCTAACCTAATGGTTAGGAGCCAGAGCATATAACACTGAGTTCCCATTGAACATATATTCATACAGATGGTCATATCTCAGCCAATACTTAACATATTCAATTGGTTTTCGACATTTGGACATTATTTTTGATGTTCTTTCGGAATATGAAGAAAAAATTGAGAAATTCTAAAAATAGATTTTTGATGACGTCACACTTCACCACTCTATTGAAAACCTTACCTCAAGCTGTGCTACAACGTCTCTCTCATATCTGAGCTGGCATTGCCACTGGTAATCAGGCTGGTCAAAGATGACTTCTCTCAAGAGGGTCATCTCTGTGTCAACTCGGATCCATAGAACAGGAGAATCAGGACTAAAAAAAAAAAACACAGAGACCAAGTCCTAGTTAGCATACCTGTACATATAACTTTTGTCTGCCAATGCCTCAGAGCAGACTGATCGTAATATTTAGAACTCCCAAACTATCTTAAAGTTGCTCAAGCATGGGTATATAGAGGGCAGCACACCGACGTACCCAGGGGAGCGTAATACCCATTGATTCAGTGTTATGTAGTGATCAGGAGTGATCGCCAAGTTCTCAACTTCACAAACAACTATATACCCACGCATGAAAATCTTTAAGGCCCCACTGCACTACTTACAGCTACTTGCGCCTTCTATATAGCACATAATGCCTAATCGGTGACCGTTGGTCCCCCATGATCCTCTTTTACTTATGTTAATTGAGAGCTTGATTTGATGAGATAACCACCTGTCAGTGACCTTGGAGGTTGGCCTAATCCCTCCTGTAAACTAGTACAGATGGCCTTTAACAGAGCTTAGAATTCTTACCATAGCTCACCAGCCTTTTTCAGGATTCCGATTCCTTGGAAAGCATACATAGACTAATCCTGAGAACTTATCTACGACTTTCATTCAATTTTCCTTTCTGTTATCAAAACCAAAGATTATCTGTACATTCGTACTTACTCCATCTTACTAAGATCCATGTCCACCTCTTCACCATTCTTCAATGGAATCTTCTTCTTCTTGTGCCTGGTGACAGAGAAAAGAAAATGTTTCATAACGATACAGAAAGCTGTCATTGCTTGGAATAATCATAGCATACAGTTTAAGCATCTACAAGTACCACTCTTATAATTTAACAGGCAAGTTTTAATCCACTTTTGCAGACTTTGTTAAACCCAGCTTTTCTTTCACACAGTTTCTCGCCATGTGCTGTTGAGAGATGGTATAATAATAATACACAATGCTGTGGCTCAGAATCTAACCCAATCTAGAACTTGGCAGACTGCAGTTCCAAAGAACTGGGAGGTGTTTCACAAACCTTGTCATCAGTGACAAATGACAGTTTTTGTTATAAGCTACTGAAATTCTTGCTTCTGATTGGTTCTCAGCAGATTTGTCACTGATTTTTGTCATTGGTCATTGAAAAAAGGCTTTGTGAAACGGGTCCCAGGACTGAGCCTCACACAATCCAAACTAGGACATATGATGCAAGTCATAGCAATTCAGTAACAGTGTTGCAGTAAGAAATGGGTCAATATCTATGTCATCACCTAGAAATTGTTACGTAACCATCATACTATTGTCCTTGACATACAGTAATACAAGTGCATCTATCATAGCGATGGCAACGGTTGGATAAGAACCCACGCCATTCACATGTAACATGGCTATTAGTATTTTACCCTAAATTTAAGACAGCTCCCTACCAGACTTGAGCACACTCTTTTGGAAGCATTGAATGACAGGGTTATGGTTTTCATACGCAGTCATCATAAGCTGCACACAATTATATTAGGGTGCATTTAATGCGAGCGTAAATTGCACATTACTTTTGATTGACCGTGTGATGTCACAATGCTTATCAGTAAGTATTTGGGCGTAAAGTCGACTTGGGTAAGTAATTGCTTAAATGTGATCGGAATAGAATTTAGACATTTTACTCAGGTAAGCCAAAAGCTAAGTAAAAGTTTTACGTAAAGTATAGAATTGAATACCTGCTCTGGAGACTTGTGTTGTCTAGAAACTGTTTTTACGCCTCTACATCAATAACGTACTGAATATTTACCTTCTGCTTTTGGAGTGGCATGTGATCTCTCCCTTTGTCAGGTTGTCTTCTACCTGGAGCGTGTGTTCAAATGAACCATCGAGCTCTTGAATCGTCACCTTCAGAGGGCCCTGGAAAAGAGAAGCGTGTTTGAAGAACTCGGGATAATCATTCACCTTATGAACAACCAATTAAGTATTATGAACTTTCTATCTTTCACCCCTCCCCCTCTCCCCTTTCTTTCTTTTTCTTTCTTTCTTTCTTTCTTTTTTCTCTCTCTCTCTCTTTCTCTCTCTCTTTAGCTCTCTCTTTAGCTCTCTCCATCTTTTCTTTTTGAATTGAATTGAATTGAAAATTTATTGTCCCTTACGGGAAATTCTTTTTTCACTGGTTTAACAGTCTTTGTACATATATACATAATACAGGAACAATACATAATACAATAATTATCAAATGTACATCGTTACAAACGTAGTAACATTTTGAAAGTGATTGTTGCAATGGAAATGGAACAAAACGAATACATGATTGCAGTATAACATAAACATGGCATTCCAGGTGAAAAATTCGAACATTTAGCTCGCTGTTTATTTGAGAATATAGGTGAGTTTAATATTATGAGCCCTAGCGAAAATTAAATTCAGAACAAAGTATAAGTTGAGACCAGTATTTACGTTTGAGTTCCAGACCTCCGGGCTTGTGCATTGAAGTGGTGAATGGCGTTGGGAACAAAAGATTGCCTGAAACGGGTTTTCTGTGTGCGCGGTGCGCACAAACGTATGCCTGAACGGTTAAATTCAATTCAATTCAATTCAATTCAAATCCTATACACTCATGCATCACCATCTTCTTCATCATCACCAATTTAAAGAATACGAACCTTGAGGAGTAGCTCCTTCTTTCTTTCTTTTTTCTTTCTTTCTTTTTTCTTTCTTTCTTTCTTTCTTTCTTTCCTGCTTTCTCTCTCTCTCTCTCTCTCTCTCTTCAGATCTCTCCATCTTTCTTTCTAACCATTTCTCTCACTTTCATACTGTCTTGAGAGATCTGTATAATAATAATAATAATAATAATAGTACATTTATAAAGCGCAGAAACTATCCAACATTAGGTATATATTCTACTGCGCTACAAGAGCTCCTGATATGCTTAGATTTACGGTACAGTTAATTAAAAAGAAATGTTTTCAGTTTTGACTTAAAGACGTTTACAGATGGTGATTTCCTGACTTCAAATGGCAAGTTATTCCAGAGTTTTGGGGCTGCACAAGCAAATGCTCGATCACCTAGCGTTATTTTTGTTTTGATAGATGGGATCTGTAGCAACAAAGTATCTCGGGAACTGCGCAAGTTGCGATTGTGTTGATTAGGTTTGAAATTCAACAGTTCTTTGATATAAGTGGGAGCTTGACCAAGAAGTGCTTTATATACAATCAGCAAGATTTTGAATGTTATTCTCTGGCGTACTGGTAACCAATGTAGATTTCTCAAAATTGGGGTGATCCGTGTGAATTTAGAACAACCACAGATCAGCCTTGCACAGGTGTTTTGAACCCGTTGCAATCTCACTATTTGAGAGTCAGGGATCCCATACAGTAGACCATTACAATAGTCCAGCTTATTGGTAATACATGCATGTACAATGTCTTTCGTAATGTCCTTATCTAAATATTTACGAATACGTCTGAGATTATAGATCATGTAGTATGCTGATTTACAGACATTTGTGATGTGCTCTCTCATATTCAATTCGAATCGAACTGTACTCCAAGATTTCTTGCACTAACAGATGGTTCTATTACAGAGTCTCCAATTGATACACTGTTCAAGTTGATTTTGGATGTCTGTTTAGGTGTGCCAATGATCATTAATTCAGTTTTACCATCATTAAGCATGAGCCTATTTTGCAACATCCATCCACGTACATAGTCAACACATGTTTCTAGAAGTGAGACACATCGCTCTTTAGCATGTTCATCAGGTCTGAATGATACGTACAGCTGTGTGTCATCTGCATAGCAGTGGCATGATATCTCGGGGAAATTTGTTCGAACATTTGAAATGAGATTAGCAGTGTACAGAGTAAATAACAAAGGACCCAGCCGAGAACCTTGTGGAACTCCGAAAGGCACTGGCAAATCATCAGAGATCACATCGTCTATTTTGACCTTCTGATATCTATTCGCCAAATACGACTCTATCCATTCAAGAACACTACCATCTATACCAAAACAGGTCTTTAAAGTTTCTAATAAGCAAGAATGATCTATGGTGTCGAATGCACTACTTAGATCTAATAACAGTAAAAGAGAGACTTTCTGGGAATCCATAGCCATCAATAGATCACTCTTTATTCTTAGCAGTGCGGTTTCAGTACTATGGAATTGTCTATATGCAGACTGAGTACATGGCAAAAGTGAGTTGTTATTGAGGTGATCCATAATTTGCTGGGTAGCAGCACCCTCAACCAACTTCGATATATATTTCAGATTGCTGATAGGTCTTAAGTTCTTAAAATCTGCGTCAAGACCAGGTTTTTTCAATAAAGGTGTGATGAGGGCATTTTTCCATTGCATGGGAAAATGACCAGTCGAGAGAGAAAGATTAATCAATGATGTGAACACAGGAATTAATAAGTCGATACATTGTAGAAGAAGTTTCGTGGGCATAGGATCTAAAGAGCATGACTTCTTACTGAGGTTAAGTATAAGTTTTTCAACTTGGTGCTCAGAAAGAGGTTTGAAATTGCTCAAAACATCGACATCATGGTAAGTTGCTAATGGAGAATAGGTCCTGGGTTCATTCATTGCATCTAATCTAGTTTCAATATTCTTGTGGATTTTAACGACTTTGTCACGAAAATAATCACCTAGGTCATTCACAAACTTATGTTTATCAGTACTACAAGGTATCAGGGGTTGTTTATTAGACATGTTCAATAGAGACTTGACAACATTGAATAACTTGTTTTGATTACCCTTATTTTCCATGATCAGATCTCTGTGATATTTTCCACGAGCTTTGTTCAAAAGTTTCAATGTTGCATTTCGAACAGACTTATAGTTGTCCCAATCACTATCGGCCCTAGTTTTCAACCAGCGCTTTTCAGCCTTTCTCTTTTTCCTTTTTTCTGTCCTGACACAGTCAGTATACCACGGTACTTGGGGACGTAACACTATCTGTTTAGTAACAACAGGGGCATGTTTCTCTAAGATATCACTAAGCGTAGTATCATACAACAAAGCTAGTTCAGTGAGGGTACTAGGTGTGTGCATACAGAGCTCGCTTTCAGCGATGTCTAACTTCAATCTATTCACATCAATAGCAGACAGCTTTCGAAATGATATCAGTTTAGAAGGCAATGGAGGTTTAGAAGAGTTTAGAAAACACATGACTGGAATGTGATCAGATAATATAGAACTATGTGGCCATGGTGACCCAAATACGATATCATCAGACTGACGACATATCATGAGGTCAAGGGTGTGACCGTGTACATGTGTAGAGAAATTAACCAATTGTTTACAACAGAGCGATTCGAGAAGATCTACAAAGAGTCTAGCATCTGCATTGGCAGTATCCACATGAATATTGAAATCTCCTATGATTAATAAAGGAGTGTTTGACAACAAATGACATTGAATGTAGTCATTAAATTCTGATACAAAAGATGTAACCGTCACTGGATGTGATTCAGAATAGGGCGGTCTATAGATATTAATTAGTTGCAAGCGAAATGATTTACATGAGATAGAATATTCTGCAAACTCAAAGGAGTCCTTTTCACCCGCAGCAACTTGATGGACGTTGATTGTCTCTTTATAAGCGAGACCGGTTCCACCACCACGACGGCCCATCCGTGGTTGGTGAACAAAACGATATCCAGTAGGGATGAGTTCATGCAGAACCGTTGCATCATTGTCCGTCAGCCAGGTTTCTGTAATGGCAATCAGGTCCGCGTTGCTATCACATATGAAATCATGTATCAGAGCAGTCTTGTTACAGACAGACCGTACATTTACAGAGCAAAGTTGAAAGTTCGAAGATGGATTACCATGGCTCTTCCGTCTGATACTGTTCTTTCTTTGGCCACCCCGAGATCCTCTGCGCGTTCTCCTTCGATGAATTCCAAGTGACTGAATGATATCATTGACGTCCTGGGGAAGCTGAAACCTTGGATGTCTCCATTGCAAGAGTTCGGCTGGGGGATACTTAGTCGCATGTTGAAAATGATGATCAGTATGATGTCTCACTGATGACGAGAGTGTATCACCGTCTTCCCTATCCGGCCCTGGATTGGGATGAACATCTCCAGCATGCAGGAGTTCTAGTTGGAAGGAAGCTGTACAGTTTGGATGGTAGGAAATTCTTCTCTTTAGAAAGTGCTTTCTAGTGAGAAAGTGCTTTCTGGTGAGAGGACCATATTGAATGGGCTGTACAAAAGATTCTTCACTACATTGCACAAAGTAAATCACTGAGGCACCTAAACATAGTGCAACAAAGACACTAAGATGAATAGACCTCATTGTGTTTTGATCTGTAATCCCTACATTCAAGTTCAATAAAGCAGGCTATGCACAATAGCTAATGGTACTTACATAGAAATACACAGGAATACATGGCTACCAAACTACTGGAGATACAACCAAATCCAAAAACTGATACATCAGAATATGACATAAAAACAACACTTCATGAACTCCAACTTGTCTAGTAGTTTCCAGGTTACTAATACAAAAAGATGGTAACATAAAATTGTACAAATACATAAGAATAACAAGCAATCAGGAGCTCTTTTTGGAGAGCAAGCAAAGGACATGTGCAAATGCCTATGCGCTCATCCATATTGGAAGTAGGTTGATCGATTGAAAGAAAGACACAGAGGGGGAGAGAAAGAAAGAGAGGGAAAGAGAAAGACATACAGGGATAAAGAAGGAAGAAAAGAGAGAGAGCAATCAACTCCTGCAGGATGACTCACCACATATTTGATGATACCCGGCCTGCCGGGATCCTGCCTTAGTTCCAGCTCTACGATGTTCCTCTTCCTGTTGAAGTGAAAGGTGCCCCGGAACTGAGCCATGCCCCCCTGGCACACCCATCGGTTGATGAACAGCTTGAGGTCCTTGCCAGACACCGTCGAGATGGACTTCAAGAACTGGTGAATGCAAGACATAATAACCAAATCATCATTGTCCTGCATTGTCTTGATATCAAGAACAGTTTCTGACACAAGGCAAAGATGATTTACAAATTACTGAGTAAAGATTTGAATTATTCGGTAATCAGATAACGAAATACAAATAAAGTAAAATTCTAACTCTGTCAGTAGTTGCTAACCTAACCAGTGATCAACCACAACAATCATTCTACGATTTTATTGATTCATTATATCCCACATTACATTTATGAAGACAAATATGGCCATAATCATCTACAATTTTTTTCTTCAAATGAATTTATTAAACTAGCTTTTAATTTTTCTTGGTCAACCAAGAGTTTGATATAATGATGAGATACCGATAAACACTGCTATGGGAAGCCCTCATATATCATAGCTTGTAACACAATCAAGAGATCCCCTTACCCATCACTTATTATAGCTTATAACACAATCAAGGGATATCTACCCTCTTCAATCATAGCTTATAAAGGCACTTGACCCTCATTTACAGTAGCTTATAACACAATCAAGAGACCTAACTTACCCCTGATGTTGAAATGAGCATGTTGCTCCAGGCACAGCTCATGAACTTTTGATGAGATGCTGAAGTTGCCAAGGACAGAAGTTTGTTGAAGACCTGGAACGATGAGACAAAAAAGAATTACGCAAGTTTATATAACAAGAAGAGTGGAAAGATTATTAAATTGAAATATTTTAGAAAAGAAATGCATAAAATAAATCATTGTGTGTTAAGAATTGTAAGAAATTATTGGGAAGGGGAAATTTTTGAACTTTGCAATTAAAGGAAGAGACATAGTAGTTGTATAAAGAGCTATATAAAAGCGGAACATTATTCTATAATTATTATATTATATCACAGACGCTGTGATCCTATACACTCATGCATCACCATCTTCTTCATCATCACAAATTTGAAAATGCAAACCTTGAGGAGCAACTCCTGTCCCACCCTGATCTCGATGAGCCTCATGATGAGATGGGACTTCATCATGATCATCTTCCAGTGCCTCCAGGAGACGGTGTGGGGCTGGGTGCAGGGGAAGTGAAGGTTCCCACCCCACACCGACGGCTTGGTGGTCTTGCCCAGTGATGATGACTGTGCAGATTTAAAGGACGGGGTCGCGCTATCGGCTCCGGCGTCACCACCGGAAGACTTGGAACCGGTGGAGGGCTCCTCCATGGGGTAGGGGTGGAGGACCACGCCTCCGGTCTCCTGCTCATACTTGCAGAGTTCTGTCAGCTCCTATAGAGGGAAAAGACAAAGATGGTTTAAAGCCCATCTGTACTAGTTTACAGGAGGGATTCAATTCAATTCAATTCATATTTATTTCATTTCCAACAGAAAGGTAACCAAAGATATTACATTTTTTTCATACATAATTTTTTTGGGTAACTATACAAATACACTTTGCAAATAATAAAACTATTACAAGAAATTTCTGAGGATTAGACCACCCTGCAAGGTCACTGGACAGGTGGTTATCTCATCAAATCAGCTCTCAATTAAAAAACATAAGAAAAAGAGGATCATGGGAGACCAATGGTCACCGATTATGCATTGTTTGTTATATAGAGGGTATCAACTTGACAGAATCCTCAGGTATCCTAAAAAGACTTTGAAGATGTCGGTAACATGCGAAAAAAATACCTTGGACTGGCCCATTCAAAATAAACAAACCTCAGAGAGACAAATTGAACCTCAAAAAAGGCCACTGGCCAACAAGCTAGATATATGCCATATTGCATATTCACTTACAGAATAAATCTGGGACCTGTACTCGTTGGTTCCGAACATCTTCCTCAAGCAGAGCCCAGCGAGGTACTTGGTGATACCCTTCGTTAGCCACGCATCGGCCCACGTCTCTGGGCAGATATAGCAGCCGAAGAACTGACTGGCCAGGGCCTCGGCAAGCAGACGTCGGGTCTCAAATGTCTGGTCAATGATGCGTGCCGAGTGAAGTAGGTTGGTGCTAGAAAGAGAATAATAATGAAATTTAGCAAAATAAGACGGATCCGGAAAGCAAGAAATGTCTTGTTGCTATATTTTGTTCTGGGGTTAGTATATAGTCCAAGCAGCAGAGCTCCAAAGGGACTGCTGGTACGACCGGCTGTCAACAAACATCTGTTGTTACCTGGGGAGCGTTTCGCAAAGATTCTAAGTCAAACTTAACTCTAAATTGGACTTAAAATTATGGAGAGCCATTTGTAGCCTTATAATGAAATATATTCAAAAGCAAAACTTGAAGTATTTTGGACTTTTCATAAACTCCACATCAAGAACATGAAATCTCCCATGGTAATAGAAAATATGAATGATTTGAATCATCATTTTATGCCTTTTGAAATAACTTTTACAAAATATTTTCAAAGATGCTAACAGCTTTCCATAATTGTCCAATTTTGAGATAAGTTCAACTTAGGATCTTTGAGAGAAACATCCCCCTGCAGTGGCTACTCTACACAATTGCACGATCTATACCAAGCCCTCTTACCTGAAGATTGCCATTGATGCATATGCCTGGCTGTCATCATACGCCTCGTCTACAAAGACCTGCTTGTAGCATGTGTAGGGGAAACTCGTCCCAACTGTTTCTTCATAGAACTCTATCACCTGGGAGAAGAAAAAAGGAGAGCAAATATATGATTTACCCTCAGAAAAATTCTCTAATGCTAGAATATATCATATTAAACTATTCTTCAGGGGAACTAAAAGATTTCAAAATGTTTGTGTTGGCTTCTCTTCAAAGGTCTATACCTGAACAACTTGTGAAATGTGACGACCACAATAATGATGATGATGATGATGAAGAAGTAGAAGGACAAGAAGGAGACGTTGATGATGGAGACGATGATGAAGATGAAGAAGAAGAAGAAAAAGAAGAAGCTAAAACTGATGATAATGATGATGGGTTGATGATGATGGGGTGATGATGATGGGGTGATGATGATGTTGGTGGAGTTGATGATGACAATGAAGAACATGAAGAGGAAGATGACAAGTATGAAAAAACAATGAGTGATAATAAGAGATTCAACTCACCTCGTGAAAAAACACTGTACTGTGTTGCAGAAGTGGTTTGAGCTTTGGAAGGCAGAAGTGTGTTATCTCGTGCATCGTTGGGTCGACTACAACCTCAAATGGCCTAAACATATTCAACAACAAAAAAAAATTAAAAATAAAAAAGTTTTATAATTGTATTTTGTCACTTGTCACAAGTCTCTAAATCCCACAGGGTTCCATTCAAATTAGGAGGCCTAAAAATTGTGCCACAACTTGGCCTTTAAACTGTGCAACGCCTTGGCCTACAAATTGTGCAACAACAGCCTACAAACCAAAAGTGAGGTACACCTGCATTTCAAGCAATAAAATTATCTGACAAGTTCAGATTTGTTGGAAAACACATTTGTTGCAACAGATCTATACATGTGCAGCTCACTGTTACACCATACAACACTCAACTCTTCCATCTGCAAAGGCGATGCCGGACATAGATAAAATACATTTTTAATATTTGTTAGTCTCCATACAGGAAATGCATCTACAATCTGCTTTCAAGTAAACACAGAATTTAATCTCATTGAAACATTTGATAAAGTGCTTGTTATGAATATATATGTATGATGTTATCCGTGTTTTTGTATCTGAATAAAGATTTATTTCAACAACAACAAAAATTAGTCACTATACTCACCCAACTGCGAGGGCGATGTTCGACGCAGATGTGGGCACATTGAGGATGTAATGGTACGTCTTCTTGGTCATATCTGGCGTGTAGACCGTCTCGATCAGCTCACCACTTGACACGGCCATCATGTCAGAGTCCACCGTGAACTCCAGCTTCCACGTGCATGGTTCGGAGTAGGAGTCCACGCAGGGGAACCAAAGACGGGATGAGTTCTCGAGGCTGTAGGTGAACATGTGTGCTGCCCTCTAGTGGTTGTAGAGTGGTTTTAAAGGAAAGTGAAATATCAACAATGAGGCTTACTTCAAAATATCTGAAATATCACCAATGAGGCTTACTCCGAATCATCGGGTCATCGAAACGAAAGCTGAAGATCGTGCGACCTTTCGTAGATTTGCTGTAGGGTTATTACAAAGTGTCAATTAAATTGGGCCAGAACATTTGTAGATGAGAGGGGTTGATTTAACAAACATTACCCCACACATTTTGTGTATAAAGGGGCATGTTTTCACAAAAGGTAGGGTAACGCGACCACCCGACCTGCCGTGATGATTTGAGGCAAGACTAACAATAATGGACTTCATGCACAACTTTTAATTCTCTCATAATTCTCTACAAGTATATTCCAAGAAGAGGGGTGGATGCAGGGGATCCAAAGACGGAAGTTCTTGTGACTCTACATGAACATGTGTGCTACCCTCTAATGATGATAAGAGAAAGTATCATATTTAAGGTCCATGTAATGGGATTTATGCAATTTTTAATTTATTACTGTAGTAAGGCAAAATGAATAAGGACAATAATAACAATTTCTTTTTTGTACAGGTCTTTTTTATCATGATATCACATATTCAAGTCTAAAGTGTTTGAAAAATGATAACCATGACCTTAAAAAATCAAAGATAAATTCTGGCCTTAGTTCCTAGAATCCAGAGCATAATTTCCAAAGATCACACTATGTGATGAACCCCATTACACCTGGGTCAAGGGAGACATTAGTATGGCTATTTTAAAAGATGATAGTCCTTTCAAGAGTTTGTCTCATGCTCATCTGCAACGGTTTCAGATGTTTGACAAAAAGAACAATCTTTGCAATAGGCTTTTACCTCTGCCATAGTGTCTTCTGCATCTGGTACTACAAAGTGAATCCCACCGGACGGATTCTCCAGGGAGAACTCGATGCTCAGTCTTAATGTCTTGTAATCTAAGGGTTGAACGGAGGATAAAACATTGATCAAATGCCACAGTGATTCTTAATCTTGGTGTCTTATCATTTGAAGTTAAAGTTAGGTAACTGCCATGGTGTGAAAGAGAAGCACTATTTTACCAATTGAAAGTTTCTTCTTTTTCTTCTTCAGCATAATCTATTTTTGCAGATGTATAAGTGCATGTGTGTGGCAACATCGGGATGCCCAGGTGTGGAGGCGAAAGGGTATATATACATAGTGCCAGTAAAAATGTTGTTAGAATTTATGCAAGCAAGGAATGATTTCCATAGCCTGGCCTAGAACAAAATCATCTGAATTAATAATATTGAGCATGAAACTTTTGAAACATGAACATTTTGTGAATATTGAATGAAAGCTATCTACAAGGCAAGAACCTTTTGTATATTATTGCAGATTCAGCTATGGGTCAACGTAGACTGATTGTAGTTTAGTGACAGAGCAAGTAGAACATACCATTGACTAGATTCATGGCTGATTTGGGGATCTTTACGATGAGCTCCCCGTATCCGCGATCAGACGAAACGGACGCAACCGCCTCCTTGTGGCGGTTGGAAAAGAACACCAGGTTCCGTCTGGAACACAAACAAAGAAATCAAAATAATAGTAATACAAGAGGTTAGATTTACGAAAACCCGATACCCGTTGGCCAGTAAAATGTCAGAAAAATGTTTTTCTTGTAAGAACAGTCAAGTAAAATGTTTGCTCTTTCATTAACATTTAATGAGAAAATTGTAAAGCAAAGATGTTTTCAGGGTTTCAGGGGTTTACTTGTACATGTTTCTATGCAATTCCGTGGTTATTATGTTTTTGTGTTTTTTTTTTAAGATGAAAAATCATATTTCAAGAGGCGATATCATATTATCATACTAAATATATGAAATTATACTGGTTGGCATCTCTGCATAACTACATACATTTCAAATATATATGGAAGCTTTGTTTGACTCACTGTTTCATCTCCTGCTGGCATATTGAGAGGGTGGGGTCGTTGTAGCTGATGGTTTTGGTCACGTCCCATTGGTCGTTGATTACAACCCTGTAAACCAGTGCTCAGGAAGCCCCCAGGTCAAGGGTTAAAGGTCAAGGATCAAAAGTCCACACAATTTTTCTCACTTAAAATCTTGCAATATCATATCTTAATGGTAGCCTTAATAGGCCTGTCCTCATCAGCTTGAGTTTGCCATATAACCCAATATTAAATTGCGTCTTCACCAGACCAATAGGCCCATCACAAACTAGCTTGGACGGGGCAAGTTAGCCCACTATTACCCAAATAGCCCGATATTTTGGAAACAAGACCAAGATTTCTCTGGATATTTTCTCGACCAAATATCCCGCTAATAGAAACTGCGGGCTGATGAATATTTCCCTATCATATCAGATCTGGGGAGTGTTTCACAGAGACTAAGATCGACTTTAAGTTGGATTTGGCAATACAATAACGCATGAAATCACACAGAGAGTGCTCCAAATCTGGTGCGGTGTACGCAAAAAAAAATTTAAATATGTTTTCTCATGTTATATCTTACTGCTAGAATAGACCTTTTTGTTCATGATACATTTTTTTCCATGTTCTCCCTCTCTCAAAAAGACTTCCTCTCAAATTATTTTTCTTCCATTTTTTGCTAAAAAGGATATTGCATTGTTTGCAGTTGAGTTTGATTCTGTTCACTCCAGCTCTCAGGGGAAGCAAATGTAGTTCGGTGAAACCCTGAAGAAGAAAAAAAAGAGATTTACAAAATTACATATATTTTACACTATTCAGCCATGAAAAATGCTTTTTTCTTTCACACTCTTTGTACATATAGCTTCCTTTTATATCGTCTGATGTCAGCTTTCCTGTTCATTCTAGCGATTTCTTCTGATGAGTGCAAGACGAAAAACAAGAAACTAGTATGTTGTATAATGTACAGTATACAGTAGGCTTGCAGTTGCTTGTGGTGCAACCGCAGGCCTACTGTATATCTACACTGTACATCACCATGCAAGCCGATACTTATAAGCAGTATCTAGTATGTCTGTATTTGATGCTATTCTTCAAAATTGCTAATTGTTATTAGGTAATGAAAAGTGGTTAGGACTTATAAATCATCTTCATCCAAATCATATAAATTTGAGATTGAAACAAAGATCAAAATGTCTTACAGTACGAGTTCTCACATAAGGGATACGATTCCGCAAAGGGTTGTCCAGAAGTGAAGCTTTATTCTTCTTCTATTTTGGAAATCATACTGAAATGGACAGTTAATGGCTTATGAGAAATCACAACTCAAGTCAAGTATTTGATAATATTTGATAACAAAACATTATCACATTGTATTACTAGCTAAGATCACAAGTCTCTTAGACACAGACAGCCATGCTAAATATATAAAGGTAACAAGTTGATTCCATTTGCTAATAAAAAAATACCAAGCGTTACAAACTATTTGTATGACATTTTATTTAGTGTTTCAGAGTATGGTTTGTCAAGTCGAGAGGAAAGTCCTGACAGTCACATCTCAGTGACTGAAATCACTCTTTTTTTTCCTCCAAGGCAACTTGGGGGAGCATACTCAGAAATATTTGATATTTCCTTTATTGTTTCACAATTTTGTTTTTACTATAGATTATTCAAATAATATAACACTAAAAAACATAAAAAGAGGGCTCTGAGAGAGAGCTGAACACCATGAAACAGTAGGCCCATTATAAGGACTGCCTTCATCAGCCCGAGATTGCCAAATAGCCAGCTATTTCTGATTTGGGAAAAAATCCTGAAGTTACAAATCGTGTCTTCATCAGCTCGAGACTTGACCTCATAACTTGAAACTCGAGCTTGAGAAATTAGCTCGAGATATTTTGCTCAGCGTTCACGCATAGTGTGAGTCTTCTGGCTGGTGAAGACGCACAGGGAAAAAAGGGGGATATTTTGCAAACTAACCCAAGATATCTTGGGATGATTATCCCAACCAAATATTTGGGGTGATGACGACGCAAATTTACTGGATAAATTTGCGATCGGGATAGTTCAAATAGCGGGATATTAGAGGAACCATTTATTACTGGTCTACTTACAACAATGGATCTCCTGTTGAAGTTGATTGCTGTGATGCATAGTATCTGGTGACTCGTAAAAATAGAAACAAAAAGACAATACAAGTGGAAAGTTAGCATTTGAAACATTAAGAACTTGAATTTGAAATTGGATTCTGAAATCTACACATAGATCTTGAGATAGAGTCTATCTCATGAATCAAGATTCGTTCTGATGGCAATGATAGCAGTCATAGCACAAATTCTAACAATGGACTTCATGCTTCTTTTGAGGCACTATAAAGTACACTGTAATCAGTATATATGTAGGACCCCTTGCAAGTAATCAGGAAGAATTACAGACAAGTCAATGAGAAACACATTCCAAGCAACGGTATTTCCGGCAACAGAAATGGAATCAAAATTTTCTCTGCTTTTTATTCTTTCTGCTGTTGTATTAATGTGAAATTCATCATTGAAAGAGTAGATCTATCATACAGCAGGTTTTACAAAATATTGCGTGAATGTACTGCAGTACAGTGTTGACTATCGTAATATTTAATATATGATGGGGTGACCAAAGTTCACAGACATTTTAGAACACAATACAAAATGTGATAGACGATCTATGATTTCTCATATTCTACACAAATTTATTTATTTCAATTATTACCGAATAGACGGCAAAGTTTTTTGCTACAGATTGGTTCAACTAAAAACAATTATCGCGGAAGGATTTTGGAGATATTGGGATCTAAAAATTTGATGTCCGATCGTGCGTGCGCGCTGAATCTAAAAAAGTCATAAAAACAACGAGAACTTCACGCACAGGGGTTTACAGTTGGTTTATCAAAAAATGTGATGCATCAAAAATAAGGTAATGTCATAATTTGCAAGGCAAGACATCATACAATCAGTTGGTACCACTTTTTTCTTACAATTTTGAGGAAATCTGCTCTCAAATTGAAGATTTTCAGACCCTTATTGGTAAATTGATAATTTTTCGGAACGGACGCAAAAGGTTGCAAAATTTGCCGATCTTTTGTCAATATTTTCACAACTTTGTACACAATTCCAAAGAGAATTTCATATCTGGGTAAAATTAATGTTCCTCTTTCCATTGGTGATATCCGATTTTCGAAATCTTACTGATTTTTTGAGATAGCGAACTTAGGTCACGTGCGAACTTTGGTCACACCACCATACAGCCAAGATAGTAATGCTGCTATGCCTACCAGTATGTGTGATTTTACTTATAATTTCGATTTCCATTCATTCGATTTCCATTCATATTTTTCTAAACGGACGCGGACGCAAGCAATGCAAAGACTGGAAATTTGCTGATCTTTTGAGAATATTATCATAATTTTACAGTCAATTCTAAAGAAAATTTCTACACTAGTTAATCTTACGTTCCTCTTTCTATTGTTGATGTCGAAATCTTAACAATTCTTTTAGAAATGGAAGTTGGAACTACTATCACGCGCGAACTATCGTCACACCACCAAACTTTGCGTGTGGGACTGAGTCTGAGACATTTTAAACAGATATTCATAATGGCAAATAACGTTTCAATACGATGTAGAAGACTAAAAATGACAAATAAATTATACTTATAATCTGAATGCCCTCGACGTCTCATAGGACTTGTCAGGTTTCCTTGCGTTTTTACTCATTTTTACGGCATATTCATGACTTCCGAAACCGTAAACTTTGAATCAAGTTACGCGTACGGGGTCTGCAAGAAGTCACTTCAAAAAGAAAAAGAAAAAACTGTACACATACTAGACTACACTAAAGTAAAGCGACTAGCTAGGGGGTGGGGGAGGGGGGGTGGGGGTCCGAGTGGTCTTTGGTCTGAGTTAGCCCGGCTCCCCTCTAACACACATATACACACACACACACACACACACACACACACACACACACACACACACACACACGCGCACGCACAAACAAATGAAAAAAACACTGGTGGGATGTGAGCCATTAAACAATAAATAATATATTTAACATAACAAATTAAAACAATAATCGAATCTATAATACAATTAAGACTTTCTTTGTGTTCGACGCTCAATTCTCTATTTATAGGCTAAATGCAGAGGCTGCGCTTCGCCTGGGGCACAGTGTCCTCCCCCCTCCCCACCACACCTTAAGTGCCCCTTTTGACATAGGAAAAGTGCCCCATAACTTTGCAAGAAGTGCCCCTACCCTTTTCACCTCCGATAAGTGCCCCTCTTATTTCGACACGTGCCCATTTTCCTTTCTAATAAACGCTCTTTTTTCTTCTTATAAGTGCCCCTTCCCCTTTTCATAATTATCCTCTTTTACCTCTGATAAATGCCCCTATTAAAATCTGATCGATGCCCCTTTTCTTTTAACGAATGCACATTTTCATTTATTATAAGTGCCCCTTTTCATTTCCATAAGTGTCCCTTTTCATATTTGGTCAGTGCCTCTTTTCAGTTGCGATAAGTGCCCCTTTTCACCTATGATAAATTCCTCTATCAAAATCTGATGGGTGCCCCTTTTCCGTCAACAAATGTTTATTTCCCATTCTCATAAGTGCCCTTTTTCTTCCCTGGTGAGTGCCTCTTTTCAGGTGTAAGAAGTCCCCCATTTTCATCTATGATAATTACCCTTTGTACTTTGACACGTGCTCCTTTTCTTTTCTAATAAGTGTCTTATCCCTTTCGATAAGTGTCCCCTTTTCCTCTCATTATTAAACATGTCCCTAATCTAAAGCAACTGGAGAGCAATTTCCCCCAAACTGTCTCGTTACGCTCGCTCGCATTAATAATAGATGATATAACTAATAATTAATATGTTACTTTCAGAAATTCTGAATTTCTTGGAAGTGTATTTAAACGTTGGCCTGCAGCCTCTGTGAAATACGATACCACTTTAGGTAAATTCTAAATTTGTCGGTTCATATTTAACGCCGGTGCATGCAATGTTTGTATATAATAGTGTCCATTTTCTGGTTTTGCTGAGTGCAGTTGTAGGTCTATTCATCATCATGTAATCTGACGTTCCATGCATAACTTATAATTTTCCAGCGATCAAAAATCCGACATTCGGCAAACCATTGGCATTATCTCTAAAAGCTATTATGAATAGAAGTACAATTTATCATGCCAACAAAATGTGTGAATAAAACATTACAATTATTATATATTTGTCATTACTATCATTAAAGAAACATAACTTCGGAAGGACGTGGGTCACTTTTGCGAAACCAATCAGAGGCGGCCCTCCCGGGGGGCAGGGGGGCACAGTGCCCCCCACTTTTTCAGATACCCCAAAAGTGTCCCTTTTTACATAGGAAAGGTGCCCCTTTTATTTTGTAAGAAGTGCCCCTTTTACATAGGAAAGGTGCCCTTTTACTTTGACAAGTGCCCCTATTACTTAATTAAAGTGCCCCTTCCCCCTTTTCACCTCTGACGAGTGCCCTTTTTATTTTTGACACGTGCCCCTTTTCCTTCGACATGTTCCCATTTTCCTTTGCAATAAGTGTCCATTTTCCATTCTCATAAATCTTGAAATTATCTTGAATAAGTGCCCATTTTAATCTCTAGTAAGTGCCTCTTTTCAGGTACGAGAAGTGCCCCTTTTCACTTTTAATAAGTGTCCCCTTCACCTCTGATAACTGCCCTATTTAAAACTGAGAGATGCTCCTTTTACTTTGACAACTTCCCCTTTTTTCCTTTGTAAGAAGTGCCCCTTCTCCTTTTAATAACTACCTCTTTCTTAAACTCGGATGAGCACACCTTTCATTTTAACATGTGCCCCTCTTATTTTCTAATAAGTGCCCCTTTTCCTTATGATAAGTGCCCCCATTAAAAAGAGAGAGCTCCTTCCCCTTCTCATAACTACCCCTTTCCCTTTCTAATAAGTGCCCCTTTTCCTTATGATAAGTGCCCCCATTAAAAAGAAAGAGCTCCTTCCCCTTTTCATAACTGCCCCTTTTAAAAATCTGAACGGTGCCCCCTTTTCATTCAACAAATGCACATTTTCCTTCATTATAAGTGCCCCTTTTCATATCTGGTCAATGCCCCTTTTCAACTCTGACAATTCCCCTTTTAATGATACATGCCCCTTTTCCTTTCTGATAAGGGACCTATCCCCTTTTCACCTCTTATAAGTACCCCTATCAAAATCTGATGGATGCCCCTTTTCCGTCAACAAATGCTTATTTCCCATTTTCGTAAACGCCTCTTTTTCATCACTGGTGAGTGCCTCTTTTCAGGTGAAAAATGCCTCATTTTCACCTCTTACACTCTAAAAAAAAAGATACCCCGCAATATTGGGTAAAATTTTACACTTTACGAGGGTAAAAAGGGAACATGCATGTTTGTTGGGTAAAATTTGACACAGGGGTGGTTGGGTAAAAATTTACCCAGCAAATGTTTAATGTTTTACCCAACTGATGTGCAATATATTTGACCCAATGTAAAAGGTAAAATGTTACCCAACGACAACCATGTTCCCTTTTTGACACAGCATTGGGTAATTTTTACCCAACTCATCCTGGGTACTCGTTTACTCTGTTCTTGTGTAATTTTTTACCCCAAAGTTGGGTAAATTTTTAACCCAACCTTATTGTATGATTTTTTTATTTTTACACAGATTTGGGTAAAAATGAAAATTTGTCCGAAGAGTTGGCTGGAAAAGTACATGCTATATGTAGTGTAGTGTATAAGTAGCAGACCTCTCTCTCTCTCTGGGCTAAACAGTCTTTCGCTTGGCGTGCTCGCAGTAGGTGACTGCATCGCGGATGATATTCTCCATACGAATAATGTGTTGTCCAGAATTATGAGGAATTTCATGTCCATATTGAGAAGATTTACACGCATTCATGCAAATAAATGCTGCGGAAAAACACAAGTGCATGATCGTAGTCTATTTCGAACAAAGTCGTCCATCCTCTGTCGATCTTGAACACGATTAATTTGATGAACAACTAATTCGGAACGACCGACCACGCTAGCGCTTAAATCATAGTTTTTAACATCAGTTGTGTCATAATACCAACGTTTAGGTGTCAAAACTATATACGCGTGGTTCAAATATTAATCTGCATCGTTACTTTCTTACCCCGGAAATGCGCACAGTCGAATTTTGATATGACACTATGGCAAGTGTAATGAAATTTCAAAGGGAATTGGTGTTTGGCACAAGGTTGGGTAATAGTGCCCAACTTTTTTAAACAGCGATTTTGCACAGCAAAATTTTGCACTCTATTTTTAGAGTGTATAATTATCCTTTGACACGTGCTCCTTTTCTTTTCTAATAAGTGTCTTATCCCTTTTGATAATTGTCCCCTTTTCATGTAATCATTAAACGTGCCCCTTATTTAAAGCGACTAAGAGCAATTTCCCCCAAAGTTCGCTCGCTGCGCTCGCTCGCATTTAAAGATGATATAATTATGTTACTTATCAAAGATGTTTTCAGTCTTCCGTTATGAGAAAGTGCTTATAACCCCATCACGATTGGCTTTTTTCCTCTTTATAAGATGTAATTTTTCGCACTGCGACCTCACAGATCTTTAAAAATTTTCTCGCTCGCTTCGCTCGCTCGTAAATGCATATTCAGACATCACACCCAACTGTAAAGTATGATGCTTGAGCGATATCTTGTATGATGTATGAAGAGAAACAAATATTGAAATCATCCTTGATAATGTAATCACAATGTAGGGGTATATACCAATGTCTAAAAAATTGTATATTTTCGCTTTGAGATTTCCCACTGTACAGTGTAGGTGCCCTTTTTTTCCAGAAAGTGCCCTTTTTTGTTGGTGCCCCCCCCCCACTTTGGAAGTCGCTCGGCCGCCCCTGAAACCAATAATCACCAACTTGGCAGTTACAGGTACATCGACCAATTTTTATCATGATATTCATAGACCAACTTTGTTTTTATAATTACCCTCCACATTATGAACGTTGGAAAGGGTTATTGGTCAACACCAATACTGTTGTTATTCAACGTTATGTTGCTCATGAAATTTCGCGATTCCTTAAAAAATATGTTTATCTAGGGTGTCGATTATTGACGGATGCAGTCACCAGCATGGGTTATGACACGTTAGAACCTCTTAAACTTCCGCTTTAAAGATGAGCCGCCATTCTTGAAGAGGGGTAGCGTAATTAAATGGGCCGTCTCCAAAATAGACGGTGACAGCATTCGAAAATCCGACATGCTCGCTATAGTTATCACTTATATTTCAAATTACCACTCCCCCCCCCCCTTCCCTCTCTCTCGATCTCTCTTTCTGTCTGTCTGTCTGTTTTCTCTCTATCTCTCTCTCTCTCTATCTTTCTCGTCCTGTCTCTGTCTCGATTTGTCTTTCTCTTTCTCTATCCCTTTCTCTCTCCCACTCTCTCCATACAATGTCAGTTTGTCTATGTCTTTCCATGTTTTTTTCTCTGTCTCTCGCCTTTTTTCTATCTTTTTTTTCTCACCAACAGAGAACAGGACAAATTTCCAAATTATAATTATTTTATTACATTATCATGATTACATGATGTAATATTAATAATGATATAGAAGTATTGTACTCTTAATTATTTTGATTTAAAACCCTCTGACAAGGCTTCTGGTAACATTGCATCCAAATTATGGAACACTTTACCATAATTACAAATAAGACAATCATCATCAATTGAAATATTCAAAAAGAAACCTATGCACCACATTAACAAATTTTGTTTATGTCGTAGTTTTAATATTGTTTAAAAAAATATGTTGATATTGTACAGAGCGCCTTTAGCAGTCTTGGATATGTCCGCTTTATAAGTTGACATTATTATTATTATTATTGTCCTAGTCTTTGTCTTTGTCTTTGTCTTCGACCTTGTCCTTGACCTTGTCATTGTCCTTGTCTTGAATATTCGTCGTCCCGATGTGACGTCCTTTTGTTTCAAAGGTCTACTTATCAGCCTGATACGCAACCACTAAATTTATAAAATGATGGAGTCCTCGACCGCTCGCTCGCGTTGGAGCATAATCCTCTAGGCCAGTGGCGGATCCAGCCGGCGGGAAGAGGAAAGGGGGGGGGGCCCAATCCGTGAGAAAATATTAGTTGCGACTCAGCCGTCGGTGAATAAGCGAGGGGGGGGGGGGGTAGGAGGCACTTTTTTTGGTCCAATTTTTCAGGAAATATTTTGCGCCGACTCAGTCAGCCGGTGAATAAGCCGGGGGGGGGGGGGGGGGGGTGAGACCACTATTTTTTTTTTTGGACCTAGTTCGTGAGATTTTATTTTTAATTCTTGTTTTGTTGTTGACCCGTCAGCCCCCTCCCCCCCCCCCCCCCGTGGATCCACGCCTGCAAAGGATCCAGCCGGCGTCAAGGGGGGGGGGGGGGTAGCCAAATCTTAATACAAAATTTAGTGCCGTCTCAGCCGGCCGGCGAATAAGCGGGGGGGGGGCGCTTTTGTTTTTTTTGTTTTATAAAGGTTAACTTTACGTTATTATCCTAATTTTTTTTATCGTTTTGGGGGGCTGGGGGCCCGGGCCGAAAAAATCGCTACGTGGATCCGCCCCTGCTCTAGGCTCTATCCATAATTCATATGCACTCTTATGCATTCTTAGTATGTTTATGAATGACTATAGTTCCGAGCGCTACATGTGTGTATTTTGTTTCCCCCCCCCCCCCCCCCCCATTTTTAACACGTTAACAAGATAAAAAGGAAGAATTTGAAAACGTTGTCTAATTGTGACGCATTTCAAGTATATCCTTGATATTCATGGGATTACATACGTGACATCTGAAATACAACTGCCAAGGAAATCGAAAATAATATATACCTGACAATTCCAAAGCAAATGCTAACATTCCTATCAATTTGGGAATGCATTCTGAATATGAGCGCAAAGTACTTTTATTTTGAAAGATAAACGGAATTTCAACTTACAAAAAAGAACCCTGTGAAATAAAATAACAACTTAGTTCATTCAACATGTACATGGCAGCTTATTGATATCAGATGGAAATTGAAAGTTCTTAACATTATTTTGATAGGTGGTGGTTAATATACATTCAAGTATCATTGTTGTTTTAATGAAACTTACAAAAGATTATTTCATGTTTAAAACTTTCTTTGAACATTTCTGTTTCACGTGACCTCTCATTTCTGTAGTTAAAAACAAGTGATGAAAATTAATTATTAAGGAAAATGGTTGCTGAAGAAAATACAATGAGAAACAACATTACTTGTATACAAAGTCTGTATGTCATTTTTCTTGTTTACCGTACCATTCCCATGTTCTAGAAATAAATAGGTACAGTATACTACTGCAGTCTATATGCTATTGCCCCGCCCCCCCCCCCCACTCAGTGTTATTTAGGGTACGCATAATGTTCCAACCGACCCCCCCCCCCCCTTTCAGCAAAAGTCCGGTGTTGTAAAGTCAATACGGGTCGACCTTTTTCTTTTGTTACGAAAAGGACATTTTGGCAACACGCATGGGGTCCGTCCGTTCTTGGAGTGGGGGGCCGGGGCTATTGCGTGGTCAATACTGTTCTCCTTCATTATGATACAGATCAAAAAAGTTTGTTAAACGTCAATACTGAAACATAAGGTACCATGTTGACTTTTTTCCTTTATATGACTTAAGAGAATTTTAAATATTATTTGACATGTTGGAGGTGTGTCTGGAGACAGGGACCGATTCAGTTTTGGATTCAAGTTTTGCATCCTCAGAGTGTGCTGCTGCCGAAGGCTTACACGAGAAGAGCTGTCGCAGGGCCATACGAAATTCTGGGAACCACACGATGTAGATAACGGGATTCACGCACGAATTATAGGTGGTGAAAACGATGATGAGCTTGTGCAAGGGACCTCCGATGTAGGTGGGTGGTACGACGCCGATGGTGAAGAGAAAGAAACTGAACTGGCCTGGGCCCCAGGTGATGATAAAGACGATGATGACGATGACCATGAGCTTGAGGACGCGGTTACAAGCCTTGATGTGGAAGGACACGGCTCCCTGGTCCTTGAAGTGAACAGAGTGGCGATGAAGCTTGCAGGCAATGAACACCTGGGTTATCAGCATCACAAGGACAGGTAGGACGAAGCGGTAGATGAACATGAAGTATCCGAGCGTGACCTTAGCGGCCTTGGTGGGGAAGTACAGCGTACATGTGTGGGTCTCCGCATTTGCGATCACCGCCGTCGCGATGAAGATGCCATAGACCAGAAAGGAGATGATCCAGATGATGGATATCAAAATGAACAGCATCTGCTTCCGGGCCATGAGTTGGTTGAACTGCAGTGGGTAGACAACAGCTAAGAACCGTTCTATGGATATCGCCATGAGGATGTAGCTTGATGCTGTGAAGGCAACGAAGAGAAAAAACCCTGGTAGGGTCATCTTGTAGTAAAACTGCCCCAGAGGTGAGTCCGGAACTGTTGCCGCGGATGGCACAGGGATGTTAAAGATAGACGTCAAGAAGTCCGCATAGGCCAAAGCGCTCATCAAGGTATCGGTCGAACGGCCAGCAGCGCGTCGCTTCCGGAGGGCTAATATAACCAACATGTTACCCACTATCCCAAGAACAGAAGAACATAGCTGAAGTATTTTAGAGTAGGACCAATCGATCTGCCTCCATGACCATTCGATTTCGGTGGTCGCATTCGGGGCCAAATCCACTTTGGTCGTCATGGTCGTCAGGTTTATTACTCTCATTATTGTTGTGAAATCCATATTTATGAGATAGATTATAATTTGATACCTCCTAATACTTGTCAGATTTTCTACAAGAATTGGAAAGAAGCCACCAGCGTGATATTCCAGTCTATGTGCACACGCATTCTCTTCATGTCGCTAGAAAAATCGTTCAATTCTAGATTACTTGGAGAGATTGAGATGTCTATATTTGTTCACAAATCCTTTTCAATATGATAATGACTTCGAACCAAGTAGACAAATTAATCACCTGAAAGCATAATCAGCTAATATAAAAGGGAGCAATTAATGTTACTACGCTAGATTGTATTTTCCACATACATGTACTTCATTCGCGCTCGTGTAGGACCAAACAATTTCGCAATTCAGGCGAGGCAAATGGGTATCCGGCGGTAATTAATTATTCATTAAGCTATTCGAGCGCCAGGAGTGGCAATAGGGACTTTAGATTTGCACGTCGACATAGTGGACTGCTACGTGTGAAGTCCTTTTAAGGCACTGTGACGTCCTTTTAAGGCACTCCCAGTGCATTATAAGGACGTCACACCTAGCAGTCAACTATGTCGACGTGCAAATCTAAAAGTCCCTAATGTGCCACACAATTGAGCACTCATACTAGACTCTACTATTAGACATAAAATTCAATTTCAATTTTCAATTTCAATTTATTTTTCATCTTTAAAAAAGAACAAATATAACATAGTATTGACACATTGTATTAAAATAACAATATAAACATGGAGGGATACCCTTAATAAGCAGGTTGCTTGTAAGCAGGGCCCCGGTATACAATATAAGATTTATAACTTTGTTACAGAAATATCTAAACATTTGCGAAAATGATAAAACAGCAAATTAAATATAAATTAGGAAATTGTGATCATCTTAACAACTACTTTAAATAGACAGATACAGGTACACGTCCACACACAGACATACAAACACCCTAGCATACACTCACTAGCATACACACACAATAAGATAGATGAGATATAGTAAAATATCATAGGGAAGGAATACATAGGGAGAAGGAGAAAGAGAAAGAGAAAGAGAAAGAGAGAGAGAGAGAGAGAGAGAGAAAGAGAGAGAGGGGGGGAGTCAGTATTGCAGAAGAAAAAAATTAGAATGAGTAGGCATGGTGAAAAGCAAAGAGAAAGAGTAAATTGTAGGAGTGGAGAGAGCTCATGAAATAGGAGAAGAAAATTATAATTAATTAATACATTTTATATATCTACTTAGCACGTATTAATATTGGTGAGATACAGTCTTTATATAGAAAATTTGAATTTTGACAGAGTAGAGCTTTGTTGAATACTGTGATCAAGGCTGTTCCAAAATTTAATATATTTTACACGGAAGGAGTTTGAGGCTATGGAAGTGGAAATCTTAGGTTGATGAAATAATTTACATTGACGAGTGTTGTAATTATGTACAGACGAATTAAGGGTGAACATATTTTCAAATATTTTTGGTAAAAATCCAGACTGGTATTTATACATAAAAATAAGAGAGTTCATAGAAATTAATTCAGAGATTGGTAAAATATTCATTTTCTTAGATAATGGCATACTCGGACAGTAATATGGGGATGATGTAATAAGTCTAATTGCTAAAATGATGAGGTTGTATTGCCCTTTAGGTGCCAAAACATGGATCGGTCGGTCGGTCAGAAATCTTTTTTTTTTCTCCCTCTTTGGGCTGATATTTCTCATTTTTGAATGCTTTAAAACCTATTTTAGTTATTCATTAAACTTTTTTTTAAAGCCGACCGTAGATTTCAAGATTTTCGGGTCGGTCGCAAAGGGCAATATATTTTTATTTAACGCCTTATGGTTATTATAATTATTATCATTTCAATGATTGGATTGTCAGAAATACATCTATTAAATCGCATCGACCATTAAAGAGTAGAATAATTTCTGGAGGAAAAAAATGAGGTGACAGGGGCGGATCTAGCTTTTTGCTAAGGGGGGGGGGGGGTTGACCAAAATAATGACGATGCAGAGCATCGTCCACGAGCCGCGAAGCGGCGAGCCGATTTTTTTTGGGGTGTTTATTTGAACCCCGTAAGTGATGTTTTCCTGGCATCTATTAACACAATGGAGACCATAAAAAGCAGTGCATGATAACGTCTTTTTAAATCAAGTAACAGTTTAATACACAGTTATATCCAGAGTTATCATGTGTTTGGTTAAGTTACCAGATGAGTTGAATATCTTCTCACAATATTTGCACTTGAAAGGGTTTCTCTCCAGCGTGCGTTCTTTTTTCTTTCTTTTTTTCTTTCTTTTTTCTTTTTTTTCCCTTTTTTTTTTTCTTTTTTTTTCTGGGCCGCCCAAGGGGGGGGGGGGTTTAAACCCCCTAAACCCCCCCCCCCGTAGATCCGCGCCTGGGTGATGAATACTTTATGAGCTTTCTCATTCCTCTTATTGTTATGTGGAAACGGAAAAAAAAAACACAGTGCCGGGGAATATCACGTGAAAATAATTTCTCTGGAATGCATTGGTGTTCCAATATGAATAATAAAAGATCGAAATTGAGATCAAATAGAGATTAAACTGAAACAAAGGAGGACAATTATTTTGTTACACGTTCACCATAATTAAACAAGTCTTGGATCTTAGATTTCGAAATGGTTTTTTGGTATTTGTAAAATAGTCCAGATCACACTGAGATCACATTAAAGATAAAGGTGAGTTCTATAGCTGGTAAAAAAAAAATGAATTCTCACAGAATCAAACCATCGAAACTTACACTGAATGTTCAAGATTACAAATAAATGTCATATGCCAACACAAATTTGTAGAAAATGTATACTGGCTGAGTAATAAGCATATTAGGAAATCAAGGTTAGTAGCCCCGACACCATTAATTTTGTATAGTCCCATTATACATCTTTCTGTGTACAGTGCTTGTTACTTTACCAAGACTGGGCCAAATTTATTATGATTTTGATGACTCCAGAACCTTGCAGTACACATCAATACTGACATGCTATACATGATCAACTTTTTTCTTATCCATTCCACACCTTTTCTTTCACAATGCAATCGGATGACCAGAACTCACCTTATCTTTAAGAGAGAGAGAGTGGATGATAGGCCTTCACAATATTTTAATAATTAATACAATAATATGATATGCTATATAAGGGGAATTCCCTTGGATGCATTCCCAAGCTTTCACTTCCCCACCCACCTCTTGCACAAAACACCGTAGTTTGGGAAATGTTTAAATGGTATGTCAATGATATTTTTACCACCCCCACCCCTTCCCCTACCTCGATCCACACATAAAGGTCATGGTACACCTGATACGACGTAAACGAAGGGCATGAACGCAAACATGCACTAGGATAAAAGGAAATATTAGAATAGATAATATACCCTTCCCTCTAAACACAATGAGAGCAGAATAGACAAAAATCGACCGTGAATTTATTATTAAACACGAAATCATCTCCGTACGTAGAGCTCTGGTTTCTGAAAAGTCACGTTTTTCTTTTTGATGGGAAGTATCAAGTGAAGGTCATTTCTAATTCATGTTGACAGAATTTTCTTGTCCTTTATTTTCTATCCTAAAGAAAAATTGAACCGGGTCAAGTAAACAATTCTGTATGTAAGCTTTAATTTTGTCGTTGTGAGATTTTATCGAGTAAGATTGTTGACTAAGCGAAGATGAGTTATAACGAGGAGGAGAAAGGGAGAGAAAGAGAGAGACAGAGAGAGAGAGAGAGAGAGTTTGTGTGCGAGAGGGAGAGGGGAGAAAGATAGGAAAGGGAGGGAGGGGAGAGAGTAAAAGGGAGAGAAGAGAGGAAGAGGAGGGGGGGTAGATAATGATGATGCTGAGCAGCGGAGAGACTGAGCTATGGTGGCCCTGAAGGGACATCGCGAATAGACTAAATCGTGAAAAATATGCGATAAAATTCACGATATCGTCAATTTTATCGCATATTTTTCACGAAGAAATTCACGAAATTGACGATATCGTGAACTTTATCGTGAACTTTTCACGATGAAATTGACGATATCGTGAATTTTATCGTGAAAAGTTCACGATATAAAGTTCACGATATCGTCAATTTTATCGTGTACTCTATCGTGTACTCTATCGTTTACTCTCCTGACGGGCGCTTCGTAAACAAAACCAGCCCTAGCTGGGGGAGACAGAGAGAAAGGAAAAAAGGGAAAGGGAAAGAGAAGATAAAAGGAAAGAAAGAATAATAAGAAGAAAAGAGGGAAACGGGGGGGGGGGCGAACTTCGGCGAAGGGCTCTTGCCTCCTCCTCACTCCCCCCCCCCCCCTCCCCGCCAAAAAATAAATAAGGAGAGAGAGAAGGGAAAGGGAAAGGGAAAGAAAATATAAAAGGAAAGAAAGAAGAGGAAGAAGGAAAGAGGGAAACGGGGGAAGGGCGAAAGGCTCTTACCTCCCCCCCCCCCCCCCCCCCCATCGCCAAAAAAATAAATAAGAGAGAGAGAGAGAGAGAGAAGGAAAAGGGAAAGAAAGAAGAGGAATAAGAGGGAAACAGGGGAAGGGCGAAGGGCTCTTGCCTCCTCCCCCCCCCCCCCCCCCCCCGCCAAAAATAAATAAGAGAGAGAAGGGAAAGGGAAAGAAAATATAAAAGGAAAGAAAGAAGAGGAATAAGAAGGAAAGACGGAAACGGGGGAAGGGCGAAGGGCTCTTGCCTCCTCCCTCCCCACCCCCCGCCAAAAAAATAAATAAGAGATAAAGAGAGAAGGGAAAGGGAAAGGGAAAGAGAAGATAAAAGGAAAGAAAGAAGAGGAAGAAGAAGAAGAAAAGAGGGAAACGGGGGCGAAGGGCTCTTGCATCCCCCCGCCCAAAAAATAAATAAGAGAGAGAGAGAGAGAGAAGGGAAAGGGAAAGAGAATAAAAAAGGAAAGGAAGAAGAATAAGAAGAAAAGAGGGGCTCTTGCCTCCTCCCCCCCCCCCCTCCCGCGCCAACAAATAAATAGGAGA